TTTATGTAATAATACGTTTCTTTCAGCTACACTCTGAAAAATTCCTCGAGTAAAGTTTATCCTCCTCACCACGACACCGAATAAGAACAAAAGATATTAGAACAATGCAGCAAGACGCAGTACGGAATGGAAATGTTCTTTGAACCGCCCAGGATTCACGTCTGCGCCCCAGGGGGGAAAACCACGTCCAACAAACGCCAACTGGGGGGGGTGGGAGGGCCGGAGGGGAGGGCGATTAGACCGGGCGACAGACAGCCCAAGGGGAGGAGGAAAAAGGAACGTTTGAAGGGACACGAAGGAGGCGGGGAGAAGGGAAGCAGAAGGACAATAGAAGACTTTCTCTGGACGCACCTGGAGGATGATGCGGTGTGGCAGCTATCGTGTGCCGTGGCTGCAGGTTGCTTTGGTTCGTAGATATCCCTTGCGCAAACAAGAGGCAGAGACGCAGGCTGTCTCCCTTAAGCAGAGAGAAGAAGACGCAGGTTGTCTCCCTTAGGTAGAGAAGAGAAGAGCAGCTCTAGCGGCGACGGGCAGAGCAGGCGTCGCCGGCAACCATTGACACTGGACGAGGCGACGTTGAGGCTGAAGCTGAAGCTGGCGAAGGCGAAGGCGAAGAAGTCGAAGTCGAAGTCGGAGAAAGAGAGAAAAAGACGACGAAAGTTGAAGCTTTTGCTTTCCCGAGGAGCGGCACGTGACGCGATACTAAGTTACAGATAGACTAGACATACACATACATTTATATATAGGGGGGATAAGATGGATATAAGATAAATAGATATAAGACAGTATAGATACAGATACTACAGCTGGTAGCGGAAGCCGGCCTGCAGCAGACGGGCCTGGTGGAGGTCGACGTTCTCAATCTCCGCCGTGCGCTGCAGCTTCGCCAGCTCGCGGTCCGTCAACTGCTCGATGCCGACAGCCTCGTACCGGGCGAGCTCGCGGTTCTGGCGCTGCAGGTGCCACCGCAGGAAGACGACGCAGGCGGCCGCCAGCAGCTGGCAGGCAATGGCCACGCCCAGCGCGAGCCGGTAGTGCGGCTGGTCCCCGTCGCGGTAGGTGAAGGGCGTCCAGATGCTGGCCGAGTTGCCCAGCGAGTTGATGAAGGCGTATGCGGCCGCTCGCTTGGCCGGCGGGCGTGGGATGGCGCTGGCGATCCAGCCGTACAGCGTGCCGTTCAGCGCAAAGACAAAGATCATGAGGAAGAAGGAGAAGTAGCGCGGCCCAAAGGTGTCGGTGGTCATAAACACGATAAAGCCGACCAGCGTGATGGGGATCGGGTACATGAAGAACCAGAAGCGGTTGTTCATGCGGTCCGACAGCCAGGAGTGAGCGAGACTGTAGACGACCATGAACAGATACGGCGGCGCCACCAGCAGCAGCGAGACGATGTGCGAGTAGCCCAGGGTCCCCGTGAGCGTCGGGAAGAAGTTCTGGAAGCCCGAGGCGGCGGTGATGGACATGTACGCTACGGCGATGGCGTAGGTCTTGACGTCCGTCATGGCTAGTTTGAGGCCTCGCAGCTGGCTCATCCCGCCGGGCCCGTCGACGTCGGCCTCTGCGGCTTCCACCGCCAGCCGCTTGTTGGCTACGTGCTTGAGGTCGGGCGGGAGCAGCTTCCACGTATCGGGGAAGTCCGGCAGGGCCAAGGTGATGAGCAGCCCGACGGCAATGGTAATCACGCCCTCAATGATGTACAGCCATCGCCAGGCGGAGAGGCCGCGCGCTCCTGCGAGACCGTTGAGGATGCCGGCTGCGATGAGACTGCCAAAGGCGCCGCTGATCAGCGAGCCGGAGTAGAAGATGCTCATGCGCAGGGAGAGCTCCCGCTTCGTGTACCACTTGGACAGGTAGAAGAGCACGCCGGCAAAGAAGGGCGCCTCGACGAGGCCCAGCAGGAAGCGGCAGGCGACTATCTGGTGGTATGTGTGGACCAGCGAGGTCAGGGCCGAGACAGCGCCCCAGGCGACGGTGAAGCCGCCCAGGTACAGCGACGGGCGGCCCATGTAGTTGAGCAGCAGGTTCGACGGGACCTGCATGAGGATGTACGCGACGAACAGCACCGAGAGGCCTGTCTGGTACTGCTCGCCGACGAGGCCCAGGTCTGCCTCCAGTCCTTGCAGCCGCGCAGCCGCATAGTTGTTCCTACCACACCCGTTAGCATGAATTCAGCAGCATATATAATAATGTATGGAAGGAGGAATACCGGTCGATGTAGTTGAGGAGGTAGACGAGGATGACCAGCGGCATGATCAAGCTATCGATCTTGCGCCGCAGTTTCTTCTCGAGCTCCAGCTCTTCCGCGCTGAGCGGCTGCAGGTCGCCGACGAGCTCCTCCGTCTTGGACTCCTCCATCTCGCTTCTCTTCTCGTCTTCTCTTCTCTCCATTGTCATCGTCGTCGTCTCAGGTCAAGGTATATATATATAATATATATACCGGCCTGACATCTCAACCGGCCTTCCAAGTTCCAACCTTCCAACCTTCCAGAAGGCCTTCCCTATATATATATACGGAGTATATATCCTGCTAGTGGACCTCGCCTCCGAGAGCAAAGGCCTTAAAAAACGGGTAACGAGGTGAGACGAGAGAGGGTAGCGTGCCAGACTTCCATCTTCGCGCGGCCAAAACGTCCAGCCGCTTCATGGGTTCATGGGTGACCCTTCTTCCCCATGGGGTCGACTAAGTAAGCCTAACGCCCGGCAAGCAAGCAAGGAAAAGCAGGAAGAGATCAGATCAGATGCCGGGGACGAGGCCGTCGGATGCTGCGGCGTGGGAAGTCCGTATCTTAGGTTGCATCTTGTCTATCAAAAGAAAAGAAGCAGCAGCAGTAAGTTACTAAGTAGAGCGTTTGATAGAAGAGGAACTACGGAGAAGCAGGACTTTGACGGTGGCAACCTCGTTTCTTTTACCTCCACTGGTTCCAGGCCAAGCAAGTAGTGGGAAGTCAAGTCCAGTTCGGCAGCAGAAGAAGACTCGACTATTGAAATGTTTCTAGCTGCTGCGTCTGTCAGATGTCAAAAAGAGAAAAGAAAGGAAGAGAGTAATTTAAGTCCAGGCTGTATCTCTATCTTTATCTACGGCGGGGTGAGCATGTCACAAAAGAAAAGAATGTCACTGTTGATTAATATAAGTAGTTAAGAAGAAGGATTATGCATTAACTCAAGATAGAACTACCAATACACGCACGCACACTCAAAGCTCCATCCGTAGACCAACACATTAAAGAAGCTCAACCAGGGCCATTCAACTGCTTACAGCAAGAGGGCAGCGAGACCGAGGACACCGGCGAGACCGGCTCCGGCGCCAACGACGGCGTGCGAGGCAGCGCCGGTGAAGGTTGGCAGGGGAGCGGTCATGCTGCCGGTGCCGCTGGCGGTGCCCATGGGGGGAGCCTGGGCAGTCGAGTTGGGGTAGGTTGGGGGCTCGTAGATGGAGGTGCTGCCGCCGGTGGGAACTGGGACGGGAGCGCCGGTGCCAGGGGCGGTGGTGGGAGCAACGGTGGCAGAGGTTGGGCTGTACAGGTTAGTCTCTATCTTTCTCTTTCTCTTCTCTCTCTTCATCTTCGTTTGATAAGTATTGACGTACCAGGAGGAGCACTCGGTGATGGTGGAGGAGGTGAGGGTGCGGGTCACGGTGCAGGGCTCGGTGAAGGTGAGCGAGGTAGGCTCCGTGACGGTGTAGGTCTGGCTGCCGTGGGTGATGGTGGTGGCCTCGGGGCACCAGGTCACGTAGTTGGTGAGCACTTCGGTGGTGACATCAGGCATGGGAGCGCCGGTGCCGGTGCCGATGAGGGAGGCAGAGGCGATGCTGGCCATGGCAGCGACGGTAGCGACGGAGTAGCGCATGGTGGCAGATGGAGAAGTAGACGTTGGGCTGGCGGTAGAAAAGCGGAAGAAGCGGCGGGTCGTGAGGTGAAAGAGTGGACGGTCGTGAGAACCTGTAGAGAGCGACTGATGGACGATGCAAGACTTCGTTGAGGGAAGAAAGAGAAAGAGAAGAAGAAGACGCAGAAAGACGAAGCGAGGGTTGAAGATATAAAAAGGGACGCAAGGGGCAGAAGACGCAGCAGAACAAGGAGAAGGGGGAAAGTGGAAAAGCAAAAAAAGGAGTGCCTGGTAAGCGCCTGTACGCGTAACTTCCGGTACCAGCGGGTCTTTTGCGCAGAAGAAAGAAGAAGACGAAGAAGAAAGAGGAGCGGGATCGGCGTCGCACAAGAGAAAGACGATTTGCTGCCACTATCAGACGCCACCGTCCGTCCCCCCGTCGCCGTCGTCACCGTCACTGTCACTGTCACTGTCACCACGTCGTCGCCATCGCCGTCGCCGTCGCCTTCGCCATCTGCTTGTTCTCCTGTTTCGTCTTCTTATTTCTTCTTCCTCTCTGTGCAAATTCTCCTTGTGCCTGTGCTCGCCTGCGTGTCGTTTGGTCGCCCAGAAAACGCCGAGGGCGCCTGAAGGTGGCGTTGCTGGTGTAACTTACGGTACTTACGGTACTTACATGACGTTACCAGGCACCGTAACTTACCTGCCTGACTTTCTATGCTCGACTCGCCCACTTATCCTCAGGACTAGACTCTTTCTTTACCGTCGACACGGCTGGCGAGGCGAGACCAGCGGAGAGCTGACGGAGTGACAGCGAGTGACAGTGACGGCAACAGGGGGAGAGCGAGAGGCAGAGACAAGGGGGGCCGCTCAGGGATGGCAGATGCAGAAACAGAGGGAGATCGAGATGGGAGGACTGCAGTGGGCCCTCTGGCTTGTCTGTCTGTTACTCGTCCTTCCTCTTTCTTCCTTGCTGCTTGCTTCTTCTTGTACCTGAATGTACTGCCCAAGGTCAATCTATGACTCGTCTCGTCACTCTGTCTACCTGTTGTCTCTTTGACCCGGTACACAAGGTACGAAGACAGCACAGTCTGACATGGCAGCAGACTAGTCGACGTCGTGATGCCAGATCGTCCCTGTTGGTGCTTTGTACCTTTGTGGTTCGCTGTCGATAGTCCCGTCCCCTTTATCCGTTTTATCGATGCTGTTCTGGTCACTCTTGGTGGTTCCAGTACGTTACTCTTTGGCCCATCTGCTGATGTTTATTTAAATTCTTTCTCGTATCGCGCGATATTTGTGCGCTCTGATCTGCGCTTCCTTTCGCCGAAGGGTCCCTCCCCTTCCCTCTCTCCCGTCGCTGCACTCACGACCCACGGCTTCAGTGATTACACGATCTTTTAATATTCTGTACAGAGTACGTAGCACTGGTTGGTCATGTATGATATATATAAGGGTTGGATGTCACGTTCAAGTCGAATAGATTAACACAACGGTCTCCAATCAGAAGATCTCACATTGTCCCTGTAAGGATGGTGAAGTTGGGCCGGGACATGTCCACAGCACCCGCAGACGACCGCTTCCCGCGAGAGAAGAAGGCGAAGGCGAGTGTTGCAGCGGGAAAGATGCCCTTCTCGTCACTTTGGATTTAGTTGTGTGAAGAAAAAAAGAAGAAAGAAAGAGAAGAAGAAGAAGGAGAAAAAGATGAAGAGAAAAAACCTTGGAAAAGTGTGGGTCATGTGATTATACTTAGTAAGCTGAAGATGAGTCAAGCATGAGTAAGGAAGATGACTCATTTCTTAGTAAGGCGTCGGTCCGCGGGGATGGCTAGGTCATGCTTAGTCAGTTCCGCGGGAAAGTGGGAGATCCCGAAAAGCGAGCGAACATCGGAGGCAAAAGACAGAAAGACAGAAAGCGATAAAGTCATCTTTCGCTTCCACTTCTCGTCTTCCACCTGCTACGCTGCGATCAGAAAGATAGAAAGATAAAAGACATGTCTCTGCGGTGTGCCAGCGCCGCCAGGCGGTTTGCCGTCCCTCGTTCATTCATCAGACCGGCTCAGTTCGTTCGGTGGCAGAGCTCCACGACCGGCAACCACAATGTGCGTGATAACAATATCAATAATAATAATAACACCACAGTACCAACCCATTGGGTGATAACCAGCTTGCTAACACCATTATAGGAGCTTGCAGAGCACTTGCAGACCACAGACCCAGAGATCTACAAGATAATACAGAATGTACGTCACCTATTATGTTTGTGCCGACAGCAGCAGCTCTAACTGGGAGTAGGAAAAACGCCGTCAAAAGCACTTCATCAACCTCATCCCCTCAGAGAACTTCACCAGCCAGGCAGTCCTCGATGCCCTAGGTAGTGTCATGCAGAGTTAGTACTATCTTTGACCGTCACAATTCGTCGTCGTCGTCTTTGGCGCTTGTTTGGTGGCTGGTGGCCTGACCTCGGCATAGATAAATACTCGGAGGGTTACCCCGGAGCAAGATACTACGGCGGCAACGAGTTCATCGACCAGGCCGAACGCCTCTGCCAGGAACGAGCCCTGCAGACCTTCTCCCTGAACACCGAGGAATGGGGTGTCAACGTCCAAGGTAGGTTCATCCTCTTTCTCGGGCCATTAATATACAAGCAATGCTAAAAGAATGGACGGGTATTAAACAGCCCTCTCCGGCTCTCCGGCAAACCTCTGCGCCTACTCGGCCGTGCTCAACGTCCACGACCGTCTCATGGGCCTTGACCTTCCCCACGGTGGCCATCTCTCTCACGGATACCAGACGCCCACCAAGAAGATCTCCGCCATCTCAAAGTACTTCGAGACCGTCCCTTACCGTCTCGATGAATCCACCGGCCTCATCGACTACGACAAGCTCGCCGAGCTGGCCCTTATCTACCGTCCCAAGTTGATCGTTGCTGGAACCTCCGCCTACAGCAGACTGATCGATTACCCCCGCATGCGCCAGATCGCAGACAGCGTCAATGCCTACCTCCTCGCAGATATGGCCCATATCTCTGGCCTGGTCGCTGCCTCCGTCATCCCATCCCCCTTCGCCCACGCCGATATCGTCACCACAACCACCCACAAGTCCCTCCGTGGACCCCGTGGCGCCATGATCTTCTTCCGCAAGGGTCTCCGCTGTACCGACGCAAAGGGCAACAAGGAACTCTACGATCTCGAGAACCCCATCAATGCCTCCGTCTTCCCAGGCCACCAGGGCGGCCCACACAACCATACCATCACCGCCCTCGCCGTAGCACTCAAACAAGCTCAGTCCCCTGCCTTCAAGGAATACCAGACCAACGTCCTCCGCAACGCCCAAGCCCTCGCCGCCAGACTCGGTAACCCCACCTCCGCCGGCGGTCTAGGCTACAACATCGTCTCCGGCGGCACAGACAACCACCTTGTCCTCGTCGACCTCAAGAACCGCGGCGTCGACGGTGCCCGTGTTGAGCGTGTTCTCGAACTCTGCGGCGTAGCAAGCAACAAGAACACCGTTCCAGGAGACAAATCCGCCCTCAAGCCCGGTGGTCTACGCATCGGCACTCCCGCAATGACATCCCGCGGCTTTGCAGAGGAGGACTTTGCTCGTGTAGCTGATATCGTTGACCGAGCCGTCACCATCACCCAGAAGCTCGACAAGGCTGCTCGCGCCCATGCCGAAGCCAACAAGCGTAAGAACCCAGGCAGCATGAAGGCCTTCCATGAGTTCTTGGGCGAAGGCGAAGAGGTTTCGGAGATCGTTCAGCTTAGACAGGAGGTTGAAGACTGGGTTGGAACGTTCAGCCTTCCATGGACTGACACCGAGTAAGTAGGTTGGATGTGAGCTGGTGAGGAGGCTGTTTATATTCTTCAACGAATCATGAGCATTAAAAGAATATCCCCTTTGATTGATTTCCTCGTTTCCTTTTTCGTTTTCTTTTACTCTTTCTTATATATTATGTTGTGTATTTTTCAACATCTACCTGGCTGTGTTAATACTGCGAGAGTTGCTTTATGTCTACCTTTTAAATGATATCCCTCGTTTAGCAACGGTACCCTCGTTTCCTAAAACAATACAAATGACATCATCTCTTATCTTGTAAACACAGATAGAATAAAAATATATTCATGAATCCGATATTCCAGGCCAGTCTGCGTGTAATGCGTTAGTATAAACCGTGAACGCTGCACTTATGAGAGATAGACAGGAAACTCACCTAGAGTAGTACGCTCAGCGTTAACCTTAGACACCTTCACAGCATCACCAACTCGAATAACCGGCTCGCTGGCCCCCTTTTCCCGGTGCAGGAACCCATACCGTCCAAACACAGGACTATATTTAGACCCCTTATCGACACGTCTATCCTTCATCAACTTTTTAAGAACAGTGCCTGATTCCCCCTTGTGCGGCGCCCCGGTATCGAAATCAACATTCAAACTCATGCAACGCACACAGTTATTTCTAAGCTGCACCTCCACGTCCTCTCCAATAACCAGCTCAGCCCAGTAATCCTCGTCGAACGCCGTCGGAGCACCAGCCAGCACAATGTTGGGTCGGAATTTAGTAATGTCCATGGGTTCATCGGGAGGTAGGCGAGACGATACATTATCGACGGACGTCTGTGATACGACCAGATAAGGCGCCATGTCTGCGAACGTGAGCACCTTTGATGCATCATTTGTTCTAGCCAGACCAGGAATAGGTACCATGCTGGAGATGGCCGACATCCATCCGCCGTTTGTATCAGTGGATGCAAAATTGCCTAGAGCAAGTCGTCGATGTTCACCGATATACGCGAACACGATTTTGAAGCCGAGCCAGGCAGAGAACCAGCTGCTATACTCGACTCCCATGTCATATGCCGTTGTCGGGCTACGATGCATCATCACCTCGAACTGCTTTAAGTTGCTTGTCTCTGGCTTCAGGGGTATGCGTAGGGTATTGCCAACGCCAGCCTCCGGGTGTGGACCGGCTGAGTTCTTATATGTCACTGTTATCCAGCCTTTGTCATCTTGCTCGACGTCCCCGTTGGTGTTCTCTCCGTTTGTCTGATGTGACGAGGGAAACTCAATATCTGTCAGGAAAAGAGAGAGTTTCGGGAACTTGTCGATATGCATGTTCTGCAGTTGGCCGTCTGGCTTGACCTTCAGCAGCATGAAGGTCCTGTCGTAGGGCAGGCCATTGCATGTCAATTTCGCCGAGGTCAGCGTCGTAGGACGCATCGACTTGATAGGGTAGACGTATATCTGCTTGTGCGGACTGTTAGAGTGGTGTTTCCCGTATAGCTACATTTCATAATACCCGGATACGTAAAAAGTATGTACCTGGATAGTTACGTACCTGTGAGACTTGCATCCTGGCGACGTCGACTGCCTGATAAATGGGATGCTTCAAGGCGTACCAGCGAGAGGACGAGAGGATGAACTTCAAACTCTTCCGCCTGGAACCTGCGCCTCTCGAGTCATTATATACCCTACCCTCTAAATTCCCTGCAATTGGTATAGATAAGAAGCACCGAGTTAGACAGGATCGAACAAAGAAACTTGGAAGGGCGTGGAGATCGATCTGGGGCGCGGCGGTTAAAGCGGCAAGGCGGGGTCGGGGTAACTCTTCCCGTGCGCTAAATTAGAGGCATCTTTCCAGACTAGGAACGCGATATCACATTCTAGAAAGCCAGGTGTATCCATGCTAGAGTTGGCAGCCACTCGGTAAGTATACGAAGAAGAGTCGGTGTCCTTTGGTAGTGAAGTACATCGTGGATAGATGGCATTTATCAGGCGAGGGTAGTTATATCAAGCTCTTTCAAAAAAGCACCGGAAAGTCATGGGCTTTCATGCCACCAAGTCGGGGATGGTAGCAAGGTCATCCTGCATGAGCCATGGTTTGCATAGTTGGCATCTGGCAGCCTTAACGTTCAGTTCCTAGGCATATGAAAGCTAGGGATGCTCAGGAGATATGTCTGCATTCTATTTTCAAATGAATACTGTCTTTCATGGATGCTAGAAGGGCTTTGAAGACGGTAGACTTAGTTTGAGTCTACAAGCTCAAAGACCTATCGGAATAGATATTGTCACAAACAGTTAGTTATGTGTCATGCTCTTGATAGCAACTTCAGCCCCCTTGGGCGACTTAGAAGGATTAAGAAGGGCTGAGTCTAGATGATTCAGCGCCTTGATTGTTAGCTGGGTGGATTTATCAACCCTGATGATTGATAGTGTACGTTCGCTTCTATTAGGTGTTGTTGCTTATGCATCGCAACGTTGGTAATAGAAACTCGCCGATGCTAAATGGTTGACAGCGAGAAATCGCGTGTATCAAAAGCCGAAGATTAGAGTAAATTGAAGTTTCGGAGGCTTGAAAAAAAAAGACTAAGATTAGTCATGATAACATCTTGGCATATCTTACATCAGCCACTTTCGAGCACTTTGGGTTGGTGAAATCGAAGACAACCAAAAATAAACAAGACTTCAGGAGTTGCAGTGATTGAGGCCGTAATGAGGGGACTGGATAATTACGACGATGATGTCCGCGCTGTGCTAATTAGAGCCTTTGGGGCTTTATCTTTTTTTTCTTCCTTGCTAAGAATAAATCAAGCGTCGCCTGATAGCCGTCCACCAACCTCCATCTTGGGGATACGCCAACTAACAAATGTGTACACTGACTTCACTCTTCATGAATTCGAAGAGCCCATGGTAGCTATAGAGCAGGCTGAATGATGCCTTCCTTCAGCTCCTTACGGTTTGGCTATGCTTAGAATTTACCCTGCGGACCCCCACGACAAAATCTGCTGAACCCCTTAGTTTACGTCAAGTTGCTGTTGATATTGCGGCTTCGAGGGTTAATGACGCATTATGGCATTCCTTCCATTGAATGAATGAAACGGTTGCTTTGGCCGAATTCGAAAGAGCAAGAATCGATGACGATCTAACGTACGCCGAGAGGTAAGGAGGGGTTGTGAAAGAAAAGCAACGTTGGAAGATAGACAGAAAACCGACAAGACACTACTCTCGATGATTGACATCAGCGGTGACAAGTCAAGGCAACTTTTGAGAGATCAACAGGAATGAAAAGTTGTGAGGTTCAGCTACGGACGGAGTATGGGGCTCTGTTGATTTTTTATACGGCTGTGCCTACTATGGACAGGGAACCAGGATCTGCGCCCCTGGGAACCGCCTTCTTGGCCCCCTTTGTCTGACCACAACCATCGACATGTTGGATGGAGATAGGGATGAAGAAGGACAACAACACCGAACAGAAGACAAAATCCACAGAGTCATGAAAGACTGACGAAATAGGCTCAAAGACACGATGTGATGGCTCCTCCCAGTCCTTCGCTTCTTCCGAATTCTAGTCAATGCTAAGCAAAAAGCAACCATGATCTAGAATTTGAGGACGAACCATTCCTTCCAATCCTGCAGTTCCCATCGGATAAATGTCAGCTCTAATTCGCTGGCCAGGGGCTCCCCTCGCGGTGTGGCTTGCGGAAGCTGAGCTGGGGGGTAGAGGCCGCCAGTTAACCAAAATGCGTGATGATTAGCCAGCCTTGTCAGACAAGAGTGTTGCCAGTCACACTACCACCTAATTGACGAGAAGATAGGCCACTGGCTTGAGCAGCCTTTCTCTGGGCTCTAATCTATTGGTTGCTAAAGATGCGAGATACCAGCTGCAGATTGCGGTGCGCAGACATCCCTGGTTTCCTTCAGCAGATTATGCTTGTTCTCGGTTTCCTTTTTTTCGGCGGCTGAGAAGACCTGGACTGGACGCAAGGCGGATGGGGGCCGCTATCCTGATCCAGTCTGGAGCTTTTGCTGTCTGAGGATATATAAATCGGTCCGCTCGTCCACTTGAGTTGGTTTCTATACCTATAACTACCACATACATACCGGCATTTGCAGGAGGTGTAAGCAGAACCGACATCGACAAGATGGCCACCATTGACGAAGGAACGGAGACAGATGCCCCGAAACTGGGCCGCCGTCTGGTGCTCTGCTTCGATGGCACAGGAAATCACTTCAAGGGCAATGAATCAGACTCTAATGTCGTGAAGCTTTATCAGATGTTGGACAGACATGACAAGCGGCAGTTCCACTACTACCAGCGTGGGTACAACCTTAATATCATGAAAAACCATCCTTGTTGCTGACAAGCTATAGCTGGCATTGGAACATTTAATGTAAACATGTCCACCAGCGTAACTATGTTCGGACGCATGCGCTCCAAGATCAGCGAAATCATCGACAAGGCGATAGGCACGTCTTTCGAGTACCATGTTACTAGCGGATACCGGTTCCTGATGCGTTACTACGAGCCCGGAGATGACATATATATCTTCGGCTTCTCACGAGGTGCCTACACAGCTCGTTTCCTGGCCGAGATGATCGAGCACGTCGGCTTACTCTCCATGGGTAACGAGGATATGATCCGATTTGTGTACGGATCGTTCAGCAAGTGGCAGACTATTCGAGGGAAAGAGAAGAAAACGCCCAAGGACATTGAGGTCGAAGAGTATCTGCAGAAGTTGAAAGTGACCTTTTGCCGTAAGGAGGTCGACGTCTTCTTCCTGGGCCTGTTCGACTGCGTCAACAGCGTCTCGACTCTTGAAATCCCATTCTCCAGCAAAGCATATAGATACTGCGCCCCAGTAAGTTGCAACTATCTTTAATTTTCCTCCCTTTATCTAGTGGCGTGTCTAATATGTATACAAAAACAGTCACCAGCCAGACATGTCCGCCATGCTTTGTCTATCCACGAACGACGTCTCAAGTTCAAACCTGCCCTATTCACCTTTGAATCCGAAGACCGAGCAGCTTCGGTCAAGGAGGTCTGGTTTGCGGGTAATCACTCTGATGTGGGCGGTGGTTTTGCCTATGAGAACAACGCCCGCTTCCTTCTGTCCGATATCCCGCTTGCCTGGATGCTAGAGGAGGCCCTGGCCATCACGGATGCTCCCGCTGGGCCCCTCACCTTCGGCGACCAACATCCGGAGGCCCTGAACCGGCTAAAGACCATCGAGGCCATTCTCGACCATGAGGCCGAGCCCCCCGTTGTCGGTGCCTCAGGGGTCGTGCCGGATGGCGAAGTCAGCCACTTCAAACACCACGACTCCCTCATCATCGGCCGCGGTGCCACGTGGCATATGACCATCATCTGGTGGTTCATGGGTATGCTATTCTCCCTTATTGCTCTTATATCAATCCCCGGACCGACTGACTGACCATCTCCTAGAACTACTACCAGTCTTCACCCGTCTCGAGCTGGAAGACCACCAGTGGAAGCCTCGGTACTGGCCCCCCAACTGCGGTTCTCACAGAGACATCCCGACAGAAGCCATGCTGCACCACACCGTCGAGAAGATGCACAAGGCCGGCATCCTGAAGAAGATGCCAAAGCTGGGAGGCGACAAGGCGCCGCTGCTGAGCGACCCCCTGATCGTGCCTCGGTATATCGGCAAGCTGCTGACTTTCTGGAGGTGAACACGAGCTGAAGTATCCTGTACACGACGAGTATGACAAAGCCCCAAGAGGGCTCTATATCTAATGGTTAATGTTTTGCCTTTTGTGTGTTCTTTATTTTTGTCTTTTTATGATATCCTGTGGCGATGACTTTATGCTTATAACCGCTGGCAGAGCACGGCTGCCCTGAACCAGAACCGTCTATCTAACTATCTTATCTCTCCAATAATAAAAACATCCAATATCTACTATACATCGCCTGCTATCACTATCGTACCTCTATGTAGTTCAAGGCGACGTGATCTGTATCACCTGCTGTGCAACCACCGGGCAAGAAGACAATGCCCTTCTCTCGCTAGTCAGTCGGTTACCTAACTACCTAAGCCGGCCAGGCAGCCTGACTCCCCACGCCAACTGCCGACGCCTGCGCCGCATCTAATAAGCTTGCAGGCTGTCATCAAACTGCGACCTCGACTTCATCAACTTCCGACACCAGCGTCTTCGTCTATTCAGCTTCATCTTCTTCCCGTCTGGATCTTCGCCCTCGGATATTAACGTCATCCCTTTCTTGGCTCCGTTGCCACAAACAAACAATTTTCGATCGCAGCTGAGCGGGTGCGCGGCTCTTGTATCCGATTCCTTCGCCCTGGACTGCCCTCTCTCAGCTCAGCCTCCAGCACCATCTTAGACACTCGATACTACAGTGAACCAGCTCAAACACACCCCGCGACCATCGTCTACAGACTGACGACCAGCCATACCTGCTCCGAAGACGTTCTTGTGTTGCGCGCGCAGCTTCCGACGGACCGTCAAGTCCGAGAGCAAGCAGGGCGGCGGCGGCAAAATCCACATTTAGTATACTAAATATTTGAAATTTATACCACACGACGGGACAGAGTGCGAAGGAAGACCTTTAAAAAACAGAGCGCATTCCTCCCGTTGACTACGAATTGAGACAGACGGCTAGGATAGTGAGCCGTGCCATTTGCGCGGGCAGCCAGCAGCCATGGAGTCCTCCTCTGGTTTGCGTCGGAAGGACACCACCAAGGGACCGCCTTTGCGAATACTATCACTGGGTAGGCTCCTTTCCAGCTTTAATATAAGAATATACATGGAAGATATATATACTAACACGACGCATAGATGGCGGTGGAGTGAGAGGCTACTCGATGCTTATTATCTTGCAAGAGCTCATGTACCGGACGTACGTCGAATGCGAGGGCAAGGCCCCCCGCCGCGACCAGATTCCCAAACCATGCGACCACTTCGACCTGATAGCGGGCACTGGCACCGGCGGGCTGATTGCCCTGATGCTGGGCCGGCTGCGCATGGACATCGAGACGTGCAAGGAGGTGTACATCCGAATGACCCGGCGGGTGTTTGAGACGGACAAGACGATAGCCGGCATACCGTACCGGACGACGCTGTTCAAGGCCTCGAAGCTGGAGGAAGCGATACGGCAGTGTGTGCGGGACCATACCGTGAATGAAGATGAGGGAAACGACGGGACGACAGCGACGAGCGTGAACCCGTTTATGCGAAACACCTCAACGGTGACGCTGCAGCGACGGTTGAGCCGGTCGAGCGTGAGTACGGGGAATACGTCGGTGCCTACTTCGCCGGTGACGAGCCAGACGCTGCCCACGGGCGTCGGACATGTATGGGGGGATCAAAATGCGAAGCTCTACGATAACCGGGAGAACCGAACCAAGACGTAAGTTTTATCATCTTTTATCCTGTGGTATTGCTAACGAACTGTTTTTTCCCAGTGCGGTGACGGCTGTGTATAAAGGGACACCCAAGAACGGGCCGTCTATACTGCTACGGTCCTATGACTCGCGGCGCGAGCCACCACCGGAGTTCAACTGCACGATCTGGCAGGCTGGACGTGCGACTTCTGCCACCGGACTGGCCTTCAAGCCTATCCAGATTGGCCAGCACATCTTCCTGGACGAAGGGGCTGGCAAATACAACCCCAGCCCGCAGATACTGGACGAAGCGGTGGTAAACGAGTGGCCTGGCCGCGAGGTAGGGGCGTTTATCAGCATAGGGACTGGCAAACGGCCACAGGGCTCGACGGCACAGCCGCACGAGTGGTGGGAGGACGTCTTCCGGGACTCGCTGGGCAACTTTGCAGAGGCACGACGACGGCTGATCGCGAAGATTGAGGGCTGCGAGGCTACGCACCAGTTCATGGTAAAGGACCATCTGGTCAAGCGCAATGTCCCGCGAGAGGTGTACTACCGGTTCAACGTCGAAGTCGGCGTCGGCGAGTTTGGGATGAACGAATGGAGCCGGCTAGCGGAAATCAGCACCAACACGCGCATGTACCTGTCGAAGAGCGAGGTGCAGCGGATGAACTACGAGGCTGCAGTGAGGTTGGCTCGAGTCGACCGTATGCACAGGAGGTTAGGAGGGAGGCTGCCGGGCGTCCTGCCATCAGCAGACGAGGCACTGGAGGAGCGCAAGAACCGACCTGTGCCTCCTGTCCCACCGCCGAAGGACGCAGAAAAGGTCGAGGATGGGCACGTCTTTGAGCTGCCTGCCATCGAGCTGCCGGCCGAAGAGCATCTCGAGCAGAACCAGGCTCATCATCGACCGGGCACATCTCAAAGCTCGACGGCCGTCAGCTTCGTCTCGTACGATGACAAGTTCACCGTCGTACGCAACAACAACACCAACAGCGACGGACATGACCTCCCCGAGCCTGTCTCTGCGCCTTCTGGCCGCCGCAGCTCAGAGGTGCTCCCCGTCTCTCCCGCCCGTCGCAGTCAAGAGAACCACAGCCAGCACCATCCCTCGTCCTCGCTTGAGTCTCCGTCGCGAGTCAGTCTGGACGTCCACTCACGCCCTTCAACCGCAGTAGCAGGACCACCGCCGGCCGGGCCACCACCACCTCTACCACCCAAGACGCCCATCCCTTACCCTGTCAGCAGCGAGGACGTCACCGCAGGCACTCTACCGATGCCCTCGCTGCCGCCGCGCAGCCCAGACAGGCCAGTCTCTATCGTTGGACCGCCGCGGAAGTACAAGCTGCCGTATCCTGACGACGGGCCGCCACCGGTCAACCGCACGCGGAAACCTACCTACAACTCCAACTAAACAACTACTTAATACAAAAGAAAAAGAAAGAAAGAAACCAGAAAGGTAACGAGTTATGCATCTCCTTGGTACATGTCTTATCATGTCTTGTCTATCATGTCTATCATGTCTATGTCTATATATCTAATATCTATCCGCCACTACCTACTCCAACTTTGTCCTCTGTCTCCTTCTACTCTGTCCCTCTGTCTACTCTGTCTACTCTAGTCATTGGCTCGCCTGGTCTTCCTTTTCCTCTTCCTTGTCCTTTTTGTCTTCGTGCCGTCTTCGTTGGCTGGCATCAAAGTCCGCCTCTTGGTCCTGCAGGTCAGCCTGTCTTGTCATACTTAATACGAGATATCTTCTACTTCTTCTTCTTCTGCTTCTTCTTCTGCTTCTTCGTCTATCTCGCTCTTCTACTGCCTGCTCTGTCTGCTGCGTCTTCCTGCCTACGAGTTCCCTGCGTGGCGTCGGACGTCATCTACGCCAGGGCACGCCTTAGTAAGCCCCTGTCTTTCCACTCTACTTAAAGCCTTAACTAAACTCTTTAGCTAACGCTTTAACCAACCGCAGGCGGCCTTTAACTATCCCTTTAACTAGCTTTAACTAACCCCAGCCGCCCGCCCGCTAAACCAGCCACTTCGTCTTCGTCTTCCTTTCCTTTTCTTTTCTTCTTCTTCTCTTTTTCCCCCTGGCCCGTCAGTTTTTCGCCTTCGTCGTCGCCTTCGACTTCTTCACCCTTCAAACCTCGACCTCATCTCCTCTCGCGGGCCTTGACTGACGCTCGACTCGACCATCCGAGCCGCCGCGACAGACCTGACGGCAGCAGCATCGCACTCCAGACCGACCTCTCGCCGGTTACACTGCGTGCGTCGTGCCTGGTTGCTGGTAGCTTCTGGCTCTCGGTGCTCCTTGGTACTTCTTCAGGTACCGTCTTGACTGCTTAAATCCCCCGACCGTCAACCAGCCACACCCTGACCCTGACTCCTTCGGCGGCTAAACACCAAAACATAAACAACATCGCCATAACAACAAGACGGACGCACACTGGCAGCACGGGTACACAGAGATATCAGGATACCGTCCAACGCTACGGAGCATGTTCGATGAGGCCGTCCTGGCCGCTCGCTCTGGCGGCAGCCCCCTGGGCTCGCCCGACTCGCGTCCGCCAGCGTTCAAGGCCGTCGGCATCACCCTCGCTGTCTGCTCTGGCCTCTTCATCGGCATCTCCTTCGTGCTGAAGAAGGTCGGCCTGCTCAAGGCGAACGTCAAGTACAACGAGGAGGCCGGCGAGGGCTACGGATACCTCAAGAATGTCTACTGGTGGGGAGGCATGTCCCTGATGATCCTCGGAGAACTCTGCAACTTCGTCGCCTACGCCTTCGTCGATGCCATCCTCGTTACCCCCCTGGGCGCCCTGTCCGTTGTCGTGACGACCATCCTGTCGGCCATCTTCCTCAAGGAGCGGCTCAGCTTCGTGGGCAAGGTCGGCTGCGTCAATTGCATTATAGGGTCGGTCATTATTGCCATGAACGCTCCGACGCAGTCGTCAGTTGCGAACATCCAGGACATGCAGCGCTACGTTATCACTCCCGGCTTCCTCTCGTTTGCCGGTGTTATTATTGTCGTCTCTGCCTTTCTGGCCATCTGGGCAGGCCCCCGGTACGGCAAGAAGAGCATGTTCGTCTACCTGACCATCTGCAGCTTGACGGGTGGACTCAGCGTCGTCGCTACTCAGGGCCTCGGAGCAGCCGTCATTGCTCAGATCATGGGCAAGTCTCAGTTCAAGGAGTGGTTCCTCTGGGTTCTCTTGGTCTTTATCATTGCGACCCTGCTTACCGAGATCATCTATCTAAACGTACGTTGGCCCTACAATATTATTATTGTTATAACTGTTTCATCTAACGGCAAGTAGAAAGCACTTAATCTGTTCAATGCGGCTATGGTTACCCCTACCTACTACGTCATCTTCACCAGCGCCTGTATCATCACCTCTGCCGTCCTCTTCCAGGGTTTCAAGGGCACAGTCGTCAGTATTACCACCGTGGTCATGGGTTTCCTCCAGATATGTACTGGTGTCGTCCTCCTCCAGTTGTCCAAGTCGGCCAAGGACGTTCCAGATGCCGCCGTCTTTAAGGGAGATCTTGACCAGGTCCGTGAGGTCGCCGAGCAGGAAGAGGGAGAGCTGGAACCAAAGGCAGATGCCATCAGAGGAACAGCTGCCATTATCCGCCGTATCTCGACCCCGCGTCAGAAAATGGAACAAGAGGAAATCAGACGCTTCCATATGGACCAGAGGCTCGACGAGCTCGAACCCGTTGGCGAAAATGAGATTATCGAATGGGACGGCCTGCGTCGACGACGGACTACTTTGGTCAACGGCGTGCCTGCTACCAGCCCCCGCAGCCCCCGTCGTAGGGTCCAGCATCCTCCACTGGGTATGTCTCGCTTCCCAGACTACTCCGAACCTGAAGTCAGGGCTCCCCGAGAAGGTATGGAGGGCTCTCTTATGGGCAGCATTCGCAAACGTGCTTCAACTGCTTTACATCCCTACTGGCGGCCTAGTGGAACCATATCCCCCCAACCGATGGAAAACGACGGCCGTCTCGACTCACCCAAGTCGATGCCTGAACGGCCCTCTGAATCTGATCCTTTCACTCGCCATGAACTTCTCCAGGCATTCCAGTACAACAAGGCCATCCGTCGTCCTCGCAGTGAGACCATTGACTCGGTGATCAACGAAAAAGCAATTAGGGAAGAGAAGGCACCCCTTTTCGACGGCAGCAACGGTAACGGTAACGTTGACGTTAACATCATTGGCGACTCCAAGGAGAAAGCAGACTCTACCAGCCCTCCTCCAACGCCTCCTGCACATAGAGCCCATCGACAGTTCTCGTTCAACGTCTTCCGCCGCAGCTCATCCGCAGCTCCGCCGACAGAGCGTCTCACAACCCCTACAAAGACAACCCATTTGCATCTCCCACACTTCATATCCCATCACTCCCGCACCGGCAGCAACTCCAAACCTGCAAACACAGAGGAAGAATCACTTGGCCTCTCCGCAGGAGACAAGGGCAAGGCCCGGTCCCCTTCACCATCCGCCCACAAAGCTTCCTCCTCCCGCCCGGACAAGGTCACCCGACACTCCCATGGCAATTCCTCAGAGTCCCTCCGCCATGTCCTTTCCATCTCGTCTTCCTCAGCGGGTGAATCCTCCAACACCCCATCACCATCCCAGTCCCAGTCCCAGTCCATCCAGCACGCTTCCGAACTTGCCCGTCCATTAACAGGAATCTCCGAACAAGACCATCGAGAAATCGGCCCATCAGACTCAACATGCTCGTTCCCCAAGTTTGATGCTTCAACTTTCCCACATTCGGCAATGACTTCATCGCCCGAAGAAGCCAGGAGAGGCCGTAAGGAACGACGAGGGAACGTTAGACAGAGCTACGACAGTTCCCGTGATGACTCCAAGGGTGCGAAAAAGGGTGACAAAGGTCCAAGCAAGAAATAAAATACCACCACCACTACCACGTTGACGAAGAATAAATTGCATTCCATTCGATTCTGGTTGCAGTGATTAGAGCAACCTGCTTCTCTTCTTCTTTACCGGCGTTAAGTTGTTTTAATACATACATAGTTGCTTCCACGCAACTTTTTCATGACCGGCCGTTCCGTCGGCCACGGCCTAACCACGGCCGCTTGCTTCACAGTTCGACTTGTTCGTTTATAACATATTTTGTCTTGCAAAAATATACGGAGTATATAGGGAAAGCCTTTAATACACGGCTCGGCGTGGCCTTTGGTCTTTGTCATTTGTGAATTTGTTACTTTTTCTTTTCTTGCCATTGCTGCTGCTGCTGTTGCTGTCATTTTACTTGTTTATATTTTGCCTTGCCAGCCTGCTATGGAACGTCTGCAGCTTGTGACTTTTTAATGTATGCATTTGTTTTACTTTGCTTTACTTTGCTTTGCTTTGCCTGCTTGCCTCTCTCTCTGCCATACCCTGCCCTGGAGACAGAAAACTCGGCAGAGAGAAGAGAAGAGAGAAAAAAGACACTGTTGAATCATTTGTTGTTACGCCTGTTTGCTTGCTACCATGTTGATGGGATGACTTGTGTTTCGTCTGCCTTGATTGATATTTGCAACTTTGACCATTTTGGCTTGCGTTTACTGTCTTGCTTGTCTGGGTGGATGGCTGGCTGATAGCTAATGATGATGACGATGATCATGTCTCTCGGGCGGTGATTTGTTAGGACCAGTCAATGAGCGAACGAACTGGTCGACTTGCTATTTTCAAAGAAAATAAAAATGATACAAAGTACATAGATGCATGTCCCGTCTACTTTATCACAAAATCTAGGACGCTTCTCTGTTTCTTCGACGCAAGATGTACATTTGCGAATCTCGCTTCAGGTAACCTGCAGCCAGCCTTGATACTCTCAAGGACCCTGATAATCAATCGGACATTAGCAAACACCGTATCTATGGAACCAACGCAATAAGACAGAAATGAGATACTCACCACTCGACCCCAACGAATTTAATGCCCATCCCGCCAACACGCCGTATCTCACGCTGCATTTTCCCTGCCGCTAGACCTCCTCCAGCTCCAGTCTGAGAACGGCCGGGATCAGCACCGGCACCGGCACCGGCACCCCCAACCTCACACTCTCCATTAGGATGACCGAGGATGACGTGCGTCACGTTCCGCCTGGTAAGACCAATTGATAACTTCGCTCCATGATCAATAAGTATGTTTTTCAACCTATGGTCTGATATCAGTGGCATTGTGGAACCGTTGATGTATATCGTCAGATCAGCAAACATACGCTTATCCTTGTCTACATGGGTATCATCATTAATTTCGTCTTTGTTATCATTCATACCTGAACCAGCTCATATAACTAGTTAGCTCGTTACTTTCCCAATGACCCTAGCAGTTTAAATAATGAAGGACACATTGCGACTGTTTCAAAAACTTACTCGTACGATCGTATCGTTTATCAAAGCATACCGCCCCCTTGCTTTGCTCCAAGCTCATTACCAGCTCATCATCACCAGCCACTTGCCCATGCTCATGGATATGTTTATGTTGTGGTCCCTGCATCAGCTTCATACGCTTAGCCACCTCGGACTTTCCATTGACTTCATCCCCAGTCCTCCTTTTGCCCGTGCTCATGAAACGACGTATATCCCCGTCCCCAGCACTCAGATGGCCGAGTTTCTTCCGCCCCTGTTTATCGAGCCATGCCCACTCGCCGTTGCTGGCTTTGGAAGTCTTGCCGTACTGAGCTGATAGTTTCTGGCTGCGTACTTGAGTCCAGCCAGATGAATTTGTCTGCTTCACTTCTGCGCGCTGGTGGCCTGTCGAGACGGAGTTCCAGGTGTCGAAAGTTTCGAGTGCCGCGTTGGATGGTGTGGTGAGTATCTGGCGTAGTGACGGGGTTATTTTTGTATCCTTGGGCGGCATTCTGCGTGCCAGCCGTGGAGGCTAAAGGGGTTGTTCCTTCCCAGTGCTTGTTCCTCCTCTTGACTCCCCTGGCCTCTCCTCTTTCTACTTCTCTTTCTTTGATATCGAGTCGAGATCGCGAGTCTGTTGATGCTTACTGCCCGAAAGAGGTTTAGCGCGACGGGAAGCTGCGATCACTTGCAGCTCACGTGATCACGAGCCTCCTTTAGAAGTTTGTTAGGTAAGCCAAAGTGTTATTCGACGAATAACACGAAGAAGATCTCGAAGAGTATGAAATTAAGATTTAAAGAATAAGATAATCTGGCTACTGCTACCCTTGTTGGATCAATCCCTAGGGTCATACTCGTAGTTCCAAAACGTACCGACTAGAGAAGGACAGGAGCAAAAGTAGGAAATTCGTGTCATATCAGGGTCATTAGAAACGAAACGAGATCCAGCAGAAGGACAAAATTTTTTGGGGGGAGATTTCAAAGATGTGACAAAGGACACAATAAACGATCAGACAAGCAAATAGCAGAAAATAAGCACAGAGAAGAGCAACAAAGGAATCAATAAATGGGAAAAAAGTCAAATCAGCGAATTGTATAAAGGGGTTGTTAGAAGTGAATGCAAAGAAAAGTAAAGCCATTGCTGTCAGCTAGCTGGGAGAGTCACATCAAACACATCAAACCACATGCAAATCATTCAACTTTAAGTACCAGCAATGTAAAACATGACGCAGATAATTACTCCGAACCCAAAGGAAAGGAAGTAGAGATTTGTAGTTAGGTAGGCAGGTAGGTAGATTGTGTCATTGGGAGGGATATCAGGTTCAGGGGTCATTATAAAAACACATGTAACACGTTTGCTTGAGTAGGAGCGTAAAAGGCCCCTGCTTGGGCCGGGGGAGGGCGTGGTTCGAGGAAAGCAGGTAATCAGGTAGGTAGATAGGAGGGATCGGACATTCCGCTCCTGGGGCAAAAGCAGTTGCAATGGCCGGCTGTAGAAGAGGTAGAAGATCGAAGATCAATGAAGAAAAAAAAGATAATAGAAGAATCGCAAAAACTCCTAATGCAAGAAGATAAAACGCAAAAACAACAAGCATAAGAAAAAGAGATAATTGGATTGGGGAAAGCGGAAGAGGCTTCCCGTTCTTTCAAACAAGATGTTCGAAGTGAGTATGCAGGTCTCCTTGAGATACCGAGAGTAAGGAAGAGCAGGCACTTTTGCCAAAGCGTAAAAAAAAGGACGGGCTGGTCGACGGACTGAAAAGTTTGGGACGAACTCGATGTATTCGCTGACTGACGAAGACGATGGCGCTGACGGGAAAACAACATTTGCTTAAAGGGAAAACAGCATGCAGCGGACATTTGCATGGATGGACAGGGAGATAAACACTCGCTTTCGTTAATCGGTCGTTAAGGTAAAGAGATATGAGTTTTCAAACGCAGCATTTTGGTTGGTTCTTTTTCTTTATTTTTGGTGGCCTCGCCGGGCGGCGCGGGCTTGATTTATAAGGTTTTTTGGAGGATATTTTGCTCGTTATTCGTTTAAGAGGCGGGGGAATCGTATCGTGTCGTGTCGTTGGCATGTCATGTCAATTGGTTAGTTCTTTTTAAAGACAGTGGGTGAAGTTGGGCTGGTTGTTGATACGGGTGTCGTCGTTGTCGTTGTTTTTGTCTGTTCACGTTTATATATGGTTTTGTATATCCATTCTCGAGTCAAGGAGACATCAAATTCGTTAACTTTTCATTTCCGCCGGCCTGCCAAAGGGTATGGTATATTGGCAAAGGGAGATTTGGCTCGTCACATCCGTCTTGGGAAGTCGCTGGATTGTACATTTTGTAAGCTGAGGGAAGCTGGTACAATGGGGCCGGAGGCGGTGTCGATGAGCGTTTTCCGACGCTTATGCTCGTAGGTGGAGCCTTGGCCGCGGCTTTCGGAGCGAGGAATCTCTTCTACATCTTCTTCGTCGCGGGAACGCTTGCTTGAGCCGTTCATGGAAGAAGAGTAGCCTGGCGTGCTGGCAGGGGCGGAGTAGGCGTCTGAGTAGGTTGCAGTGCCGGCATTGTTGGCGGGAGAGTTGCGGGTATCACTCATTACGCTGTAGACGCTGTTGGGGGCGCCTGATCGAGGAGTGTATGTTGATGGCCAAGGTCCTGAAGAACGCTTGTCCGCTCCGTTCTGGTGAGGTGGAGGAGCAGCCATCTCAGAGGGGAGAGGCGTGTGTTCGCTGGGCATGGAGCCGACGGCCTGGGTGGATGGGTAGGCCGGGTAGGAGGCACGGTTGGAGTTGTAGGCACCATTGGAATCGTTGATATATTCACCGTCAGTACCTTGGTGCTGCTCTGCGGGCTCTGGTTCACCAGTGGGAGGCCCATTCGATCCGTTTACTTGGCCGTTTCCCTGGCTGGAGATGCTATGTTGAGAAACAGGCTGGTGAGAGGCGTAGTGTGACTGCGCAGCTGGAGCAGAGGAGTAATATGGCTTGGAATCACTGTAGGCAGACTGGCTCTGGTAGGCTTGCATGGCAGACATGTTTGCACCTGGTGGAGTGGTCGCAGGAGTGGTTGGCATTGACCTTGTGCCATTCATTCCAGACTCGAGTGGAAGTGGCTGAGAGCTCTGAACGCCGTTGGACATGTTCTGTCCGTTCCACTCGTAAGAACCGGGTTGGCTGGGCATGCTTAGGAGGCTAGAAGCACTGGTGGGAGGCGTGGGAAAGGTGTGAGCGCGGTCTAGCGGAGGACGACCAGGCATGGGGTGCGGCATGCTAGCAAGAGAAGATGGCTGGGACATGTGCGTAGTCGTTGGATTCTGCATAGAGTGGTGATGGTGAAGTGGTGGCGGGTGTGCTCCGGGTGCTGGGCGTCCCAATGGCTGGCTGTTCTCGATCCGTCTGCGGTCCGAAGCTGTGACGATGGCATTGGCGCGGCTTTCGTTCACTGGGTGGTATAGCAGACTTCCAATAGCGTGAACGAAGAGTGGATAGAGCTGGTCGGTGATCTTCTCCTTGTTGGCAAAGTCGAGAGCACGCTCAAATGGTATCCTATGGATGTTAACTTAGGTGGCCACTTTGAAAATAGGTAGGCAGAGGATTCTACATACCAGACACCCTTGAGATGCATAGGCCCAATCTTCACAACATGTCGGATCTTTTCACTCTTGAGAATGCCGTCTCTCCTGCCTCTGGTCATTCCAGCAACATTTAGCAGTTTTGTACCGTTAATCATATGGTTGTCTGTTAAAAATGTTAGAATATATGAAGTCAATGTATTGTTTTTTCCATATTGACGAAGTTGACGACTGACCCTCTCTGCGAGCAACACAGACGCCTTTGGCCTCGACCTGGAAGCAGAGACTGCCTTCATCTTCCCACAGCGTAGCTGTGACTCGCGGCTTCACGCCTGGTGGCGCTATCTGGCCGGTGGTATCGTATGGAGCCTGGGACGAGTAAGGTTGGACCTGACCCGCGGAATTTGGTACGTAGCCATGAGAGCTTGGAGCCGTCGAGTTTAATGCTGGGAACCATTAACCAATGTTCGCCACATAAATAAACATTGTTCTTTGAGGGGTACAGATGCTATAAGACGATATGGGAGACTTACGAGGGAGAGGCAGGATCTGAGCTGGTCCCTGACCGTTTAGGGAGTTGGGCACTGGCTGATTGCTGGGCGGCGAGGTGATGCCGTTCGAGTACCCATACTGGGGGTAGCTATGCGGGGGAGCGTAGGCGGTAGGGCCTGGCTGCAGCAACGAGGGCTGCTGGTACTGTGGATAGTGCGAGATGCTGTTCTCCGTCGGTGTCCCCTGCGAGGTGTACGGCTGCGAGGAGGCCAAATGCGACGACTGCATATCCATGTACGGCTGTGTCTGGTTCATGCTTCCAGGCGCGACTCCGACTCCGACGCCAACGCCTGCTCCAACGCCTATACCGACGGTGACGGTGATGCCCACACCGTCCGCAGCAGAGAGCGAGGGAGGGCTTCTCGGCCTCCACAGCTGGCTTGGGAGTAGCTTGAGAGGCTGAACGGCCGAGTCTTGTGGGAGGAAGTGCGGTCCAGGGGACTAAGGATGGGGAAGAGGCCGTACGAGATCGTCGGGCCAAGGAGGAGAGCTGGTAGCTTGTGCGCTTGAGAAGAGCGTCTTCCTCGCTGCGTGGTGTTGTACCAGGAAGATCCACGGCGCTCCCGGGTGTGAAACCAGGGAAATCGACGGCAGCTCCAGCTTTTCAGACTGAAAGGGGGTGACTCGGTTAAAAGACGAGTTTAGTAGCAGACAGCCTGGGGAACCGACTCTCGAATTGGTCGTTCCTTGTCTCTTCTCTCTTTCTTTCTCGTGTGTAGCTCCAAGGTTGATATCAACGGAGCTTATGTTGCAGCTGCTGTATGGGCAAACCCGAAAGAACTCAAGCAAACAGATCTAAGCAAATGGATGGACAGACAGACAGTAATGATAGTCGTTAACGTGAACTCGTAACGTCGTAGAAGTCACTCTCTTCGATCTTCTCCGGGCTCCTCCTTTTTGTATATATAAATTTTGTTATATCTTCCTTTTTTCAGTGGTGTGGTAGTGTGTGTGAGCCGGCTCTGAGATGTATGCTACTATCTCAACGGCCAACGGTATCTATACACGAGTTAGCCAGAGACCACCACCTGCAGTTGCGGGAAGATGTGTATGCATGGGATGATGGAGAAGACGGAGAAGAAGAAGACGGAGGAGGAGAAGAGGCAAAACCGACTCTTAGAGCAGCAGCAGGCAGGGCAGGCAGGGCAGGCGAGACTGCAGAGACAAGGTCATGGACTCGTAAATAGAACAGACGCAGCAGCACAACCCATGCAAGGACTTGACTGAAGCAAGCAAGCAGCAAGAAGAAGAGAAGAAAGAAACCAGAATCGAAAAAGCAGAGGGCAGGACGAGGGATAAAGAGGAAGAAGACTTGATAGTAGAAGAAGTAGAAGAGGAAGAGGAAGAAGGAGAAGAAGCAAGCAAGCAAGCAAGGTGAAGTTCAAGTAAGTCTCAACTGGTGGAGAATCGCATTACTTGCTTTGCTTTAGGCGCTTCTTTTGCTTCTTCTCTCTGTCCTTTGGTCGTTTCTCTCTCGCTGCTGCTGCTGGTGGCTGCTGGTTGTCTGTCAGGGGCTGGTTTGGAGTTGGTGTGTGTGTGTTAAGTGTGGGAGTGACTTTTCTGCTTGCCTCTGTCTCTCTCTGCCTCTTTCTATCTATTATTACTCTCTTCCCTCTTCTTGCTTCTGCTGCTTCTTTTTTAGTTCCCTTGCTTGTCTCTTCTGCTGCTGCTCTTCTTCTTCTTCTCTGGCGCCTTTTTTTGCTTTTCTTTGCTTTTTCGTCTTCTCTTCTCTTTTTTTGCTTCTTCCACGGCGTATCATTCATTCGATACCCTTGGGATCCGCCCGTCTGTCCGTACGTAACGAAGACAACTAGCTTACTTACTTTTTTTGCTTCTTCTTTCCTTTTTCTTATTCTTTTTTTTGCAAAAGTTGCAAGAGGCGGGCCTCTTCTTCCTCTGCCTCTGCCTCTTCCGCTGCCTCTGCTTCTTGTCGTCTCTCGCTGGCTGCCGGGGGTGGCTGGGGGTCGTGCAAGCAGATTGGTTGACGGGTCTGGCTGGCCGGGGGCAGGAGGTTGCTTTTTGGTAGGCGATGACAGAGATGCTGATGAAGATGCTGATGATGCTGATGATGATGATGATTGATGATGAAGCAGGACGATGAGCAAGATTATAAAGATGCTGAGGATCTGAAGATAAGTTGTCAGGCTGCTGCATGTTAAGTATATATTTATATATATGCCTTCTACAACAGTATACCTAAGTATACACTCTGTACATCTTGACTAAGGTAGCTATAGATTACATCCCTGAGACGGTTTCCAGTCATGCACATTCATCAGTGCTCGCTGAGTTTCATCAGCGATCAATCAAGATGGGCAGCAGAAGACCCCTTTTTCTTCTTCTTTTGATAGACGACGTCGTATGTATGTCCGGATGTTATTATCATGTACCGTGGATCGCGAACCCGCCAAAACACACAGCGTGCCAGACCAGACCTCGTACCAGGCCTGTAACTTGCTGGTTACTCTTGACTGACTCTCGTCTTCTTCTTCCTCCAGGACGGACGCCCTTGGGGGTATTTTTGCAGAAGGGCGACGGAGACCCTTGGCTGGCTCTTTTTTAGCTGAGCTTCTCGCCCCCCAGCCATCCATTTCCCTTCTCTCTGTCTGTCTCTGTCTCTCACTCGAGCTCTGCAAAAATCAAAAGAGATACAAAAAAAAGAAGCAAAAAGAGGGCCACTTCCCATCGTTTCTCTCCCATCTCCAGGGAGCAGAGACTGAAGTGAGGTGAGAAGTGCGTGGAGCGTGGAGCGAGCAAGCAAGCCCGAGGGTGGATCAAGGACAACTCACAACTCACACTTCTCGGTCTGGTGATACCATTTGCTGGCAAACATCTCATGGGGAGTTCTTGCTTTTTCCTCCCTCGTCCTTTTGGTCGTGCTGGCGGTGCTTGCTGGCGGCGGGCAGTGGTCGGTGGCCAGTGGTGGTGGTGATGCTCTCCTCCCCCCCCCTGCAAGCTGCTCTCCTGCCTCCCATCCTTGCCTCTCCTGGTACGCAGCACCGTTCTTCTGGAAGCAAAAGCACCGCTGGACTCGTTCGTCCCTCCGTGCTCTGCTTGCTTCTGCTTCCGCTGCCTGCTGCTTCTTTCTGCGTCTCCGGCTGCTATTCTTACTTCTCTAGCCTCGGGATCAGCCGCCCCGTCAACCTGGCTTCTCTATCCGTTGTTCGCTTTTGGGGTCCTTTTTCTTTTTCTTTCTTTTTGACCCCTTTCCCTTCCTCTATCTCTGTCTCTCTGTGTCTCTCGCACTGTCTGTGTCTTGCCTGTCTTCCCTCTCTCCTTCGATCTACACTCGTCTTCTTTGTCTGTCAGGCTAACCAACTAGTACTAGTGGTGCGGTTCGTCTGAGCGTAGGTGGAAACGTTGAAAAAAATAAAATAAATGACAGCAAAAATGAAAAAAGCCCATATCATATATCAAGGACCCCCCTGGGGCCCCCACGAATGGGAGAAAGGCAGAAGGGATCACCAGTTCCAGCCATGCGCAGTTCCCGATACCGTACGCCAGTGCGTTCGTCGTCCCTCTACGCTGGGGGAGAAGGGGAAATGGATAGCCAACGCCATCGCCCTGGGCCCGGAAGTATGTACGGACGGTGTGTATGTGTGCGTATGTATGTGCGTCTGTGATGTATGTACGTCTGTCTGTCTTCTTCCGTCCCTGTGCCTTATCCTTAAATTCTTTTGAGTTCGAGAGGTTCTACAACGACCCTCTACACTCGCATATCCTGCTGGCTGGTTCTTTCGACCTTCGTCATTCTCGTCCTTCCGCTGGTTCAGGGGGAGGCGTGATTCCACCGTAGACAGCACCTTTCCTCCTCCCCCCGAACAAGGGAGAAAGGAAGCCCTCAAGAACACTCGCTGCTCACCTCACTCACACGGCTCATCGCATCGCAACTTAATCTAATCGAATAAAGAAGTGCAAGCGGAATCAGAGACAGATCACCGTCGATCAGATAGAAATCTCATCTCGTTTTCAATTTCGACAGAAAAGAAAAAGAAAAAGGAAGAGAAAAAAAGAAAAAACGTCCCGAACAAAGCCCCCACTGGAGGGAGACCTTAACTAAAGAGGAATATGTATGTCTCTTCGCATGTCTCTCTCTCTTAGCAGAGGGAGTAGCAGCTCGTTTTCTTTCGCTGGACGTATTTTGGAACAGCCTCCAGAGTAGTTACGGAGTACTCCGTAGACAAAAGAGTCGTACAAGGACGCCTCTTCTCTCTTCTCTCTCTTCTCTCTCTCTTTTTGATAGACATCCTAACTGCTTATGGACCGTCCATCGCTACAAAGACAGGCCCTTAATTGTGGTTTCCGCCGTGCGTACCTACATACACACATACATACATCATGTATGCACATCCATCCATCTATCTGTCGCCCTCATGCAATGTCCTGCAACTGCAATGCAGGCAAAGAAACTGCTGGAAAGCGAGCTCTCTCCTTCTTCCTTTTTTCCTTAACCCATCGAACTATGGATCTGACTAGTTATGTATCTAACCAGCAGCTGTTTTGCTTCTTCTTCCTTCTTCTTCTTCTCTATCAAACCGTGATCTCCTGCCTGTCTCGGCCTCCTTTCTTTCTTTCGCCCTGTCAAGGATAAGACATCTCCATCACGACCAAATGATCGTAGATAGTCGAGTCAATCAGTCAATCAATCAAATCAGTCAGTCTAGTTTACTATTTGATCTGATCCATTCTACCTCCGTCTTCGCTTCAGTCGCCGAATTTAGTGAATGGTTTTTATATTGATGTACTCATTCGCTTGCTAGACCTACAAAGGGATATTCAAGTTATCCCTACAACGATATCTAGCCATGGGTTAAGTCCTTGATATATACGGAGTACAAAAGTACCATTTTTGCATCCAATAGGCCATCCACCACTCCCGAAGTGACTCGAGCAGATACCGATACCGCTGGCCATCCGCTGACAGCACTAGGATGTCCAAATAAAAAGTCAGTGACACCTCCATCAAGGTAGTAATAATAAGTCAAGGCCCGGGCCGCTCTTTTGGCCCCCGTTCCCCGCCAGGATCAATCAGTCAAAGTGCTCGGTTTACTTAATTGTTTATTTTTAATTATCTTCTTTTCTTTTCCATCCGTTTCGTTTATTACTTTTTTTTTAATTCATCCAAAACCACCGTCGCTGCCGCTTTGGCCCTGCTGGATACATAGTGGCCTGTTCGGTCTGTCCCTGACCGAAACTAGGATAAGCAACTTAGCTAGTCTCTTTTTCTTTTTGATATATTTTATATTTTTGATTAATTGCTCCGTTGGCCAGGTCAGCAGTAAAGGGCAAAAGGCCCGATAACGGGGCTTAGGCAACATCCATCGCGGACTAGCCTGGCCAGTCAGTTATTCTCTATTTCTCTAGTCTGTGTCTGGTCGTTCCGGGTTGTGCTGATTCGGTCTCCTTGCAGCGTTGAAACGAACGAAGGGCCGGGCCCCCCTTTTTTCCAGTCCCAACAATCCCTCCCCTTGCATCGGTCTATTGTTTTATCATGAACGGATTCGAAAGCAACTCCCTTCGTCACGGTCAATCTGCTCGCCAACCAGGGCTTCGTTCTTGTTATTTTTAGGCCCTGCTGAAGGTTTTCGCTATCCACGGCCCGCTCTACATGGCATGGCATTACATGGCATGACATTGTTTAGTAAGGGCATGTATATAACATACATCAGTAAAATTACTTTACCTGTCGTCCTTGGTATCGGAATCATGTAACTATTTGCATCCTCGCGAGTCAGTCCACCTCGAGGGAAAATCCACATGTCCTTCCCCCGTCTGGTCCTCGATCGATGGCAGAGCAGCCGGCCGGTGGATGCCCGCTGTCAATGCGGTCAGGAGGGACAGGCTGCGAGGTTGGTCAAGCCTTAGAGTTAACTAGAGGGGGGAAGGAAGCAGGACAAGGAGAAGAAGTATGAGTAACACCGACCGGGTAGGATAAATTAAGCTAGCATTGCATCCTGGCGGGAGAATGAATTGCATGGCACATACATGTCGCCATCCGGCAGTTTAGCCTGATGCACCGTACATACATACGGAGCACATACATAATAGCGTATGCGTACATATACTCCGTTAGTTACTTCAGGCCGGCAACCTTGATCACGCATGAACAGGAGCATGGACATGAATGACATGGGCAGAGGAGGCGTGTTATGCCAGCAAGTACATAACTATATCCTCGATATCTGCTGTCTCTCCGCTGTCTGCTTGCTGTTCGTTTGCTGTCAATCTCCTATCTCTGGTCTGCTGTCATGCTGTCCTGCTGTCTGCTGTCCGGGTCATGGGCCTCTCCCACGGAGTTTAACAAGCGACTGCAGGAACCTTCGGAGCTCCAGCACGAGTTTACTCGTTAACTTCGACCAAGCGCCATCAGTCCGTTTCGTACACTGTAACAGAAGAGTACTCGAGTATCCCAAACCAGACATCGATCGAAGGACCATGTCCAACGAGCTAGTAGTATGTCACCACCTTGGGCCTTCGTTTGCTGTCCAGCCGGAGCTAGAGCCGTGGATGGAAGAGCCATGGAAGCAACTAGTAGGCTAGCTGGCAGCCCTTGACCGGGAAACATCCAGCATCCAGCATCCGGCATCCAGTGTGTTAACCGTTGTTACAAACAGAACCACCGGCTCACGAGGAGGCTATGGGTGTATCGAGCCCCAGCGGGAAATATCCGGCCAGTTTTCCCTTCCCTTCCCCCCTCCCCTATCATTAACCCATCTGCTGATCTGGAGGAGAAGGTAAAAAAAAAAGGAAGGACTGACTGGGGAGGGGATGGATACTCCTCCAGCAACGTTTCCAGTCCCGTATTTTCTCCATATCGCCGTACGATACGAACAAACGAACAGCCTTCGAGAGTGAAGGGAAGGCCAAAAAGGAAAAAAGCAAGCAAGGAAAGGTAAAAAATGGGTGAAAACCACCGAACTCTGGATCTGATTTGCATTGCAGCCGGGAGGGAGGCCCCGCTGGTCGACTGCGTCACGGTTGGTTCCACCGGCAAACCAGCAGCGGCGGCAGAAGCATGCAGCCATGAAGGAAGCATGAAGTATCAGACTGCGTTCAAAAGCAGACAAGCAGAGGTTCTCGCAGCATACTCAGCATTGACAGCCATGCAGAGCTCGCTTACCCCACGCTCGAGAAAGTTATGTATATAACTAACACTGCGCTGTGTACGGAGTACGGACTATATGTATATATCGTACTCCATACACAGCCATGTATCGGCATATATAATAAGGATGTTGATATATATCACAAGGAGGGATATACGTGCAGTAGCTTCCGGGAGAGGGATCTCTGGCCCGGCTGCTGTCCTTCCCATCTGTCCACTTCTGCCCTCCCCCAACATCTCGACGGTTGCTCCTTTTTGCTCGGACTATCTGGCCAACAACACCCCCCTGACGAAAGACGGGAGCGATACGCCAGGATGTCAACCTTGTCCTCGCTTCATCGTCCTTTTTTATCCTTTCTCTGCGTTTCCATTTCTTTTTTTCTCCCTCTCGTTTTTCTCTTTTGTTTTTTTGCGTTTCGTCTCTGTATTTTTGCTTCTTTCCCTGCGGAGAATTGCCTGCCTGCCTGCCTGGCTTCTTTTTTGTACTTTCTGCTTCTTGCTTGCTTTTTTGCCTGCCTGCCTGTGGGCTCGATGGCGGGCTCACCGGCGGCACATATGTACTCCAGACTTCGGAGGTCAAAGCTGGCGGCGGACAGGTGGAGAGCCAGCGAGGTTGAGAGAGCAGGAGTGAGAGACTGTGCGTTCAAGCAGGCAAGGGAGCAAGCAGAAGCAAAGAAGAAGAAAAGAAGAAGACCCATGAGCATGATGCCGAATGCACCTCCAGCATCATGACCATCCCCCCCGAACTACCTTGTTATGTACCGCGGTACATGTCGAGGCAAGTCGATGTACATGCTGCCAGCGCATGCCATGCACCTCCCGTACGGAGTCCGGAGTACAGTACAACAACCTGTTCAATAGGCGAGCAGGCGCGAGAGGTCCAGATCATAAACGACTGTCCACATTTTTGCTCAGTCCTTCTCCCATTTTTCCCTCCCTCCCTCATCCCATCTTTCTTCCTTCCCTTTCTTTTTATCTCCCTCCCACCCCAGACAGCCTGCTACGTGGCGGTCTCTTTTTCTCAACTAGAAAAGCAAAGAGACGAACAGACAAAGAGGAGGGAGAGGGAAAAGAAAGGGAAAGAAGACGAGGTAAAAAAAGCAAAAGGCGAAAGGCGAAGTGCGAACGAACAGCGGCCAAAAAAGGTGTAAGGTGTGTGAAAATCACCTCCCCACGATGCCTGTTCATGCTAGTTTATTAGTGTGTCGAGTTATCGTATGAAGGTACTTCACTATTCTCTGTCTGTTGGGGATTGCTATAGTTAATGAAATTATTAATTAACTCATCCTTATAAGCATGCTGTTTGGCAAGTACTGAAGGCGTTATCAGGGGTGGCCATTACTCCGTACGGAGTAGTCTCGATATCTTTGTATCTTGCCTCCCGTACTCCGTGTATACCACAGATGTACATGCTCCGTAGAGGTTTTGATAGCACCAGCGCATAAAGAACGGGATCTCTCTCAATCCCGGGACCCCAAAGGGCCAGCTTCCAGCGCGGAATTCGCTTTCACCCAAAGGTCGAAGCTGGCACCAAACGACGGGCCATGTTCACCCTGCTGCTGCTCTCAATCAAAGCTGGCGGTGGATGGGTGGGAAGTGGATATTGCGGGCTGGGCGCATAAAAAACGAGTGGACGGGAAAGCGACCACGTCAACGAGCTCTAAACGCCATCAGGTTAAGCAAAAATAAAAAGAAAAAGAAGAAGGACGAACGAAGAAGATGGCAGAGGAAGCAAAGCCAGAGCAGGAAAAAGAAAGGAAGCGAAGCCCCGGAAGTCAAAAGGGCCAAAGGGCAGGCAGAGCCAGAATAACCATCAATCATGATCGATAGCCACTCTGCTGGCGCCCACCTTCCGGCTCGCTCCTGTCCAGTTGTCCTTGGGGACATCCCGCTTCCTTGGTGGTTGCTTGAGATGGGGGATGGATGTTGAGTATCGGAGTACTCGGCCAAAAGGTACCCTTGACCAGCCCACGCAGCCCAGCAGCGCCCTGCCGGCAAAGTCACTGGTACCTCGTCGTCTGCTGGCCCTCTCCCTGTCCTGTAACATCCCTCATCCCAGCAGAGGGTGGAGCGGGTATCCTGTGTTCCCAGGCTGAGCTTGATAATTCCACGTCGCAGCCGTAACTCGCTGAGCCCAGAGTACCCTCCGTATAGAGATATTCGTTATCAAAAAAAGTAACAGCCGTAATGCAAATTTGTACCATGGCATTACTTAGTTACAAGACACCGCATACGCGCCGTACATCAGATGGACGTCTCTGCGCGCTCGCTGTCGTCTTTTGAAGATTCGCTTCTCCACCGGTCAGTCGCAACCCCGTACTTTTTTTGCCCTTTTGGCCGGAGACTCCGGGGCAGGAGACGAGATTTGATCCTCTGCTTACGCGCCGTGGCAGAGGCGAGAGACTCTCTGTATGGTTGGGTTGGGTTGGGATGGGACGCTCATCAGGCTGGTCATCTCCGCAGGCCGATTATTCACGCCCGTCTCGTCTCGTCTCGTCTCTTCTGTTCTGCTCTGCTCTGTGCTGCTCTTTTCAAACGGTCTCACTTCTGCTGGCAGTTAACTACTCGGGACTGGAAGAGCAAGCATCCCGAGTCAGCAGAGACTCTGTACCTTCACGGCGGGCGAGCAAGTACCTTCCTGGCCTGATATCATGTCGGGATCAAGATGATAGCAGCAGCGAAAAAGAAAAGAAGAGAGTGCGGTGATGGTCATGGCGGGTTTCAGCTGCACCCACCCGCCGTTGCATATGCGAGTATTGAAATAAAAATAAATAGAAAAGTAATAATAAAAAATAAAAAAAATAAGAAGACAAGAAAGAGTGCACACAGCGCATCCGACAGATCTCCACGTCTTGTCCGTGGAACTGGTTGCTTAGCCTCTTGCGGTGGCGAGACGAGACCTGGCCAGGACGTGAGAAGGAGAAAAGGCGATGATAGTGATGGTGGTAATGATGATGAAGAAGACAATGAGACGATGAGCAGACCCTTGAGACATGCGTACACAAGAGTTACCTACTCCGAAGATACATTAGTTGGCATGTTCATGCACCTGCCTGTCTGCGAGTCTCCATCACCTCCTGCTTTTGCCCCTGAACACTTCGATATCAAACAGAAGAGCAGTGGAGTTGGCTGGCTACGGATGAGATATCAGATATCTTCATCACCAACCCGGTACATAACCGAGTCATACATGCACTCCTACATGCAGCTATCGTTTTGCCTCCCCTTATATCGTCTTAGTTACAGTAACTAAGCGACGGGGATGGCGAGGGCGTGTTGGGAAAATACCACACCCCGTACGGCCATGGAATAATAGCCAGATATCACCCGGCGGATGCAAGGCACTCATGTCGTCTTTTCGTCTTTTCGTGACACCGGCCTTCTAAGAAGACATTCCTCCGTTAGTTACGGGACATGCAACCCACTATACAACATGAGACTCGAGCCCCCCCAAAGGGGAGATGGGATAGTTGGAAATTCTCAGCTTTGCAAATGGACCTGTGTGCGCACACAGTCTCTGCGGAAGAGCTCGTTTGCTCGACAGCCAGGCCAGGCCAGGCCAGTACGAATCGTAATCTCTCGTCCCACTGGCGTGACCAGTCCTGATTCTGCTTTATTTTCTTTTCTTTTCGTTGCTATCTCTAGCTTTTTTTTCCAGTCGTTTCTTTGCTTTTCACGACCTTTCCCCCTGACCAAATTTCGTCAGTGCTGCTGGAGACTGGAGACTGGAGACGGAGTGAGGACTTCTATTATTACTTACAGACGCCGAGCTACTCAACGGACGCACATTCACTGTAGCAGGATGGAGGTATATATGTATGCATTATGCACGGGGTATTTTTCTGATGCGTACACTCATGTACTCCTAACCAATAGGTCAGTTCCATATTGTCGATTCTTCGCAGATCTCCGACTGATGCTGCTCGCTTTCGCATCTTCACCAATCGGCGATCTTCCTACCTGGTACAACCGATTCTGCATATCATACATACACCCAAGAAGAGAGAGAGAGAGAGAGAGATAGAGAGAGAGAGAGAGAGAGTGTGTGTGTGTGTGTGTGAGTAGCGATCAGAGAAACACATCCTACCTGTTTCCAGCTTGTTTATTCTCGGCCCGAATTAGAAGACTAGAGCTATCACCAGCATTGACTAAGAGAGGGAGAAAAAAAGAAGAAAGGGGAGGCAGTGGCATGCAGAAAGGTTGGGGCAGCCCTCGTTTACGGGGGTATTCATAGCCAGGTTTTATTCTCCTTGGCTTTATAATGACTGGGCCTTACTCAGGGTGTATATATTATCCCCTATAGGCAACATATGTCAGTTGAGTTCCTCCATTGCAGGATTAGTTGCCTTGACTCGGTTTCAATATCCATGCTGTCTCTCTCCCCTCCCCTTTCCCAGCTAGTTTGATGTCAATTCTCCCGGCCATGGTCTACTGTTGGCCTCTCCTTTGATACCCAGCAGTTTGTTGCACGAGACCTTGACTAGAATCAAACAGCGCCAGCCATAGCAGCTGGTCCTTTTTTCTTTTCTTGATTATATTCCGGTCTCAGAGTCACACGGGCTTATCAATTCCAACGGCGAAGGGAAAATGGCCTTGGGCCATGCACCATCCTTACAAGGCTGATATCCCTTTCCCTGGACATACTCCGGACTCGACTCCATATTCTCCGTCGGATCTTCCACCTTGCTCTGCTATCTAGGGCGGAAAAGCTGACTACTCCAGTGCTGATTTCAATTGTCATTCAACCCCTTTTCCTCTCCCAATCCCCAGTCCACTTCACCGATGCCAGCCATGTCATGACAGTGTACTCCCTGTGCTACTCCTACACCCACATGGACGAGAAAGCAAAAAACCACCCTGCTCTCTAAAATGTTTTCCCTCTCGCTCTACGGAGCATTCGCGATATCTCTCGTATTCCATTGCTTCTTGGGCCAGCCAATGTCCTACTCTACCATTTCTCCGTACTAGGTACAGAAGTACTACCGGCCGACTGTACCGCCATCCAGACCTATTCAAGGGGGGAGAAATAAAAGAAAACTACTAAAAAGGAAATATAGACCAGATAATGAAAAAAATCCTGCTGAAGGGAAATTTTATATCGAGTCAAACCGCAGTTGACCTGGAGTTAAAATAAACATATGGCGATATCTCACAGCCCAGACGTGCCACGTAGCTTTGCCTAACCCACGGCAGGCCCCCTAATCTATCCAAGAGCCAGCGAGGAGGGTCTCCCTCGATCACCCGCCGGATCGATCCGTTCGATCTTCCCTCCCTGGTGCCCAGCCCATTCAATTGAATCACCTGTCAAATCGGCCCTTTGACAAACACATAGCCAAGATGGAAACAAGATAAGAATAGTAGAAAGAAAGAATAAGCAAGTTGCGGCGTAGACTGTGAGATCTCTGTTTTCGATTTTTGTTTTGTGCTCTTTTCCTTCATCTTCCTTATCCTCTTCTTGCCTCCCCTATTTCTTGGTTGCTGTCTTTCAAATCTGGTATATTCGCCACCCTATAACGAACTAACCTACGCTCGTCTACCAATTCGGCCTTCGTCATATTTTCGATCTTTTCCTTTCTTTGTGTTATCTGATAGTTATGTACCCCTTGACTACGAGAATCTTTTGCTCCCTATCTCTCACTCCCTTCTTTGTTGAGCTTTTCATGCAGGGTAAGCCCCGCGTCACCTTTGGTCAGATGTGCATTTTCTACATGCACTTTGCTTCTTCTTGTACTTTCACCTGTGCTACTCCGGCTGCGCTGCGATTTGCTTCCGGAGCTTGAATGGCTTATTAGTGATTTCTTGGATGACTCTCCATGGGAAGCTATGATATTCCCGTCAGTGTCTTAGGTCCGTTGTTTCTGTTCTATTTTCGGATATCTGTATGTATGGAGTTACCTGCGGATATCCCAGCTGTCTTTCAATAACGAATTGCATATCAACGACGACTCATTGTTTTTACTAGACCACTAAGACAGGATGATCCGGTGATTCTGCATATCGTACTCTTCCCTGGGCTACACGATAGGCATCACCCATGGCCCCACGGAGTTGAAGAGATGGTTGTACCTACACGGCTACCCGCAGCTATCATCATCCCAACAAGCCTCTCTCTGCCTGTCACTGCTGTGGCACTGAGAAACCAACCTGGCTGTACGGAGTACATTGGCTGCTTGTTTTATGTTCCTCAGAGGGTACACGGGATGGACAACGCGCCAAACTCGCTTCTATCAACCCCCTGATCTAGTTAGACTTGTTCTCATTTGACTTGATCTGACATGTTGCTATCGTCTGTAGAACAGAGGCAAAGCCAGCAGGTAGTTATACAGATCTTCATAGATCGCTTGATTGAGCAGGTCCTTAGATAATTTCTCGGCTGTAACTGGTATTGTTTTCTTTTCCCAACTCCATATTTCATGCATAAACAGTGTTATATTCTCCTCCCTTGGCCAGAGCAAAATATGCAAGACGAACACCCTGTTGGTCACTGACCACATCCTATCAAATCCGAATATCTGCAAGGCAAATCAAATTCCAGCGATTATATATGAGAATAAAAGAAACAGCCAAACTAAGTGTCACCTCGGGAGTATCATTTCACTTAGACTATCCCGTAGACCACTCAAATTCCCATTCCTTTTTTATTATTTCTTTTTGTCTCACATCGTTATGTATTCCGAACTGTCCGGTTTCTTTTTTACCTCCAGAACTTGTAAAAATAGATCAAGCCACTGCTTATGGTCCGCGGAGAGTTCTTTCTTCGGCGTCTTGAGTGCTTGGGCAATGACTTCTCTGATCCGGGTGCTCAAAACCCGGAGGCCGAGCATGGTTTTCCAGTCGCGCACTCTGAACCTAACTCGGTTGCCATCAAGTGATATAACTCCGGCATACATCTTGAAATAGAGTTAGCCTTTCTTTTTTCACAATTTAGATTGGAGATGAAGGCAGTCATATTACCTTAAATTCGACATCCCCACAACACAGCGCAATTGCAAGCTCTTCCACCGCACTGGTTTCGTGTGCGTTATAGTTTCTGTTCCGGGATTGCATAATGTGATAATAGGAGAGCCATTTCAGCGGGTTTTCCGTGTGCTTGTTTACCGAAGCCGAGTGTAAAACAACTACCTGGTTGTTGCTAACATTTCTCCAACCTTTGCCATGCCGGGTGAGAAGTCTTGGATAGAAACTCCAAGCAATCACCGAATTGACAATCGTATCATTGTTGCTATTGATATCCAGTTGTTCAGGGGCAACGAAGAACTGCCTTTTACGCCCGGTATATCTTGCTCTATGGGGAGATAAAGTTAGAAGCTGCCCACCGTTAAACAGATTCAAATGGAAAACCATACCTATTCAACGCCAATTGGTCTTCGTTATTTAACTTCAGTAATCCAGTATCCACCACAGACACTAGAAGTTGTGTCTTCACATCTTCAATGTTGAGCAATGCCTGAGGGCTCAGGTGATTTTTCCTGCAGAAACTGAACTCATTTTTCTCCGCTCGGTGCTTTTTCCATGCACAGTAGGCGTTGTAGACAGTAAGTAAGTCAGAATTACCTACAGAATAAGTGTCAGTGAAGCCATTATGCAGCTTAAGATTGTAGTTAAAATGTGAATACCTCGTTCGAAAGCCTTCCGTGAAGCTTCGATCTGGCTTTTACGATTGACATCGTTCAGGAAAGGCGATTTGCTGGAAAGAATTGCTGCAATGCTCACGGCTGCATCCACGCATTTGAAGAAAGCTCCATAAAGAATGAGCTTTCCGAGGAACACATCCAGTGGCAGCTTAGCCAATTGCTTTCCGAGTGATGTTAATGTCTCGGTCCCCGTAAGAGCTTTCACCGTCTTTAAAGATTCAATAGCTCGCCGGATATTTTTCGAGGACGGAGGATCTAGTGCCTCGGATAGCGTGCCTTCAATGTCTCCTAGGTTGCATATTTTCACTCGAAGGATAAGATCCTGAAGTGATAGGCGGAGCATTTCAGGCATTTGCTGATCAGAAAGCTATATGTTTGGATTTCGAAATTAGTACTGGGAATTCAAATTCATTGACACGGGGACATACAAGTTTATCATGCCTATATTTTGAAAATAGGTGGAAACATATTCCTTCCTGGACTCGCCCTGCCCGGCCTCGACGTTGCTTTGCGTTGGCACGGGCAACGAAAACTTCAACCAGCTTTGATATCTGGCGCCGCTCATCGAAACTAAGATTTATTATTAGAAGGTGTCCGTTTATACTCTGGAAGGAGAGGGAAATCCACATACCGCATAACCTTCTCTTTTCCAGTGTCGATGACAGCAGTGATATCAGGGATGGTGATACCTGACGGGGTTTTTTAGTGTTGAGTCAATCAAATTAGATAAATTCATGATGCTTACCTGTCTCTGCTATATTTGTAGCAATGACCACTTTCCGTATGCCATGTGGGGGAACTATGAATGCCTTCTCCTGATCTTCACTTGCAATGGACGAATGCAAACTATAAACAACCCAGCCGCTCTGAAACATCGGAATGGAGAGTATTTCATCATGAAGCCGACGTATTTCAGCGAGACCTGGCATGAATATCAATATTGCTTTGCTGTATTCCACCAGTTCCGGGCGAGTAGCAATCCTCGAAAGGAGGTCGGTAATGAGTTTATAATTTAGGCGATACTCATCATATGATAAAACCGTAGACTGAGTCAGTCTACTATAGTGTGTGAGGGTAGACTTCAGCGTAGTGATGTCTTCAGAAGCAGATATCTTCTCATCCTCCGAAGTGTCGTCAGTTCCATCCGTATATGAACCGTCATTGTCGGGTCGATATTGTGTCAATTCGATAACATCCTCCAAATACTTTATTTCCACGGGATACATGCGTCCTGGAATATTCAAAATCGGGGCGCCGTTAAGGTAGTCAGAAAAGCGTTTGGCATCGACGGTCGCTGACATTAGGACCAGCTTCAGATCATGCCGAGTGCTAAGCAGTCGACGGAGGACAATTAGAAGGAAGTCCCCATCAATTGTACGTTCATGTACTTCATCCAAAACAAGATGGGTAACATTATCGAAGTCCTGGGGTCTCTCTAGCATCCGGATGACAATACCAGTAGTTCTACGAAAACTGTAAGCAATGCATCGAACACGGGCGATTAGAGAAAAGGTACTTACGCGAATATCAGCCGTGTAGAAGCTGTGAATTTACTCTCCAGCCTAATTGCATATCCAACAAGCGACCTATTTGTGCCAATATCGTTTTTGTTCTCGCCGAGTTCCTCGCTGACCCTTCTTGCTAGCGAAATTGCAGATATACGCCTGGGCTCAGTAACATATACTTTGCACTCCTTGCCTGCTGCTAGCTCATTTTCGAGAATGAAGGAAGGTATTTGAGTACTTTTCCCACTTCCGGTCTCTCCGCATATTATGATAGTCTGATGGCTAGAAAGAGCATCAAGCACTTGGTCCCTGAAAGACCATATTGGAAGCCCCGCCCTTGACGCTGCCATTCTCTGGAAGTTGGAAGATGAACTTCGGCGGGCCCAGAGAGCTTGAAGGTCGGGAGAAAAGGAGTCCGGGTTATATTTCTTTGGTGTACCTTCGGTTGACGGTGTGACATCTCCGGTACCATACCTCTGCCGGAAATTGTGAACGAGTACAACGTCTTCCTCGAGGTGAGCCTCATATTCTTGGATATAACCCTTGATTGTTTTAACATCCTGTCTATCGGCTTGATCGTCATGCTCCTTCTTTTCTAGGGATATTTCATCCCAAACATTTTTCCATACTCCTGATAATTTTATAGATGCTTTACTCTCCTTCCAGGCATGGGATGATAGTATGAATAAAGCAACAGTTGAGATGTACGATTCAGCTTGTGTAGCAGATGCGGCACTGATACCAGCCATGTAGACCGTCAACGATCGAGGAGCAATCCTGTATGAAATATCTTTGAGAGGTGCCTCAAAAATAATATCTTGGTCTTTTGACCATTGGATTTGTACTGCCTGGCGATGCAAAAAAGGACAGTCAGATAGGTTATGGTATATTAGCGTATAATTTGTGTCCCTATTGCCAACGGGTGTTAATTAAGAGTTGGTATATGGAGCAATCGATATTTATCTTACCTGGGTCGACAAAAATCATCTAGTACCTTCTTTGGGTTGATCCCCACTGGCTTGCCAAAATCTCTCGTTCTGGTGGAGGTGTTTTGGGATCCAAGCTGCAGCTGACTCCGGGTGTCATTTAACCCCAAGTCAAACATTTCACCGAAGAGTCCTTCGTCCTCCTCAGGTTTATCTTCAGGTTTAGTATCCTGTATCTCTACCTCGTAGGGTTCGGTGCGAGGAGCATCAGAAGTACTTTTTGGTATGCTAAAGGTACTTCTCAACGTCTCTACTGTGCTAAGTCTAAGTTCTTCCAGCGTCCCTGCCCAGCGCTCCTCTGCCTCGTGCGAGTCAAACAAGATATCCTGTTCAATCCGAGCAATTTTCCGTTTTATGCTAGCAATAGCAGGGTCGGGGTTTGCATCTTGGGTCTGTTTAGAGCTTGTTTTTGCACCCTTTTTTGACTTCGTTTTGTTGAACATGGATGGGTCGAGTTCATAAAGCCGTGATCGAAGAGCCAGAAATTCGGGTATTAGCATTTCTGGTTCATGTAGGCCACTAACTCCTTCAGATTCTGGGCTTAGTGGACGGGAAAGAAGTGTAGAAGTAGTCTCCGTGGATTTACTTGGTGTGTTGCTTCGCATTTGAGCTGCAGGGCTAGCGGTCCCTGAAGCAATCCTCTCCAATAGTATATTTATACTATCATCTCCAACAGTGGTGACCTTACCTACTGTCTCTATCGGCTTGTGCTCATCATATGGGGCTAGTTTATCTTTCTCCAGGTAGAGTGCTAGGTAGCAGAAGGCTAGGTCCAAAGCCTGGACGGGGTCTTTTCCAGACACTATTTCCAATGGTCCGTGTAGTAGCAGGATTTTCAATGTCTCATCGATATCAATCCCTTGGAAGCCAAGCTCTAACAGGGTAAGCCGGAGAGTCCACATGTTCACACAAATGCTTTCTTCCATGGAGACGCTGAGCTGTCCATGGTACTCCGCTGATTTGCTTGAAACCATGGGCTGCTTTCTTGCCTCTGCTTTTTCCTTTTCGAGTATCTTATTCAAAAGATCCGGAGAGAGCCAGTCAGTGACATTCTCTAACTGTGGTGCCTGCGGGCGCAGGAGGCGTCTCTCAGCCACCGTTTTGGTAGAGAAGCGAGCAGCATCACCCTTGCATTTGATCCCATGTTTGTCAACAATTGTCTGCAGTTCAGCTTCTTCCAGATGCCGTTCAAGCTCATCAGGAGTCAACTCATGCAGCTCTGGCTTGTGGCTGGTAGGCTGGATAGCGGCTGTATCATCTTTAGCATCTCTTACAGGCAGCTTCTTTGCCAAAGTCTCAGAGCTGGGGGCAGTTTCTTCAGGCTCTACCGGTTCAGAAGGGGTCGATGGCTTCACCTTCGAGGGGACAGAGACTGTAGCAAACCCTCGTGCCGGGTTAGAGGCTGTTTTTTTCTTCTTCTTGTTAGGCGCCATCGTAGATGAAGGTCATCGTCATAGAAAATTGATAGAGGGGCAGCTTTGATAACAGCAGCAGCAGTAACTAGAAGCAAAGGTAGGCGAAATATCGAAAAGAATAAATGACAGTGATCAAGCCCGAGACGCGAAAAGAAAATTAGCAACGGTTCTCCGAATTCTCTTCCCCTGGTTTGATAAATATTTAGTTAAACAATTAATCTCTTACGTTTCCTTGCCTGGCCTTGGGGAAAACCCAGCGGCGGAAGCCCTAGTTAACTAAAGGCACCAACAATTCTCCGAGCAGCAAACGAATCTTGGGACTTGCAAACCAACACAGCAGACGACTAACAAGCCCAGTCTTCGCCTGCCTGGAGTGCGGAATGCACAGTTTAGGACGAAGATGGATGAAGAACAGTGGGATGAAGTGAGAAAGGGGAGCCTTATTCCTTTGGAGCCGGTGGTGTTTTCCAGCTCTACTTCGCTGCGGTGCCAGCTGTTGCATCAACTGCAGGACAATATCGCCAGTGGTAAGTATCTACCCTACGGGCCCCAGGCTTGATATTATATTGAGCATCATGTAGGCTAATCTCAACCATCCAGACTCTCAACTACCTCACCAGCTATATAAGAAAGTGCTGCTTCTGCTGTTTAGAACGTATCCTGTTTTTATCGACCGTGAATCCCGCCATGCCGCCCAAAGTTGTGCGAAAGCCCTCTTCCCCTCGATACCGTGTGCAGACCTCCCTGCATTCGCTCAGCTTCTTCGAAAGGAATCATCGAATGCTGCAGTAGCGCCTGCAAATGCTTTTGTTCTGGTGGAATGGTGTGCTACGCTGTTACAGTATCTAAGCACACGACTCGATGACCATTCGCCGCTAGTCCTGGAAACAGTGTCTGGCATCGGCAAGGCCCTGGAAACATGTCTAGGAACTTCTACAAAGCAGAGCTTGAAGCATTCAGCTATAATTGTCACTCGACGGGCATTACGTGCGGTGTTTTCTGCAGAACCCCATGGCAACAACCTGGTGCGTGATGTAGTTCCTTACTTGATTAAAGAGACTGCTTCAGGCTTTAAGAATGCTCCTATACTGGGAGTTATCTGCGGTGTTTGCGCTCGCTTGCCGAATAGGAAGAGCGATCTGGATGCAATGAAGGGCGATATCTTCCAGTATTACTCCAAGGAAATCGTTGCCTCTAGGACTCCGGTTCCACGACACATTCATGAGGGCATCCACGACTTATTTATGTCGTTTTCTACAAAGGAGGATCTCCAGAAACATGTCTGGCCTGCCGTGGAAAAGGCCATTCTCAGAAGTCCTGAAATTCTCCTTGCTGGTGTGCTCGTCTCTCTAGTCTCTTCAATCCCTGTGGATATCGATCTTTCCGATGTTTTCTCCTCATCTATTTGTAAGCAATTGCTTGCAAACATTAAGTCAACAAATGCAATCATACGAAAGGGCGCGATTGAAGCGCTCGAAAAGTTTATACCCAGGTGTAGTGATGAAAGGTCACTTCTCAGGGTCGTTGACGAGGTGGTAACACCGTTAAAAACGCAAAAGATTACGAATGTGGAACAGCGTGCCCTTCAGGCACGAGTTCTACAAGTTATACCAAGCTCCCCCAGTGCGTCTCAAGCTATTCTGGCGAGGCTTTCCGCTGCCCTACTTCGTGAAAGCAGTGAGATTGCATTAGAGCCAGAGATAAAATCCTTCTGCCACCACCTCACCTTTCTTGTGTCATCCGGGGCCGATGTGAGTAAGGAACACTGCAATACCGTCATCAAGGGATGTGATGACAAGCGGACTGGGTTCCGTAAAACATGGCTTGTGAATATAGGCGAAGTGTTCTGGAACTGTGATAGCTCTGTTCTTCAGTCATCTCAAACGTTCAGCAAAGAGTGCTTACAGCCAGCTTTGATAAGATTGCACAAGTCCTTTACCGAAACTGTTGCCAACCCGATTCCTTCGTTACAGGGAGGCACAATTTCGATAGCAAATGTCTTTACAGCGTTATCGCTTCAAAAGTTTCGGAGCGAGGATCGCCTGCCCTATCCAGTTGAGGACATATTTCCGATAGCCGTTTCGGCTTCACCTAAGCTATCATTTTTACTAAACCCAAAAATATATACAAAGCTTTCGTCTGCAGAGGATTTGGAGTGGACTCTCCGTGCGCTGTTTGCCGTGACCGTACAGCCAGGGTTTTCCGCCTCTGATGAACAGGCCAAGGAAGCATGGGCTCAAACATTCATCTATATGGTGTGTTCCTCAGTTTCGCCGCCAAAGATTCGGCAGCTTGCAACCGACCTGTTGCGGCAGTGCTATCTTAAACAAATAGTCCTGATTGGCACTACTGTTATAAACTCCATATGGAAGTGGCTATATCATCTTGATATTGCGGACAAGGAGGCCGCAGCTGTTCTGTCGGGATCCGGCAAGTCGTATCTATCTCACGTTGTGAGAGCAATTACACCGGCCGTGTCGGAGATGGAGGGCCATTGTTCTATAAACAAGAAAGATCTAGAGATCCAGTGTATTGAGCTATTGGTCTTATGTCGTCCCGAGTTAGTTCCGGGAACTAGTTGGATCAACGTCTCCCTGAAAATGGGGGTTGACCCTGGAAAGCTAGCCATTGAATACCCTGGCCAGTGTTTAAACCAAATTCTACTCTCTACTAACGTAAGTTCTTCCTCACCTCTAAGAAAATAATCAGTGGCTATGTCATCTAACAAAATATAGGATCCGATACGCAACAACATAGCTGATGCTCGACAAGCATCATGGGATGCCGCCGCAGATCTTGGTTTTGTGGCACCGGAAGTAATGATACCAAAGCTTGTAGCGCAATTCTGTGATGACCTTAAACCTGAAAGAATATCCCAACTCTCGGCCATAGACATCGCTATTGCTCGTCATACTGGGGACACACCGTTCGTTGATGTGTTAGACACCAAAGCTAAGAATCTGCCCAACAAGGGCGCCAGAGATTATGATACACTTAAGTGGGAGGAAGAATTGAGGGCTGAGGTTGCTAAAAAACACGGTCAAAAGCAGAAGAAACTGACTGCTGATGAGCAGGCTAAAATCAAAGCTCAGCTGGAGAAGGAATCTGAAATTCGTGACGCGGTCAACTCCACCGAAGTCGTGATCAAACGGGGCGCGGGAATTATCAAGAGCTTGGCTAACAGCCCTCCAACTCAAGCTGACGGCTGGATTAACCCTGCCTGTAGCTCTCTGTGCAAACTGGCCCAACTTGGAGGAGGCGTTCTAGTTGGTGACAGCATTTCTTCAGCACTAATGGCTTGCGGTAATAAAGTCTCGTCCCGTATCGGAGAAATGCGCCCTTTTGTTGCGATTGCAACCCTTAGAGCTGTAGGTAAAACGTTCTTGAGGGGTGAACTTGAAACAGAGCCACTTGGAAGTGAGTTATTCCCCTGGACGTTACTTGATATTAAAACTACCGCTGACTCCGTGTACATTCGCAGGCCTAATAACTCGGATATTATATCGTCTTCGAATCTTGTCTGAGCAACGCCCTCTTGATGGAGTTTCTCTCGGTTATATACTCCCGTTAATCTTTATAGTATTGGAAAGCAACGGAATTGAGGAGTCGAAGGATGATAGTGGAGAGCAGGTTCTCCTCGCTCTGGAGTTTATCTCTTTCCACACTAACTCATTCTCTGATGCGCGATTGCCTAGACTTGAGACTCTCCGCCACCTCATCAATTCTATGCGAAAGCACACGGCACATTACAAGTTAGTGAGAGATGCGCTCTCTGACCTTTGCAGGGCCATGGCAGCAAATATACAACCTGAAGAGCTCGAAATTTTACTTCAGGGCTCAATATCCCGTGAAATACCAGTGCGGACCGCTGTTCTTCAGAGCGTATTGTCCGAAATAGACTTGACCGATATTGACTTCTCTGTCTATATATGGATTGCATATCATGACAGCGTAGCAGAGAACGCCGAGGTTGCTAAAGAAATCTGGGAAGAAAATGCACTAGACGTTGACGAACAGTCTCCCGATTTGATTATCAAACACTTAGCCAATGATGACTTGCCACTACGGTCAGCGGCAGCTCTTGCCCTTGCCCATGCCTGTCAGCTATGTCCCTCCATCTTCCCCGATACATTGAAGAAGTTAGAGTCCATGTATCGGGAACAAGTACATTCAAAGCCTGTACAGACCGATGCCTACGGCATGCCCAGGAAAGCCGAACAAGCTGACGCTTGGGAAATTCGGAGTGGAATTGCGCTGTCCTTTGGCGCTATGGCTAGTGGTTTTAGTGGGGACGATATTGTGTCCTTTTTCAGGTTCTTGATAGATGATGGCCCATTAATTGACCGAAGCGCATTTGTTCGAAGACAGATGGCTGAGAGTGGAAGTTCTGTTATTACATTGCGTGGCCGTGAGAAGGTTGAGGAGCTGATGAGTATCTTTGAAACGACTCTGGAAACATCTGATAAGGAAACCGAGCAGTCAGATTGGCTTAACGAAGCCGTCATCATTCTTTACGGATCTCTTGCGCAGCATCTCATTGCAGGAGATAAACGCATCCAGAAAGTCACTCGCAAGCTTATGGATGCTTTATCAACTCCCTCAGAAACAGTGCAGCTTGCTGTTGCCGAATGCCTTATCCCTCTCATCAGGCTCGATGGGACAGACGCTAGTCATTTTGTACAGGAATTGCTCAATCAGCTCTTCACATCCAAGAAGTACGCAGCCCGCCGTGGAGCAGCTTATGGATTGGCAGGTATCGTCAGGGGCAAAGGAATACTGGCGCTCCGTGATTTTGGAATCATGTCTCGCCTAACGGAAGCATCTGAGAATAAAAAGGAGTCAAATCAACGACAGGGAGCTGTCCTTGCATATGAGCTACTGGCATTTGTTCTCGGCCGTGTATTTGAGCCATATGTGATACGGATTGTGCCACAGCTACTTACGAGCTTTGGTGATCCAAGTATTGACGTCCGTGACGCATGTTTAGATGCCGCAAAAGCATGTTTTGCAAGCTTAAGCTCCTTCGGGGTTAAGCAGATTCTCCCAACCTTGCTGGACGGCCTTGATGATACCCAATGGAGAAGTAAGAAGGGTGCTTGCGACTTGCTTGGTGCCATGGCCTACCTTGATCCCCAGCAACTTGCTCTCAACCTTCCGGATATCATCCCGCCACTGACGGAGGTCCTGAATGACAGTCATAAGGAGGTTCGCAACTCCGCCAACAGAAGTTTACAGCGATTCGGAGATGTTATAAGCAATCCTGAAGTAAAGAGCTTGGTTTCAATATTACTAAAAGCCCTGAGTGACCCAACCAAATACACCGATGAGGCCCTGGATGCTTTGATTAAAATTTCCTTCGTCCATTACCTTGATGCGCCCTCTTTAGCATTAGTAGTGCGAATTCTCGAGCGAGGCTTGAGTGATCGATCAACAACCAAGCGAAAGGCAGCCCAGATTATCGGAAGTTTAGCCCATCTAACAGAACGCAAGGATTTGATATCCCATTTGCCAATCCTAGTCGCTGGACTGAAGACTGCTGTTGTCGACCCTGTGCCAACTACTCGTGCAACTGCTTCAAAAGCCCTTGGATCTCTCATCGAGAAACTTGGAGAGGATACCCTTCCGGATCTCATTCCCAGTCTTATGGCAACTCTAAAGTCAGAGGCTGGAGCAGGAGACCGAATGGGTTCGGCCCAGGCTCTTGCAGAAGTTCTCGCCGGTTTGGGTACGTCTCGTTTGGAGGACACTCTACCTTCGCTTCTGCAAAACGTCTCCAGCTCGAAACCTACTGTCAGAGAAGGATTTATGACTTTGTTCATTTTCCTACCTGCATGCTTCGGTAACAGCTTTGCTACTTACTTAAACCGAATCATTCCTCCTATACTTGTTGGTCTTGCAGACGAGGTTGAATCGATACGAGAAACCTCACTCCGAGCTGGACGATTGCTAGTGAAAAATTTCTCTACAAGGTCAATCGATCTCCTTCTCCCTGAGCTTGAGCGTGGATTGGCGAACGACAATTACCGTATCCGTCTTTCCTCTGTGGAACTCATCGGTGACCTTCTATTCAATTTGACAGGTGCCACTGCAACTGATGGCGAGGAGGAAATCGATTCTGCAATCCAAGCCGGTCAATCCCTTCTCGAAGTACTTGGTGAAGAGAGACGTAACAAAGTGCTCTCTTCTCTTTATATTTGTCGCTGCGATACTTCAGGATTGGTCAGAAGCGCTGCCATCAATGTCTGGAAGGCATTGGTGGCTACACCACGTACATTGAAGGAATTGGTACCGACGCTCTCTCAAGTTATTATCCGGCGTTTGGGAAGCTCAAATATGGAACAAAAGATTATTGCTGGAAATGCACTAGGAGAACTAATCAAGAAGGCTGGGGAGGGAGTTCTATCGACCTTATTGCCAGAGCTAGAGGAAGGTCTTATCACTTCAACCGACATCGATGGAAGACAGGGTATATGTTTGGCTGTGCGGGAACTTGTGGTATCCTCCTCCGACGAATCACTCGAAACATACGAGAAGCCACTTATATCTATTGTCAAAACCGCCTTGGTCGATACTAATGACCAAGTCCGCGAGGCTGCTGCCGAAGCTTTCGATGCCCTTCAGCAGGCGTTGGGCAAGAGAATTGTTGATAAGGTTCTACCAGACCTTCTACACCTATTGCACAATGAAAACGATGCCGAGCAGGCTCTTGCTGCTCTTCTTACATTGTTGACTGAAGCTACTAGAGCCAACATCATATTGCCAAACCTTATCCCAACTCTATTGACCAAGCCAGTTACCGGATTTAATGCTAAGGCGTTGGCGTCGCTCTCAAAGGTTGCTGGAGGCGGAATGAACCGGAGACTACCCACCATCTTGAACACCCTGATGGATGAGATGATTTCGGCAGAGGACAGCAGCCTTGAATCAGAAATCAGCGAGGCATTTGACACGGTACTTGGCTCGGTGGATGAATTTGACGGATTGAACGTTGCCATGAACGTAATGCTTACATTGATAAAACATGATGATCACCGACGACGTTCAAGCGCAGCCATGCACCTTGCTACATTCTTCACCAACACAGAACTGGACATTTCTAGATTCTACCCAGAGCTGATACGTGTGCTTCTGATCTCCTTTGACGATCGTGATAAGGGTGTTGTCAAGGCGGCATGGGAGGGTCTTAACCAACTAACCAAGAGTATGAAGAAAGAAGAGATGGAAGTCCTTGTAAATCCAACTCGTCAGGTACTTCGACAAGTTGGCGTACCCGGATCCAACCTCGCTGGATTCTCTCTACCTAAAGGAATTGGCGCTATACTCCCTATTTTCCTTCAAGGCTTACTGAATGGAAATATTGAACAGCGCACACAGTCTGCCCTAGCAATTGGAGATATCATTGACCGAACTAGCCCTGAGTCACTTAAAGCATTTGTGACTCAAATTACAGGCCCTTTGATTCGTGTGGTCTCAGAGAGATCGGTGGATATCAAATGTAGGTCCCAGTTAGCCCTGACAAGAAACTTCACCCTTTTACTAACCAACGACTTAGGTGCAATTTTCCTTGCCCTTGACAAGTTGCTTGAAAAAATTCCATTGTTTGTCAAACCGTTCTTACCACAGCTGCAAAGAACTTTCGCCAGAGGGTTGGCAGACACGTCCAGCGAAACCCTACGGACACGTGCTGCCAAAGGGTTGAGCATCCTAATTACTTTAACACCACGAGTAGACCCTCTTGTCGCAGGTAGGTGACTGCCTAGCCTTGATTCAATATACCAAAGCAATGTTTACTAACATCCATCTTTAAGAGCTCATCACCGGTTCCAAGACTACCGACCCTGGGGTTAAAAATGCCATGTTGCGCGCACTCCACGATGTTGTCGACAAAGCCGGTGCAAACATGAGCGAGGCATCAAGACAAGCTGTGCTTGGTCTTGTTGACAATGATTCTGTTGACGATGGTATTTTAAGCTCCCCAATAATAGGCATCGCACCCCAATCAACTTAGATCTAACGCCTTTATAGCTGCTACAACGATAACGAACGCCAAACTTGCTGGAGTATTGATCAAATCGCTCCCCACACCCACTGCTATTCCTCTTATTAAGTAAGTACATTATGGCTTTATTTTAATTCAGACTAGGTCTAACCTTTGGTTTTAGGAACCGGATACTGTCACCGCAACTAACACATCAGTCTATTCTCCGGCTGAACGCCATACTCGTTGAATCGCCTGCCCTGCTGAGCGAAAACTTCCGCTCGGAAGTACCTGCGGCGATTTGTCATGCCATTAAAAACAGCGATGTATGTTTACCCCAGCGCTCTTACATAATTTATCCACTTACAAATTTTCCCTAGGTTTTCATATCCGACAATGGTGTTCTTGCAGCTGGAAAATACCTTCTATCCCCTCAAATGGACCGCAAGCCCGAGGACGAAAAGGAGGTATTTGAAGCTTTAGCAGGCATAGTACAACCTGGTAAACCAGTTGACACTCGACGACTGGCACTGGTGGTTCTACGGACAGTTGCTAGGGAAAACCAAGACATGATTGCACCTTATAGGTCTCTTGTGGTGCCACCAGTTTTCGGGGGAGTCCGTGATACGGTAATACCCGTTAAGCTGGCTGCGGAAGCTGCCTTCCTAGGCATCTTCTCAGTCGTCGAGTGTGAGGGCGAAGTTTTTGAAGAGTACATGAAGGGCCCCGGAGCAGAGCTCCCAGCTGGGCCCAAACGCAGCATGCAGGACTACTTCAAACGTGTAGCACTCCGACTAGGAGGTCAAGCCCGTGAGAGGAGAGAAGCCGAAGGTGGCCAAGGCGGTCTAGGTCTTTCCAGCGATGAAGTAGAGGATGAAAAGGAAGTCTGGAGCGTGGGCAAGGTAGACCTTGGAGAATCATTCGGCGATGATTAGAACGGCGAGACCAACTGTAGGCGATATGTACTGCCTTCAGCTGTCTGGTACTTCATATACCTAGAGCAAGTAGATAGATCTTGCCCCCTTTATCTAGAAACAAGAAATCCATATCACGTGCCATGACTAAGCGTCTAAAAAAGGAATAGTGCAATGAAACCCTAACTCGCGTACTTTTTTGGTGCGTCTCGCTTAGCAAGTCACACTCGCTTAGCTAATCTAGAATGAAACGTCCACCTCTTGTTCGTTTTGTCGATTTGCGGATTCAGGACAGCAATCCATCACTCACTCGGCCATCGACAACTAACCCGGCATCAAGATGTGAGTTCACCCTGCTGCTTCATCAAATCGAAGACGGCTCTCGAATATCTCCCCCTCGAATGCTCACTGCGTCGCCGTGCCGTGGCAGAAATTTCCCGCGGCATGGCGTCAGAGGGGAAAGAAAATTTGTCGCTCTCGTGATATCGAAATTGAAACGAAGGGACAGCTGTGACTGATCGTTTGGTTTCTTCAATAGGGTCAACCTTCGCACTCAGAAGCGCCTGGCCGCCTCCGTGGTCGGCTGCGGTCAGCGCAAGATCTGGCTTGACCCCAGCGAGGTCAACGAGATCTCTACCGCCAACTCTCGCCAGACCATCCGCAAACTCATCAGCGATGGACTTATCATCCGCAAGCCCGTCACCATGCACTCGCGCTCCCGTGCCCGTGAGCTCGCAGAGGCCCGACGAAACGGTCGACACAGAGGTTTCGGTAAGAGGAAGGGTACCAAGGACGCCAGAATGCCAAGGTACGTTCCTCCTGAATGATGCTGAATCTTACAGCATTAAGCAATGAAGAATACGCCGAAACTCCCGCCCGTCCTTAAAAAATCCGGTTAAAAGACTTAGAAGCCCCAGAATAACTGACATCTGTTCACACTCTTTAGCCAAGTTCTGTGGATGCGCCGCCTAAGAGTCCTTCGACGACTACTTGCCAAATACCGTGCTGCCGGAAAGATCGACAAGCACCTTTACCACGAGCTGTACCACTTGAGCAAGGGTAACACCTTCAAGCACAAGCGTGCCCTCGTTGAACATGTATGGCTTCCCCAACGAACTAACTGATATTATGCCTCTTTAGCAGCAATACTAATATGGGCGGCTACAGATCCACAAGGCCAAGGCTGAGAAACAACGTGAACGTAACCTCAAGGAGGAGATGGATGCCAAACGTGCTAAGACCAAGGCTGCCCGTGAGAGACGACAAGAGCGCATTACCGCCAAGCGGAATGCTCTTATTGGTGACGTCGAGGAGGAGGCATAAACTACCTGTTGATATTTCAATATGTGTTATTTCCACTTTCCTCTATCCCACTTCTCCTAGTCGGTATCGGTCAGTGGGCAAGGGAGTTCATGTTGATTTTTCGAAACAAAAAAATAATGAAATGGAATTTATGCCCACTATACTACTCCTTTGGCATTTGTTTATTCATCTGAGATTCATGCCTCTTGTATGGATAAACGCTGGGTTACATGGGATGTTTTGGTACCCTAGCTATTGTCATTTAAACCGAGAAAGACGGCTACAAAGGGCCCTTATGCAACACCAATGCAGTTCTATGATACGTACGGGCTTTGGAAGAATGAAACAGAATTCCACTTGAAATCAGTTTACATGTTACTGTTTTGGCATATTAGAATACCTTGCTTGAGCAATATAACAATTGAAAAGGTTAAATTCGGGAATCACTATATAGGAATTTGTTCACTTGTACTTAATAAAATGTATCAGTACAATTAACAAATGCATCATCTTTCGGTCTTCTCATCCATTCGAAGACTACTCGGCACCGAACAATGATCTGACCAGACAGGCGATGTAGCACACTCGGATGAGCACGGTTCTTCACTCTGATAGTCAGCCATATCGCGGACTCTCCGCCAGCGAGATATGATGGATGGAGTTACTCGCAATGGCTTGCTTCCGGTAATTGCACCCTTTTTGGATTCAGGACTGCTTCCTGGCAACAAAATGACGCTGCTACTCTTTGTCCTTGATCTTGATAATAGACAGGATTCGGTCTTCTTGGCGTCTAATGGGAAAACCAAAGATTCGACATCGACACTAGCTGAGAAATATAGAGAAGGGCTTGGGATCGCGTTGTCCATGAAATGACAGGAGTCATCCGAATACGTGTGAGCTAGTACGGTCCGTGTCAGGCCTGTAGATAGGTTTAAGTGATTTGATACGGTTGATAGTTCATCAAGTGAACCACGAAACTCCCTAGGGTCGTACTCTTTGTGCTCAAAAGTGGATGGTCTATTCAGGGTTCTGTCAAATTCACGGACAGTGGTGTGCGTAAAGGACTCCGCCTCTGGCAAGGGCTCGAGTTTAGGTGGGCATTTTCGTTTCCATTGAAATCCAGGGAGCGATCGGTTATGGAAACTTGGTGGGTTCGGCTGTTGGAGGGATCGAGAAGGCGGGAGCGGGGGTGGATGATGTATGGTGTCTGGCTGTTTTGATTTTAAAGGGAACACGCATGGCGTCAGCTTGATGAGTTGGTCAGGTAACTCATAAACCCGATTGTTATCATATCCAGCGCTGGCCCAAGTCGCTTCCCGGGGTGGTTTGAGATGTGACAACAGTCTCGATCGTCGGCCTCCAAGTCGATAGTGCCAGATATAGCCAGCTATAAAAATGATGACGGTTAAGAGGACTCCAGTGCCAGTTAATGAACAAGCAATGATAAAAGCCCGCTGTCCTGCTTCCTCTTGACGTGCGTTACGAACGTATATGGAGGGATGCTCTAAGGGAGCCATGTTGTCAATGTGAAATATTTCATTAACGGGTTATAGTCGCAACTGAAGTGTATCAGGTACCCTGGCAAGGGTTTTAATATGTTACCCGTACCACCAAATAATAAGCTAAAGTGACAATCTCGCCCCGGAAAGTCAAGAAGAAGCCAAAGTGATTATACAAATCTCGCATATCTACATGAAGCTAGCTAGTCTTCATGCCATGTTCCAAATACCACCCAAATCAGAGGATGGAGCATCAGTTCAATGACCCCACGCCACATGTTCATTGTGAGACGTTCGCAATGCTTGAAAGAAGCTGGAGAGCAAGCATTCGTCGGAACCATCCGAGAATCGTTGCCCGGTTTCCCCATTCTTGACATGGCACGGCCTACATTGCATGGTCGAATTGCGTGAACTTGGAACGGGTCGATCATAGCAGCGTTCCCGTTAGGAACCAGGCGCGAAACCAAAAGCGCACAAAGAAGGCGCTGGGCTAAAAGGCAGGATAAGCGGGTCGTTTAACGGGACGGAACTTTTATTTGATACGGCGACATGCCGGGCGGGTGGCATTGAAAATCTTTATTCTGCGCCAGGGACTCCGGGAGGCTGCAGATTGGACTGCTGGAAGGAAATCATCTTATTCTAAAACAATGTCTGCCACACTTGCTTCATACCGGGATGATCTGTCGCTTTGGGTATCAACTGGCAAATTAAATTGGGGGTAACGTTGGTAGTCGTACCTTGGGCGGTATTTGGCAGTGTTCCTGCCCTGCTTCCCAGAGCCTCTGCAGCGAGAACCGCGTATATGACATTTCGGTACCCTATCATCCATTCTTAAGGTATAAGAATGAACAGGAGTGGCTCTCTTAGGACTCAAGAAGGCAGAGATCCGTAAAAGGGTGGGTATGGCATACCCCCGGACATAGCTACTTGTAATAGCTATGTAACGGCCTTGGGCCTGGTTTCGGTACCATTTAAGCTAACACAGGCTGCATCTCAGCTCTCTCCGGCGTTATACTCCAGTTCAAACACTCGCGGTAGCCCCGTTCACTGGTCGAATGGACATACAGCGATCGAATTATCTGCTCTGTTTGGTGAGAAGTTGGATGTGAGGTCGTTGGTCATTCACGTGACCATCTGGCAACCGCCCTTAGAACCTTGGAAACGTCCAGCTCGACCGCATCGGAAGTTCGGGGTTGATTTCAATTGAAACCGCTAATCTAGCAGGAGAATACAGAGAAAATCCTGCAGCCTCTTGAAGACATTTTCGCGATGATGCTCATTCTACCCTGGCTGTGACACCCATGACCGTCATCCGAGCTTTTGTTGGTTCTGTGAATGTTGTTTGCAAGTGTTGTTGTTAGCAGATTTTATGCATCTCCTACGTTGCACCCCTGACCATAAGGCATTGCTCTAATCTCTCGCTTGGGCATAACTAACTAATTAATATAATCTGTCATTGTTACTCCTTTTCCCATCAATAAAGCAATGTTATGCTACACAAGCTCGACCGAGTCCTGAAACCGCCTTGATATTGGTACAGTTTTGCCAGGTCCCTATCTGGCCTTCTCAATTTTACTTCAACCCGACCTGGACAAAAAGCCCGCCGTTGTTTACACCACTCAAGGCCGATTGCGGACGTAACAGCTCTATCTTCATGATATACTCCGTCTTAAGATCTTTACCATATCATCTTGCCTTGATCCTCGTTATATATATACATCTTACTGCTGGGCCGTCCTAGCTTTTAACCGAGCTTTCAAACAGCGGGGTCTCAGGAATCTGTCGCCCTAAGTCCGCCTTCTTGAGGCCATCTTAAGGTGAACTAACAGCCATGTTCAGCTGGGGAGGGAGCCTGGGTAAGCTTCTTGATTCCTTATCCATTGGCTGTTTTTAAGTAGGCTGTCGAGAATATTGCTTTTCTTCGCGAAGTCTTCTCCCACCTTTTTTTGTTTACTTTGCTTCAATGCCCTCTTTCTCTTGAGCTGCATGCTCACCCCCATCCACATGTTCGAGCCTGTATAGTTGGGGTCAATACTAGGCTGGGAATATTCTATATCTATATTGAGTAGCTGACAGAATGAGGAACCAGCCGTGCCCAGTTTCAGTGTTAGCCTGGAAGAGGAGCGTGATCCGCCTCCTTCACCAACAAAAATCCAATTTCCGGACTATGACAGACTAAACTCGGTCAATTCTAATGGTGAAATGAACTGTGATTTGCTCTACGACTTGCTGGCTCGGGCTAGAAAACCACAGCATATCACAGATGAATATCTGACAGCATTCAATATCAAGGTGGAATCTGATATTGACGCTCCAAAAATAGTGCCAGACCATGACCTGAAATGTAAGCCTCCCTACCGATGGCCAGTACTTGGCTCTGTGGATGGAGGAGAATTGGATGCAACTGGCTCAGCTATTACGTCCATGTTTATGAGCAATGGAGCGCCCTTTCCTGATAAAAGCAAATATGAGCTCTTAAAGAGTGAGCTACTATTTGACAATGATGATGCTTTTCGATCCCTTGCGCGTCTCGAGCCACCTCCGGGGCGTAAGAATCCGCGGATTGCACACGCGAGGAAGTTTTGGACTGCTTTGCAGCAAGCTGCTCAATATTGGGATTCAAGCCATGACAATTACTACGAGATTGGCGTTGAAGATACCACCGCGGCCAATGGCCACGGGAAAGGCGAGGGCCTAGGTGAAAGCCAAGGTAAAGGCATGGACACAGATGCATTGGAGAGCAAAATGGACATCGATAGCGGGGATGGCCATAGTCAACCCCCTACCACAATACCCAATGTAAAACCAAAAAGCCCGAGCGGTAATAGGCGCTATAAGGGGCGAAGAATTGGTGCGGGAACGGATATGCCCGATTCGGTTCGAGAAGATATCTTACGTGGACTAGTGGAAATGGTAGCATGGTCCCTTGGTTGTCAGGTTAAACTACCAACAATGCCGCCTCGTCTCGCTGTCAAAGATCTTCTCTTTCCTGTGCGCCAGAGCTTCACCGTCTCACGTATCCCACAGGACAGACAGGAGGCACGCAAACATATCCTGGAAGGGCCCGTGCTGGTTGGTCAGTGCCGAGCAGAAACACATTTTTACGACGACGCTACTGGACAGAGATATGTCGAAAAATGTGATGTCCTGCGCGAAACGGCAGGCATGCTTCTACTGGCCCAGGAGAGAGCGCGAGAAAATCAGGTTGAAACCAAACCAGGAGATGGAAAATGGTGGACAAGTACGCCGCGGTGGGGAGGTCTCCCAAATCACGGTCCAGTTGGAGAACCAATTCCAACCGGCCCAGAACGGCAGCAGATTGAACCTGGGCAGTCGAATTCACCAGTGGATGGTGAAGCCACATCGAGCAAGCGAACAAAACACGACCGGTCGTCTCTTTCATTTCGGCGAGGCGCAGGGCCGAATAATAGGAGAATCTCAATGATAGAGAGGTGGAGGAGCGTACAACCTGGTCAGGGGCTGTGGGATAAGAGAATGAGATATATAAAAATTGGGGCTAATGCAGACAGTCCGTTTGACGATGTGAGTTGCAACCAACTGACTATAAAAGCCTGGAAGCAACCAATTGGCTAACAAATCCATGCTAGGTCTTTATGGTATCATCAATCAATCACCATTTCTCCATAATCCATCTCAGAGTCTATGACGAGTACCTCCAATGGCTCAGTACGGGCAAGGTAGACACTGCCAATTCAGGTGATGACCCAGCGTCACCTTGGGCGACCCCTAGTCCTTCGTCGAACACGCTGGTTCGACTTTTTCAATCCCATGGATCGTGCAGAAGGATTTTGATGGGCTCTGGGCCGTTATGACACATGTGATGAGATAGCTTCGCCGCGGTTTTTTCGCTCTTCTATCTCTGCATCGTCCAAACTGATATGTCCATTCCTTTCTGCCATTCGTCTCTCCTTACTCACGCAGTTATCCTGTCAGGAGATATCTTACGTACGCGTGCTTTGCCGAAAGGATTGCCTACATCCAACCTCCCACGCTCCCCCGGTCCACCCCTTGTTCTATATAATGCGTTAGCCTTATGCCTGTTATCTTGGAACTATGTAAGCGATGAGCCGTTCTCTCAGGGAATATGACATCAGATTGGACACAGAAAAATACAACGTCACATTCTAGAAGGAGAGAGCTGCTCGTTATTTTCTACATGAAGCAACTGGGCCAGTCAACTTTGTGATATTGACATGGTGTACAACCAGGAATATGTTAGCTGCCCACAAACTTCCACCTCCACCCTGCCGGTGATTTGTCCAGGATGGAAAAGGTACATGTTCGGAGTGTAAATTAAAGTCTTATTCTGCACTATGCATTCATCCATAGAGCGTCTCGTAGCTATAATATACATTGTAATAAGCGATAGTCAACTCGGCCAATCATCCAGTGTCACATCAGCCGAAACGTCAACGTCAAGTCTTTTCCTACTTTTTCTCCCCCACGCAAGTAACAGAACCAACATCTAGCATCCCGGACAAAGTACACCCATATAGTACATATAACCCGGTATCATTATATCGGCTTACATACCTCTCCCGCCCCTGGTCAGCCTATCCAAGCTTTATCCAGTGTTTCGAGTCTTCTGGTGGATTCAGCTGACCTCCCCCACGACTGTGTTATACTCCGTATAGTCGACGATACTTCAACAACGCGCTCGATAACCAGACAATCTCAGACAAGAAATATGAACTGCAATTGAGTTCCAGCCCTCTGCATGGCAGTTCAAGAGCATGGCTTTCGACAAGGATCGGAAACATGAGACAACTGTGGCACTGGGAGAAGGGAGCCACCCACCGCAGTCTTTGGCCGCTAGGGAAAGATAACCCGTTATGGATAAAGTCCATGACCACCATCATCTGCCACGAGATTGAACGCACCATTGGCAGGTGAAGCTACATGCCTGTGACCTTGAGGTTCGGCTGCCCTCCCACAACCAATAACGGAGGCAAACGCGGTGGTGGGACGCGCAGTGTGGGATGGGAGGCAATCCCATATCCTAGCTTGGTGACCATCGCCGACCTGGCATCGTATACAACTATGGAGCGCTTCCCAACTCAGATCTCCACCTGTCCATGGCCTTTACGCTGGGTGTCTGGACGCTAAGCCGCGGGGAACACCGGAAGGGAAGCCTATCTTGATCTCTGGGAAATTTGCCCTGGTCGGCTTCGTCCTATGGACATGGATAGGCGACAGCCCCTAGATATATCTGATACGAATGAGCCCGATATCAACATCAAAAATTATATTATTAATTCGAATATTTCGCCGAGATGAACGTCGGATATCGCGTCAATCATGCCATTAATACTGTCATGGGGACTGGAGACTGCGACGTTGCAACAGGAGTGCTACCACTTCTTTAACCCAATATCTTCCCCCACCCCCCCCTCGATAACAGAGTATTATGTAGGTATCTTTCCTTTTTCCTTTCTGGCCCTTGCCTTCACACTTTGGTGCCTAACTAACAGTGTCTTTCCTAGTTTACGCGGGCTCAGTATGACTTACATACACATCATCACCATACCGCATGCAATGCACTCACCTATAAGTTCATAAATAAGGATAACGGTGATCCGCATGCATGTTAATAACCAAATCTCCTGTTTGGTGCTGCTAAATTTCTTTTTCAGGCTTTTCTACATTGTCATCGTGACTGCTTGGCTAGTTATTGCATGAAACCTCGAACCCCTGAAATTGTAATCGAGAGTCATGAGAGAGTACTCCATAACAGTGCAGCAATCCGGTATGAGTGAAAGACACCACCGACTGGCATTTCTATTATGACGATAGGCGCCGGGGGGTACTTGCACATCTGGTAGACGAGCAATACGGAATATATTCAACACACATACTCCGTACGGAGTATACATGTATCCAACGCTCCTCCGCATATCAGATTAACGCTGTCTATAACAGGAGAGCCTTAGCGAATGGCACAGGCAAATATAGGCATTTCTATTATGTCATTGACCCCTCGATCATCTGAAGGAAGATGATCCCTCACACACGCTACAGGCTGCACCTTCCCGTCTACAGAATACCTTCATTTCCCTTTAAGAAATACGCCAGAGGAATGAATATGCAGCTAAGCCGTCTCTTTTTATATGGCTATTGCTGTTGTCATCCAGGGGAACGTTGAATCGGGCGAGCAAGTACTCCGTAAGTCTCAGGGGAAGCCAAGCTCACCTGCTGAATCTCATAGGGGGAATCTACTTTCTTTTACGGAGTACTCAGAATCACGATTCGAATTTTCGCTGTCTGACCCCTGCATTTTCCACATGATGGATTAACACACGAAACCTATCCTTCTTTCTTTCTTTCTTTCTTTTTCCCTCCTGCAACCCTCTCCTCCCTATTCAACTTTCGTTCTTTATTTCTTTCCTGGGACTTTCCCTTTTCGATGTTTGAGTTCAGCTGGATGGAAATTTCAACAGTACTATGTCTACCCAAGGCGCACTTGTGGCGTTCGACCACGCTCCTCACATACAATCACCAAGCCTTGGTTGCGTGCCGAGCAAGCGCGCCGTTCATACCAGCAGGTGAACCAAGCCAGCCTGCACTAATAATGTTTCGAGATGTGGAGATACGGCATTCTTCGATGCAATATATATCATAGAAGGAGGACCAATTACTAACTAGTTGGTCGAAGAGCCAACGCAGAAGGCCAAAGGAATTTTTCAACCAGCGGATCAAAGAATAAGTCCCGTCTGAGCCGCAACGCTAGTACTCCTGAAGTCCCCGACATATTCACCGACAGCTTTTCCATAGCGGCCCCTGAGGGAAATCTATATTCGGAGCGCTCGCGGTAACTACGCCGATTATACGGATAGGATAGATTAGTAGGCGAAAGCTTCCCTCATCTATGACGCGTTTGTTTTGTGAGACGGTCATTTGCCGACTCGTGTCTTGGAGATTAGCATGGTATATTAACGATCATCTGACCATGGAATGCAGAGAAATTATAAAAAGAGAGATGGCCCAGGCGATCGGAGCCCGATAAAAGGAAGGGTTAAGGGGTCAAGGAATTGCAATCATACATCACCTTGGACAGGGGGGTGGAGAATACTAACCAAATAACCACATTGCTCCGGGTAGGTGGCCAGTAGAAAAAAAGCGAAGTAAGAGAAATGACCAAGATTGGCAGCAAAATGAGCGAGAAGAAATATATGACACAGGCTGGTTACCCCAGCTGTTGGGGTCTGGGTTTTGGCTTGTGGCATGGGTATGGTACGGGATGCTTCGTTGTTGACAGGGGGGGAGCAGACGTTGTGGTGCCCAAAGCCGCGGGAGCCCACCGCACCGCCGCCGCTACTTTTCTATCGATCCATGAACGCTTTCCATGGTTAACTAGGGAGCTACTATCGGGCAGGTTCGACATGCAGGTGCATCTTGAGATGTTTGTGATAATGGCTGCCATGGCTTGCAAACAGTTCCTGAGACCTCCGTCCTCGTCCAGCACCAAGATGTCTCACGTGTACAGTACCTAACCAACTGTTAGGTATCGCTATCGATGCCTCCTGCTTGCAGAGATTTTCTTTTCTGATAGTCGGTAAAGGTCCTACTTAACTACGGGATGAAAATGGCTTTTGCGGGTTTCTGCCTCCTCACTGGTCGAATATTCAAGCCTTTCATTATCCTGGGTGGCCAGAGATATTCAGCACTAGTCTAGACGGATACATACTGTCGTGGTACGTGGTACGGCTTCCACGCCACAAGCTCACTTGTCAACCTCGAGGGCTTCACGGAAAAGGCGTTGTGACGTATCTTTCCGCCTTTGTTTGATGGAGGTTGCACTCTTATGAATATTAGATGGGAGAGGAAAGATGCTCCAACCCCTCGCTGCAACAGAATCAAGGCCTCCAAACCTCGTTGTACGTCGCGAGAGACAGCGAGACGGGGAGTACGAAGTAAGACGACTCGCCCGTGAGTTAACTAGTTACACCCTCGGCAACTACTCGCTCAAGTGCCGTTGCCGTTGCAAAGCAATTATATGTACACGCTAAATTAGCCTAAGCAAACGAGCTGCACCAGTTAGTCAACAGGACGCATGCTTGTTTGAGATTTCAGATTCGAACTGGGCCAAGCAAGGGTAAACTCATCGATCGGTTCTGTGGGGTGCGTCATGTATACGCTCTTGCTTGCTTACGTCGAAAACCAGATGCACCGTAGCGGAGAACAAAGCAAAAGACACAAAGAAGGAAGGGGAGACGCTTCTTAGTGTTCTCCCTTTCCATGAAGAAAGCTTGTTTGGTTCCAGCTTCCTCTGCCATGGGAATCGTTAGCACGAGGTGATATAGGTTGATATACATATCTATATATACGGAGGGAATATGGGGAGCATGGAGGAGAAGAACCCCATACTTATGCCACATAGGCTAGGCGCAGCAGACAGAGTATGGGATCAGTGGCAGACGGCGCTACGGCCCAACTCCAGGACTGCGAACTATTCCAAGGATTCCTGCTCGGCGGTCACCGAGGAAGTCCTCTCCAATTGCCTCGAGAAATCCCAAGAGATCATCGTCCTGGGTGTGGAGTCAGCACGCAACCAGATGGAGGAGTGCGTAAAATTATACGACCAGCCAGACACACAAACTCCAGCCAGCTGGTAAGAACTCCACGAACTGTTTGCCCAGAGGGCATTCGATGCAGCTACCCTGCCTTCCAAGGGCAAAAAAGAAAAAAGTTGGGGATTCGCCACTTCCTTCGATCTTTTTGGTAACGGGCTTCTGGGCCGTCCTTGCATTGCATCGTAAGCGCTTGACAGGCTATACAAACGGATGGATGGGCACGGCAAGATCGGGCGTATCCTCAACATAACGGGGGATGGAGTACACATATTTCTATTCCGTATAGTTAATGCGCGCAACAATGGGGCAACCGGATCTGCTTCTCTGGCAGCAACTGGCACAGTTTCGGCTCGACATACTATATACGCATTGGGCCCGAGGAGTTTTTTTCTGTGCCGCGCGTGAGCTCTGTCAGCACCCGATGAGATGCTTTTCCACCGCCCATGGGACTAACTATGGGTCTGACTCGGTTAAGGTCTTGATTCGTCCAGGGAAGCTTAAGCTAAGCAAGCTAGGTTAATTAATAACATAAGTGTGGATATGGACATCTGCCCTGGAGTTGGATAAACGATGGGGGGAGGGGGAAGATAACGGGGACTGCTGTGCCAGGGCATGTCACTTCACTGCTCTCGCTTGGAAGGGCTTATTTTTAGTACTGGGGAAAATACGAGATCTGAACATGCTCTTCCCTCGCTGCTCTCTCTGCTAGGGGTGTTGGTGGTTTATCCAGTTTTCCCAGTTTGCTCCATCGGGTTTGTTGAAGTCTGCTGTGGTACGAAGCCATATCCATACTTCACGTCAACGCCGCAGCACCAAACGAACGACTTCTGCATATCACCCCTTTCTGGGAGGCAGCAGCAGCAGCAGAAGCACACGCCGTACGTACACAGGCACAGGAAGCCAAAGAAATTTGATGCAGCAACCCGCCGATAGTCCCGGTCACAGTCGACTCAGCTCTCCCTCTGGTGCTATACATATCTAAACTATTGCCCCCAGTCGCTGGTAGGGGTATCCTCCCTTTCCCTATCCCTTTCCCTCTATTTCTCCCTCTCCAACCCTCCCACCATCCCCGTATGTACGGAGTTCCCAGGCTTTGATACGGTGGACGTTGTTACAATCCCGCGTATCCTCCCGTACTTTTCTCTCTTCCTCTCCTTCTCCCTCTCTGGACGTGCATCTTGTTGGGCTTCTTTCTTTTTCTTCTCCTTCTGCTTCTTCTTCCTTTTTTTTTTCCGCCTTTGCCAGGCGTTACTTTCGCCGCTCCATACAAGACCAACTCCATCTTCCGTCCGCAATTCCGCAAGCCGCAAGCCGCAAAATTGCGACTCCATCCTAAGCTTAAAGGCGCTGTGGGTGATCTGGTCCTTTTTCTCCACTCGGTCTCTCGCTCACTTCTTTTGCTGGCCTCCCGCTGCTAGTGGCTTCTTGGGAGGAGTTTGGTTTTTGATAGAGAGAAAGCGGAGAAGAAACAACCTTCCTCTCTGCGTCTGCATCTGCTCTTCTTGCTCTCTCGTTCACCACCCCCTGACGATAGTCGAGCAGGCCACGCCAGACTGATATCAACGTCGACACCGGTGACTATTTCGACCGTCAACGCCGCCCCTGACATCGAAGAGTCCCGTTTCGGCTGCCAGGAGCAAAAGACCTGCGGGAGCTTGGATCGCGCTCGCCCCCCTCCACGCAGCCAGCATTGTTCTCTCTGTCTCCTGGGGCCCCCGTCTCGTCCAGTCAAATTTCATCTATCCACGTCCATAAGCCTTTTGCTTGAAATCACCAGATCATCGACCAGCGCTGGGGCAAACAGCAGGGAGGAAAGACGTTCTTCCGACCGTTTTCGACCCGATCAAAAGGTTCATTCCCTGTGGTCTGCCAAAAAGCGGTTCATCGTCCGCTCCCTCTCTCGTTTCCTCGTTTTTATATATACATATTTTGCCCGTGCCTTGCGACAGACCTTTACACCGACACTGCACACCGCACATCATCGCACGCCGCAACCGAAGATAGTCAGAGCAAGCGTCTCTATCTACATACACTCTCTTTGCAGTCCGCAACTCGCTGAGACCCTACCTCTCGCCTTGGGCGTTTCACCTTTGAACTGCGTCGGTTTCCGTGGCTCTCAAACATCGGAAACTTTGCCCGAAACCGGGTAACCAACAGCCCAAGAGTAGGACCATTCCACGACTGCTGGCACCTACTTTTCCTTGCCCTTTCGGTTAATGGTTCAGGCACCAGAGCTTACCATATTTCTCGAACAAACAGCCGACACAGACTTATCAACAGCGTCAACGAGCACAAACCGCTTATTACTCTTGCTCTCCACCGAGTGATTCAATCTCGGAACCAACCTTTTTTTCCTCCCTTCCCTTTCTCTATTTGCCGTCTGTCTTTCTCTCTGCCTGAAACACATTCGCAGAATCAACAGCCGCCACGGGAGACAGATCGCCGGCTGTTCGTCCTCGGGCTTTCGTCCCTCCACTCAATATTTGGCAGGATAAGACTTGGGATTGACAGCCGCAAACCTAGCCATGCTATTTTTACGGAGTTAACTGGTCTTTGTAGAACGTGTATACATTGTGTTCTTTTTCTACCTTCTCTCCCTCGTTTTTTCTTTCGACAAAACAGGAGCTCTCTGGGTCCTGCATTTGGAAGGCGGATCAATCTTCCCGATCTTTGGACCGAGTCGAAATCATGACAATGGAGGCCGCAACAACATCAGAGAACCCTAAGACTCTGCCGCCTACGCTTCCCTCCCCACCGTCAGTGCGCCAGTTACCTCCCTCCGAACGGCCGCCGTCTTTACCTCTTCCCCGGACATTCGTCGACAGCCATTGGGGGCGTTCATATCACCCTTACGAAAACACAGACCAACGAGGTCCATCTTCCTACTCAGCGTCTCCACGAGAAGGCTCTCATATGGCGGAATCGTACGGCAGGCCCGGTAACAGCATACCTCCCGCCTCCAGAACGCCTAACGGCACGTTCAGGCCGGTTAATGGCGCCCATGAAGGCAACCCGAACCCTCCTCCTAATAACTACCAGCCTCCAAACGACTTCCATGGCCGACCTGGCAGTTATGGCGCTGATAACAACCACCAGAATGGCGAGCATCATGGAATGCAGATGATCTCGCCTGTCGATGGCATGCAGCCACCACCACCATCTACGCACCGACCGTATCCTCCTGGCACGCCGATAGCTCAGACTCACGGCCCCTACGACCAGGGGAGTTACTACCTTAACCAAGCCAACTCGCAGGCCCAGTCGCAGGCCCAGAGACAGCGTCGAACCACCCGCGCGCAGCAGGTAAGGCTTCGTGCCAGAGATTGGAACCTATACTTTTCCTTTATATGTCCAGGTATCGGAACTGACGAGTGAAACTAGGCCTGCGATCAATGTCGTGCGCGAAAAGCGAAATGTGACGAAGGTCGCCCATCATGTAGTTTGTGTAAGGAGAGCAATTCGGTCTGTGTCTATAAGGATGTTCCACCTCACAAGTATGTCTAATCATAGGCCCTGCAGTACTGTATTGATAATAGATAAAAAAGAACTAACCATATTTCTCGCGGCAGGCATGAACGCTCGACTCAATTGGTTCTCGATCGTCTAAAGCAGTTGGACGATCGGTTTAATGACATGTTGAAAAGTCAAGCAGAGCAAGATTTGAAACTAGAGGCTTTGATACGGGCTCAAAAAATGTCCCCATTTAGTCCAAAGCTTGAAAAGAAGCCCGAGATAGTACAAAAGACGTCCACACCAGCAGAACAGGAACGTGCTTCACCGAAAGCCGCCAGTATAAGTGAAGCCCCGACTGGCAAGCATATCAAGGATGAGCATATCGACCTTCATATTGATGATGATGAACTCTCCATTCCCATTGAACACACTACCGCAGCCCACAAACTCCTCCTGTGGCCATCAATCCAGAAATTGCTACCCGAACGAATTGATGCAGACTATGTCATGGAGTTAGAAGAGGAGCGAGGTCCGATCAGACCCTATGGACGTGGTGAAGGCGAAGACGGACACGACATTAGCGTTTATCCCTACAGTCCAAAACTCCGATCCCCCAGCCCCCGTGAAGATGAAAGCTTTCAAGCCCGCCCTCCTAGCACTGGATATGGCACTGGACTAGAAATATACCAATCAAACCCTACCCTGCACGTCCCAAAAGAGCGGCAGGTAGGTGGTCTCAATGCTTCCGGCGTTCTTAATCTTGATTCAGACGTTATTGAGAAGCATCGCCAAAGCTACCTCCAGAACATGCATATCTTGCATCCTATACTTGCTCAGGACAGCCTAAACAACATGATTTCGAACTTTATTAGGACCTACAGCCCCCAGTCCAAGTCTATGCCAACACCACTAGGCTCACGAGCTGACCCTGCGTCAGGGGTTCACAGAGTTCAAAAAAGAAAGCGATCTGTTGACTTGCCGGATGGATACCCAGACTCACCAGTATCAGACAGCTTTTCTCCTCACACGGGCCATGAAATTCAACGGTCCCTTGAAAATGCAATTGTTCTATTAGTACTGGCTTTAGGTTCGATATGTGGGTATAAGGGTCCTATCCCAGGCCCTGTACGGCACGTACCAGTTGGTCCCTTCACACCTGTGATGGGGGACCACTCTCTAGCCGTGTCAAACTCACCACCCGAGAGTATGCCTTTTGCAAACCATCATAGGCGGTTTTCCACACAGTCAACCCATGTTGGCCCAGACCCGCCGGATATCAGGAATATGGATGTCATTCCGGGAATGGCGTATTATGCACTTGCTTCGGATATTTTGGGCAATTTGCATGGAGGTAATGATCTAGCCCTTGCTCAAGCTTGTCTTCTCGCCGCCCTTTATACAGGACAACTTGCACACCCATTTTCAAGCCATGGGTGGATTTATCAAGCAGCCCGCGCCTGCCAGGTTTTGGTTCGACCGTAAGCATCCCCTCTGCTGTGTCATCTTCTTTTTATCAGAACCAGCGGTAGCTCACTACATATCATAGACGAAAATATGACTGCATGCCCGAAGGCCCGAGGAAAGATCTGATATGCCTGGTTTTTTGGACATGCCTACAACTTGAGAGGTAGGGATGAGTTAATATCACACCTATAATAAAGGGAAAGGTTGCATAAAACTAACCGACTGCAAAACAGTGATATATTGGCAGAGCTTGATCTACCGGCAAGCGGGATCAGTCGACTAGAAGGGCGCATGAACTTTCCTCGAGGGGTTTTTGCTCATACCATTCCAAATGAAATACATGCGCCTAATACCATGATGATGATGTATTACCTTGTGCAAATTCACCTTCGAAAGGTTCTTAACAGGATCCATACCGACTTGTATAAGGCCGAAAGTAAGACACTAACCGCACTTATACCCCCCTGCTAAGGCTTGGTAACTAATGTTCACCCTATCATAGAACAAGGAGGTGAAAAGGCCCGCTGGTCGACTAAGATCCAAGAGGCACTAAGCTTCAACCTTGAGCAATGGCGCAGTGGTCTACCTGAGTATATGCGCTGGGAAGATTCCGACCCACCAGCAAAAGATATCAACACCGCACGCATGCGCGGTAAATACTATGGCGCTAAATATCTCATCCACCGACCCCTGCTTCATCACGCCCTGCACCCAATGGCTCCTAAGCCTCGTAACCCTGTCCCTGCTGCGTCACCAGCCCAGTCTACCGTCTCCAGCTCCCAATCTCAAGTCTCGCCATCGCTATCTCACGTCCATCAAGCAGAGAAAATGGAGCGATACACAAGCGAGATGGGCCCGCCAGTCCGGACGCCATCCAATGACCCGCAGCCGCCGCTGCTGAGCGACTTGGAGCCCAAGGTTTTTGATGCGTGCATGGTCTGTATTAACGCTGCTATGAACAGCACTGTAGCATTTGATGGAGTCGAAGGCCGCCCCATTGTCACCAATATATTTGGAACTGCTCACGCGTAAGTTACTAACCATCCCCTGATATCATTGTATCTCGATTATGAATTATCACACTAACTTTGACGTTGTAATAGTCAATTCGGCAATATGCTCGTCCTCTCAGCAACCTATACATCTCAACTTTCTGCCCTTGTCGATGGCGAAAAACTTTGCGCACTACTCGACCGAACCATTAAATTCCTGTTACGAAGCAGACATATCTCTCCCACGTTGCGCAAAGACGCAGAAATATTAACGCTGATACGGCGCAAACTCTTTGAACAAAACCCGCAGCCGCAGCCGCAGCCGGCACAACCTGGAAGCTTTTCTAGTGACCGATGATTCACCCATCAAATTTTCCTCACTTCAATATATATACATATACCTCCGAATCAACTTCTCATTCATTTCATGTGTTTTTACCCTACACTTCTTTGTTTCCATACTTTTCCCCCAATCTCTTCTTGGGTTTACATCTCCATTGCATTTGATGCATTGTTTCAATCTATGCTCAATACCATTTTGGCGTGGGTGGCAAGTCGTCTTCTGCATATTTTTTTGGCCATTCCTCATTTTATCGCTCCTTTCCTTTCTACTGTCAATTATTTCGCTTCTTGTAAGCTTGAAATAACTCATGGGGGGCTTTTTTTTACGTCAATATCATGCCTATACCTATTTTAAATACTTATATCCCTTTCCCCATATGGTTGTATATTTTTATTTTATTTTTTCCCCTCTTTCCTCTATCTGCACGTTAGTCTTACACTTTTTTGGTTTTCTGCTGATGCTCCCTTTTAGCCACATTCTGTAAACAGCTCGCGAGTCGCCTGTGGGTGAAGTGAATGGTTGGTGGCAATGTAAGGATTATGAAAGATTGACAGGGTCTCCTAATTCATTAATTGATAGGCTACAACAAAGCATGGATGGCGAAAATATAACATCACTGCTACCTCCAATTCTCTTGTTAGGGCTAGGTCGCATAACGGAGGCATTTTTTATCTATTACTGGCGAATTCTTATCAAGCAGTAGACATAAAGCCTGCCAATAACCCCATCTACGCTAATCATGAGTATAAAAAGTAAGAGTATGCTAGTACCAAAACTAGGGATGGGATTCTGCTGCTGGTAGCTAGCAGTTTCATCTACTATGAATCAAAGCCCCTTTGCCCTCTACGGTTGCTTGCTAGGGAGTTGTCATGTTCATCTAGCCACAGAGCATTCTAGTTAACGGAGATCTCCAGAACTAGTATATATATATATAAACAGTGAAACTGAAAAGACTCTTGAACTTTTAATATATTTTCTATACTCTCTCTACTGTTGCCATTACTGCTTTTAAACACTCTAATGATCTTCATAAGATACTTTTGAGCTGCATCAAGCCCTTTACAACGTTAGAAGTGAGGATATCTGCGAGTTGAACAGTCAGTATGTATCCTAGCTACTATTTGGGCGAATGTACCTCAAGCTAACCCTCGTTAGGATTTCAACTGAGGCTGGATAATAATCATGCCACACTCGTCGTTTTTTAAGAAGCACGATCCTGAGTTTGTGCACAACGACAGTAACACACTACAAGTTGAGTTTGGCCGCCTCGCTAACCGCTGCGGCTGGACGAAGAAAAACAAGAAGTATCCACGTCAGTGGGTAAAGTGTCTCACGGAGGAATTGAAGTGTTATGTCTATCAGATCATAGACGAAGATGGCGACAAACTTTCCAACATGAGGCTCCTGTGTGAGAGATACGCGAACAAAACGCCATCGTCCATTGGAGCATGTGAAAAGGTATATTCCTCCTATCTATCGGGACATATTCGGGCCGTTCTTAAGGATAGCCGCTGTTTTCCATGCATGAATTAAGCTGACGTCAATATAGGCACTCCGACATGTGCATATCAATTTGGTGGACTGGATTGACAGCCAGCGGTATGGAGAGGAACCCCGTCGTTTCCGGTCCTACAGAGATCTGGAAAATTACACCAGGGAAAATAATAGGTTTTTCCCAAAGAAGATCCTTAATGATGTGCCTATTATGAAAGTCTTCCTGAGGGCATTCTAAAGGTGTTTTCATGAGTGGTGGCTCAATATGTATCATATCTCGATGGTGATTGAGTAAAACATGCCAACTTGGAGCTTTTTAAGTAGTTAACTAGCTAGATTGGCGACTAGTTATTAAGCCTAAGGGCTAACTTGCCAGGAATGTAGTAGTAAACGCTTGTATATGGTCAACCAAACAACACAAGTTTATGGTAGAAGGTCGTTACACATAGCGTCGTAGGGTATCGAATTGTGTTAACTGTGACCAACAGTGATCAAAATTGGACGGTCTAAAGTCCGAAATCCGAAGTGAAGTCGCGGGAACATCACGTGACGCTTTCTCTCGCCCGAACGTCAAAGCAGCAAGTTCGACCGTCATCCACGGTTTAGGACACAGCGCCAACGGTGAGGATAACTTAGCCATCATTTACAGAGCAGTTAGCTGCTGTGATTCGTCAAGGGCGGCAGGAGAGCCAAGAGGCAGGTGGCTCAGGGGTCTTTCTTGCGCCAAAGAGCAGTTTGGCATCTTCTAGTTATGGAGAACCGAGGTTCATCAAGGGACTGATCGGCCTCGTATTGATCGTCGTTGGTGGACGACGGGCAAGTCTTTTAGTAGTATTGCACGGACAGTATGAGGGTGACTGGGGGCATACACTCGGGTATTGATACATCAGGGGGACTTGCTATCTGTAGGTAAGAAGGTATCCACGAGTATATGGATAAAAGCTCACAGTTCTGGCAGGAATATGATATATAGAAATCTTCCGACCGAGAAGCCACTCGGCGAACTAAAGTTGAAGCTTGACTTTCGAGGCTGGCTAGTTGCTTTCTCCATGTTTGCGAGAATGCGATGAGCATGTGCTTTGGGGAAATCTGTGGAGCACATGCCGTAGCGTATATAGAGAGCTTGCGCCTGCTGCTGGACAAAAAGACGAAGAAGACGTTGAGCTGCTTTATCCTGGCTAGTTGTCCACGGCCATCAATAGACAATAGACATCATGAGCCTCTCAACCCATAAAGGATGGCTGCCGCGTGAAGGTACGAAATACAGCGTAGTCACTCCATCCAGATGACATGGCCATTCATTGTTACAAAGACTAACAGGCGCTTAGGCTTCACGGCGGATGTTATTGGGCACATCCTGTCGTCCACAGTCCTGGCGCCGCAAGTAACGATACCGCTGCTGTTATTTGCCAGTTACACGGCCAAGGGGAGGAGCTTGGTTGCTGACCGACCTGGCGTGTTTACTGCGCTGAAGGGACTGGTATCACTTGGCCTACTGAAAATCGTCAATGGTTACATCAGCCGTCGAGCCTTGAACAACTGGGTGTCTGACGAGTTTATCTGGAGACGCGAGATCGCCTTGGTGACCGGAGGAAGTGATGGAATCGGACAGCGGATTGCGCTTCTGCTTGCTCGTCGTGGCCTCAAGGTCGTCGTCCTTGACGTCCAGGAGCCCAAATACCATACACCACCCAACGTAACTTTCTATAAGTGCGACATTACTTCCTCTGCAGCCGTTGCGGAGGTAGCTGCAACAATCCGAGCAGACGTCGGCGAGCCGACCATCATCATCAACAATGCTGGTATCCTGAGAACACGGCCTTTACTTCAAGGCACGGAGGCCGAGACGAGACTCGCCTTTGAGGTGAACACCCTCTCGCACTACGTAATGGCGCGGGAGTTCCTACCAAGCTTGATCCGCCACAACCATGGGATGCTGGTGACCGTTGCCTCGCAGGCTTCGCACGTTGCGTGTGCCAGTATGGTTGACTATGCCGGGACCAAAGCTGCAGCACTAGCTTTTCATGAAGGCATTGCCTCTGAGTTGAAGATACGATACAAGGCCCCCAAGATACGCACCGTAGTGATCGAACCGGGATTCTGCAAGACCAGCCTTATAGACGGCATGTCATCTGAAGACACCTGGTTCCATCCGCTACTTCACCCTGACACGGTAGCAGAGCGGACAGTTGAACAGATACTAACAGGCTCCAGCGGAAGGGTGATATTGCCTGGCTCCACTGGATTCTTTGCGGAGAACATTCACTCTCTTCCATTTTGGCTTCAGAATTTCATCAGGGATAGATGTGAGATGTCATCGAGAACGAGCCACTGTGCTTAACTTGAAAAGGGGCTGGCTTTATATTCTGGACTGAATTGGTTTCCCTTGGCTGTTTCCTTGCTATTATTCCTTGTATATATTTCTGGTTCTTTTGGTATTTGGTAGTTTGTTAGTTATGCCTCACGACTCTTCTGAATTGGTAGACAATAACGCTGCATATTGCGGCTCTCTCCCACCAACCGCTCGTGCCTGTCCACTTTTCTCCCCTATCCAAGTATACAATTACCTGGAATATATGCATACCCAGGTGCCTACTCAGTCACGACCCCAGTGGCAATCCTAGGTACCTTCCAGCCTTCCAACTATCCAGGTCATGTGCAGCGTGCAGCATCAAAAATGCGACTTTCAGCGCAATACGCAAGCTTGCGATTCTTCTGCCTAACTGCTTACCTTCACCTTCGCGACTGCTCGAGCATCCTCCATCTTCGCTCTCTTCTGCGCCATCCTGCATCTTTCTCCTTTTGCCGACTGACTACTCGAGATGGACATTGTTTAATTCGACTCCTGTACTAATATCACGAAGACCGCGACTTTGTAACGACTTGACGACCTAGAACGACTCTTACGACCCTTACGACTTTACTTTCTACTGCAAAAAAAGTACTATCAACGGCATCCAACGAGCAGACGAACTGAAGGCCTTTCACTCTACGGCTACCGGCGCTCTTCTGCTCAGCTTCCTACTGCGATACTGCTGGGATATTCCCTTGATCTGTGTGTCTCTCTTCGCCTTCTTGTTGGGATTGATCGCAGCCAGCGCCACCTAGCCACCTAGCTTCGCACCCCCTGCCGGGCTCTCGCGGACAGCCAACCACGGATCCTGCCCGGACGCTGAGCCGTGGGTCAGGAAGGTCTTGTTTACCCGCTTGGTTAGTGAGTTACCAGCCACCGGACAACCAGCTCGCAGACAGGGCCGGGTAAACAAAAACACCCAAGCAGAAAAACAGACAGGCCGCTCTTCTCACGGCTCTCTCGCTCTCACCGACCAACCAAACCACCAACCCACACTCCCTTTCCACAGGCTGTCTCGTCCAGTGGCCGGCCCCAATCCACGATCAAGATGTTTAGAAGCCTTCTGGGAACCCAGTCGAGCAGCCGATCGTCTGTCTCGAGCCGCCACAGACATCGTCGAGATCGCGACGACTACGACGACGACGACGACGACAGCCGCTCAAAGTACTCATCGCGCTCTCACCACAAATCGTCTCGCCATCATTCGTCTTCCTCGAAGCACAAATCCTCACGAAGTGACGATCGTGATGCGGATAGACATTCGAGCTCAAGACGGTCCTCGCGACGTTATGAGGACGACGGCGACGGCGCACGTTCTACCATAGCTCCTAGTGAGATAACATCTGAAGCGCCGTCACGGATGCTGGATGGTGAGAGGAGTACTTTTGGTGATGACCCTAATGACCATTATAAGGAACGAAGGTCTCGCAGAAGAGGTCGTGGAGATGACGATTCTGTACTTGAACGAGACCCGCGAGACGCAAGGCGCCGCGAGAGAGATACATACACAGAGGAACCGAGATACCGTGATGATGCCCCTTCTACGGTAGGACCCGACTTCCGAGATGCTTCACGTCGTGAGAGAGATGGATATGGATATTCGGGTGAACCACGACGGCGCTCGCGAGACCGATATAACGACAATGACGACGACAGACGACAAAGGAGCAGTCGTCCATACGATGAACCAGCTACTGATGATAGATACGAACCAGCTACACGTTCGGAACGACGCAGCAGGGCCTTGGATGACCGAGCCATTCCTGAAGACCAACGGCCCATTGAACCAGCTGGCCGCAGCCGAACTGCAGCTTCTGGCCCGGGAAGCTCGCGGTCTCCCATGTACCCTTCGGATGGCAGCTATCCTACGACATCAGGACCTGGGGCTATGCCTCAATCATCATATTCTTATCCTCCACCCACATCAGGCTCCTATCCACCTCCAGATAGTGCTCAGCAGCCGCCTATGATGGGCTCAGCTGCCGAGTATTATGGAGACCAAGGCCAGTCGGTCCCAACTCAGCCTGGATTCACGCCCAGTGCTATTTCACCTTCTGGTCCTGAACACGAACCTCATCCCTCAATACCGATACCACAGTTTGACCAGCACCAAGTTGGGCCATCCGGACCACCGCCTCAGCACGACACTGGAACTGGGGTGTTGGACGGCATGGCCGCTGGAGCTGCTGGCTACGGCATAAGTTCAGCCATGTCTGGTGGATTACCTCACAGCGGACCTCCCAACACCTCACCAATTATGCCAGGGAGCATGTCGGCTGATGTGCCCTCCAATTCACTGCCCAATGCACCATCCAACACGCTACCAGACAGCTTCCATGAATCTCCAGTCAACTATGCGCCATCTGGATACCCAGAAAACCAACCTCAACACCATTCGTCTTCATCACATGGCGGGCTTGCTGCACTTGGAGCGACAGCAGGCCTTGCAGCTGCAGCAGGCCTAGCAGCACATTCACATCACAATTCGCACCATAATTCATACAGCAATAGCCATCAAGTGCCACAGTCTCAATACCAACAACCCCAGCACATTGGAGGCTTTCAGCAAGGAAATCTTGCCTATCAAAAACGTCAACAAGGCCCTCTAAAGAAGTTCGTCGACTTTTGGCGAGATCCTGAAGGTGTGGGACTGTACGAAGAGTACTCTGAAATCATTGGAACCTGCAGGTACTGTTTTGAACCAGGAACAACCTCTCGCGATGCACCACGCAAACATCGATATCGTCGCAGGTTATCCAATGACAGCTTCGGCGGTAGATCCAGAGTGGATAAGTTGACTCGCTATGGGTCTTCTGAGGAAGAAGGCCACCACAAGAGCTCGAACCGCAAATCCTGGCTGGCTGCTGGCCTGGCTGCATATGTAGGCAAGTCTATCTTCGACAAGAGAAAGAGGGACCACCGTGATCGCTCTCCATCAATTCGACGCACCAAATCATCGTCCTCCTCAAGCGTGGGAGGTAAGGGAGCAGTCTCGTACGGACAGGCTACTATATCGGAGTACTCCCACCCGCCGTCCACAATTGGTGGTGGACGGAAATTGGACAGATATGATTCCCGGAGTGATGTTTCGAAGCCGTCCATATCAGCTCATTCGAGATCTAAATCTGAAGGGTACCGACGTCGAGATCGATCACGGTCGTCATCGAGCGATAGTAAGTCTGGCAGATCAGGCCTGAAGACCGCTGCCATCGCAGCTGGTGCACTTGGTACTGCTGCGGCCCTGTCATCAGCCAGCCATGGACGCAAAGAGAGACGGATACGTGCTCGTAGCCGAAGCAGGTCTCCTAGAAAACCTCGACGTCGTTACTCTTCGTCTTCTAGCTCCTCGATGATTGATATCTCTCGCCCCTCGGCAAAAAAGGGCCTGGCAAGCTTTTCAAACTTCTTTAGCGCACCGTCAGAGAGGAGCCGAACCGGTCGAACCGGCCGAGCCAGCCCTCGTAAGAAACAGCGGAACTTATTTGGTATTGGATCGACATATTCATCATCGGACGATGCTGATCTCGCCTTTGGTTCTGGATTTCTTAAGCCGCGGAACTCAAAGAAGGGAAAAAACCGAAAGCGTGACGAAGTCATCGATGCTAAGCTCATTGGTCTAGGTGCCGCTGCTGCTGGACTTGCAGCTTCGGCATCGATTGCGAACGGGAGACGAAATCACAGCTTGATTGCAGTCAAGGAACGAAAATCCAAGCACGAAACAACTGCAGATGACAATTGGGAATCTGTGTCCGATGAATCATCCTCTGCGGATTCTGGCCTGGCGTACGGTGGACCATCGTCAAACAGCCGAGATTCCTTTACGTCCGACTCTGGAACTTCAAAATGGCGATGGCGATGGGGGACTTCTAAGAAAAAGAAGAAGACACCACAGTCTCTAGAGTACCCCAATAAACGGAATGACCATGGACGGAACTCCCAAGCTTCGCTCGTTCCGCCATCCAGCAGCTTGGGCAGCCTCCCTTCCATGCAGAATGTCGACCCTATTCCGACTGGTGAACAATCACTGACACCTTACCGTCATGAACATAATTCTACAACGGGTGGCCCGTCGGTTTTTGACACGACGAAGCAAATATACATTTCTCGCCCAGAGCATACGGAGATTGACCAGCCAAAACCAACGGTCCCCGTATCTAACTCATTCTACAATCAAAAGGACCCTCAAAGCGAAAAGCCCAAACCTACCTTCAAGGAAATCGCTCCTGCTGTGGCCAGTGCTGTAGCTGGTGCGGCATTGATGGGAACTGCCATCGAGTACTACAATGATCACCCCTTGAAGGACTCTAAAGCAGTTGTTCCAGCTGATCCATCCAAATCCAAGGATATGTCTTTACCCGGGGCCCTGTCTGGCAGTAATCGAGAACGTCCCTCCTCCCACAGTGACCTGGCGTTGGAACAACATCAACAGAAGCAAATCATGCCGCCTCCACCTGCTTCATTGCCAGGTAGTTATGACTTAGTGCCACGAGTGGACAACGTGGGCGTGGATCGATCTAGAAAGGCAAGGGATGACAGCGATATATCTATGAAGAAAGTGGAACGCAGAAGAAGAAACTCTTCTCCTGCCCTTGAGGACCAATACACTTATATCACCCCGTCAGATCTATCTAAGCGCAGGTCCACAGGGAAAGGCGTCGTCCAATTTGAACTGACCAAGGAGCAGCAAGACAAGGAGATGCGCCAGCGAGAGCTGGAAAGCGAAAAAGCGGCCAGACGCTACCCGCGAGACGATGAACCAGTGTCAGATCCAGAGAACCGGATACCCAAGTCGAGGCGGTCTCACCCTGTAGATATGTCTCCGCAATTACCTGATGACAAGTTTGAGGCGCCGCCTAATGAAAAGGAGGCTGAGTCATGGTCTTTGCCTTCTCGAGTCGCATTTCCAGTCCTCTCCGGGGCTGCTGCTGTAGCGGCTGATCGCATACTCGACGAAAAGAAGCGTAAAAGAGAAGAGCGCCGTAGAGAACGCCGCGGCTATTCTGAGTCTGAGGCTGGATCATCAATGGTCTCGAGACAGCGTTTCGATTCACCCGATCGTCACTTCGTTGAAGAACCTGGGGAATTAGCCGAGAAGCCAGTCCCAAACCCCAAGACCAAGCCAACTTACGAGAACTATGCGACTTATTTCACACCTCCGGAGCTTCGTCGTGAATCCAGTGCAGAGTCGGTTCCGGAAGTAACTTCAGCAGCCAAATCCGAGGCTACCAAATTCCGTCTTATTGAACCCCGTACTAGTCCACTTGACACCAAGCTGACTAGGGCTGAACCAACCAGGAGTACAAGTCTACCCTGGCCAGTTCCTGATTTGAACCTCATTGAGCCCACACCACCTCAAAGTAGGACCGGTTCTATCCTGAGCCATGGTGACGAGACAAAGGACCGCCAGATTGCTGATCCCATTGTGACTGTTCCCGGACAAGCTGCCTTTGAGCTAGATAAAGACGATACCCACGATATTGCACGAAATACTGAAGCTGGAGATATCGAAGTCCCTGGACCTTCTCTTCACAACGTTCCTGGAGCCGCAAAGAAGTTGAACAACGATGATGACATCGAAGTCATCCCTTCTAAGAGCGAACCTCGCGAGCTTCAACCAGGCCCCGAAATTCCTTCGCCTCATCATATGCCTGGCGAGTTTGATGACATCGATTTTGCTGCCACACTTGCTGCCGGCGCAGCTATGTCAGGGTTTGATCCTTCGATTGTCACGGATAACCCGACTTATCATAGCCGTGTTTCACCTCCACGATCAGAGGGTGATTTTAAAAGTATATATGAAGAAACGCCAGTATCTCCTGTCCGAGAATTTTATGAGCACGAACCACTACCTCCAGCAAACAGGCATGCAAGGCAAGAAGTCACTGAATACCATGGGCCCACCGATCGAGCGGTAGAATTGCACAGTGAAGTAGGACAAGATACCCTTCCGAAAAACATGGAAATCGTACCCCCTGAAGAGTCCATCAGCCCTCTGGCACCTGAAGCCACAGCTGCAAAGCTGAGTAAGAAAGAGAAGAGGAAAAAGAAGGCCGCTCAGAAGAAGAGCAAGTCTGTTGGCGAGCAGGACCTTGAGCCAGACTGGGAAGAACAGCCTATTTTTACTCAACCAGAACCCACCGAAGCTGACCGTGAGGTTAATTCTGGAAACGCTGATAGGTCGGGGACAACGAGCCGAGACCTGTTTGAGGCAGACGACAAGCCGGGCTACGGTGACCCTTCTTTTAAGGAAATGGTAGATGAGGGTGAAAAAGCACCTGGACATGAGAAAGAGACGTGGCAAGATGCGGAGGAGGGTATACAGCCTTATATACCGTTGGCTGATGACAGTTCGATCAAAATAAAACCAGCGGAAGTCAGCCCTCCAACTCGCGATGTTGACGATCAATTGCTAGATAACCAACCCTATGCTTCCATGCCAGGGGACTTTGGTGATGTATGGGTTGATCTTGGTCCTGTTGGTGGAAATGGTGTGCCTATTGTTCCTGAAGAGAAGGGTCCAGTAGAGGAACCTGAGTTTGCAACTGTTGAGAAACCAAAGAAAAAGTCTAAAGGGAAGAGCAAGCTGGAAAATGTTGACGGACCCAGTCTCATCCCAAGCGACGTTGCAGAAGCTCCCACGCGTGGATCCGAGGCAGACGAAACCCTTGACTGGAACGTTGAGCCAACTACTACCACGTCAATTCCCGACCTTGGTGGGCTAGAAAGGGGTAAATCCAAATCTAAACGCCGCTCAAAACGATATGCGGAACTCATCGACTCCCGATCTGAAGTTGGCGAAAGCTCCAAGCCAGAAGATGACAATATATCCGTGGTCTCTCGGGCTAAATCAGAGGCGGCAAAGGACTACGCAAAGAACAGCGATAAGTCCCGGGGGTTCTTTGGACTATTCGGCTCTTCTCCAGCAGTGGGTGAGGAGAGTTCCAAGCTAGAAAGGGACTCATCACCTCCGCCATCAGAGATTTCAACAAGCTCAAAGAAAAAGAAGAAGTCGAAGAAAGATCGCCGTGCTGATGAAGATGCGATCACGGCAGACGACAATGACTTGCCGGCATCACGAGATATTGAACCAGTAAACGCATATGACGCAAATAATGACGATCAACAAAGACAGAAGAGTAAAGATCGGAAGAAGGGCCGTAAAAATCGATATGAGCAGATAGTCGAATCTGGGAAAGCCAGTGATGATGAAGTATGTAACTACTAATAGGTTTTTTTCTTAATAATGCTATTCTTTTCTCTTTGCTGACAGGGACTCTCAGGACAAGAATCGACAGGATACCAGTAGACAAGAAAAGGACGATACTCTAGTCAAAGACCAGTCTTCTAAGCCCTTCCTAGACGATAGCTTCGAGATAACGTCCGTGCCTAGTGGTACTTTAGAGCAAGATCCTGCTACCTCTGTTGAGAGGGAGTCTAACCGAGGCTCTGCTCCTGTATCAGACTTTCCTATACAGCTAAACCTGCCATCTCGTGGCCGGAGCCGCTCTGTTACTCCCTTGCCTGGCGAGAAGGTAGTTGACTTGCCTACTCAGTCTCTCAGCAGACCTTCATCTCGATCACGGTCACCTCCAGGTACCGCAAAACGGATATCATGGCGGGGAGGGTTCAATTTTGGAGATGTCAACAGTTCTCCTACCGCAATTCCCATTCAGCTTCGCCGGCCACCATCAACCCCTGATAGAGGAACTCATGATAGCCCGGTTTCCCCGAGCAGGCCTAAATCTGGACACAAGCGGCCAAAGTCCACTGAGTTCAAGACGAATCGTGAGTTTAGACCATTGTGGCTTGTTGAACGGCATACCAGCAAAACCGAACAGCCTGAAGAGGAGACATACCCATCACTTCCCTCTAGTAAATCTACGTCTCGAATGTCATCGGTCGAAGATTTACGGGCCAAAGCTCTTGAGGGCGAAGAATCTATGGATATATTCTCAACCCCAAGACGCCGACCATCATTGCATGTTGCTACTAACGACTCTTCTTTTGACGTAGATGTCCTAGGTTCCCAGCAAGCCACCCCAACCGCGCATTCCTTCAGATCCCAGGACCGGAGGCCGAAAGAGAAGCCAAAGTATGAGTTTCATTCACCGTCTGAGCTCCTGGAGGGTCCAATGTCGTCTCGGTCTGCACTGAATGATGTGACGCAGCCCTCTGAAGGAACAATAATTCCAGGTAGCAACAAGACCAAAGAATTAGAGCTTATGGATCTTCAAAACCTACCACCTCTACCTGACTCTCCAATTCATGAAGAATTTAAGTCTCGTGAGTTGGATGTCACTCCGGGAATCGGTCATGATGTACCGCCAAGCTCTCATCATGAGCCTGAAGTAGAGGTAGCCGAAATCCCGGCAGAAACAATTTCTCCTGAGCATCTCCCTCCTCTTCCTGATAGCCGCTCGCCTACTCCCACGGCTGATCAGGGGGTGGAAACCCAGTCATTAGCGGAGGGTATTGATCGTTCCTTGACTCCGCGGCCGACTTACCATGGACTTGATGAGGCGCCAGTGCAAGCGCCAGTCGAAGTTTCTACTCCAGATTCAGACCCTGCTACGCTAACTCAGCTTTCGCCAACGTACCGTACTAGTGAGGCCAGTGAGTACGAATCGGTTGATGAAGACCACTTCGTAGATGCCAGTAGCCAGGCGCCTATGAGTCCATCTTACCAGGAGGGTTTCAACTCACCTACTACACCTACTTGCTTACCCGCAGATTCCGAGCCTCAAGGATCAGCTGCCCTTCCTCCATTCGCTGCTGACTTTCCGGTCCTTGGCGTTCCTGATGAAGAAGACAGCATTTCCAAAGATACGGATGCTGAATCTGTGACGACAGTGAAAAAAGATGACGGCAATGAAAGGGAGCCAGAACCTACAACAGAAACAGTCAAGGGCCCTGAACTTGAGTCTTCAGCAGAAATAGCAAAGGAACCTGAGGATGAGCCCGAAGTCACAGCACCAAGATCTAAAAAGAACAAGAAAAAGAATAAAAAGAATCATGATGCCGAGCCTACTCCTACTAGCCAAACTCTGGAGCCCGAGGCTCGACTTACCGCGGAGCCAGATTTCGAATCTGTTGCTGAGCCTGTTGCTGAAGGCCCAACGGAGAGAGAAGCGCCTTTGGTTATCTCAACTGATTCAATCTCTACCGCAGCCGCCGATCAAGAGTTAGGCGAAGGGCCAACCCTGTCTACCGCCATTGGCGAAGAAAGCAAGCTAGAACTTGTGGAAGAGGACCCAGTTCCCGCACCAGTTACCAAGTCCAAATCTAAGAAAGGCAAAAATAAGAAAGGGCGCAAGAACAAAGTTGTAGTAGATTCTGTTGAAAAGCCCAGCCAGGAGCCGGATGGATCTTCGGCAGGTACTTCTACTCGAAAGGACGGCATTGCTATTGCCCAGGACGAAGGCTTGGAGACTCCTACAAGAGACGTAGCGCACGCTCGGCTAGGCGATGCTGTGACTGACTTTGTGTCTGACATGGATCCCCAATTGCACAATGACAGCCCTGATATTGTGAACGCCACTCCGCCAAAGGACACTGCCGTGGAAACAAAAAAGGCTACCGAAGATCCTGTTCCAGGTGAAGTTCTTGCAGCCGACGTTCCTTTACCAGTTGCGGACGTTGAGGAAGCCGATGCTCTCAACTCTGTTCGTGGGGAGCCAGAGCCAGCTGAAACTATTTCGGCGCAAGAGGATTGTCATCCAAGTGACAAAACGGTGTCTCTGCCTCACAGCCCGGTGCAGCAACCGCATGATATACCACTCCCCCCACCTGATGTAGAGGAAGCTGATATTCTACAAGGCACAGACGAAGTAAACCCAAAGGAACCAGAACCAGTACAACCTGAAGAGATTTTGGATGCTGCTGGCCCTTCCCTCCCCTATGACTCTCCGGTGACTGAAGTTGCTGCGCCTCTTCCAGGCACGGATACCCAGGAGATAGAGGAGGTGAGAAGCAAAGGATGGCTTGAAACCTCTTCTGGCCCAGAACCTTCTGCCGAGAATATCGGCGTTCCAGTGAGCGGTGACAGTCTCGATCCAATGCTACCTATGCATACAGATACCCAAAGCCAGGACCAGCCTCCCCATAGGCTTGAAGATGACATACTTCCCACCCGTTCTTCCGCAAACGAGGTAGATGAAAGCGGTGATCAAAGTGGCCCTGATATGTTTTTTGATGTTGTCCGGGATGCGGATGCTCCAGCCAAGCTTGAAATGCCGGATGAGCTGGCGGACAAGGAGCCCGTAACGAATACCCCTGCCGATAAACCTGACGAGTTTGCAGAGCTTGAACTAAAGCCGAAGAAAAAGAAAGGCAAAAAGGGCAAAAAGGATCATAAGGATTCTACATCCATTGACAACGAAACATCAGCATCCGCGGAACAACCACCTGCAGAATCGTCTGGGCTACCGGTGAAATCTAATGACATGGAAGAGGCTCCGACCGTCGCTCAGAATGAAGAGACTGTTGAGCAACCGGCCACTGAAGAGCGATCTTGTCCTGCGGAAGAAACTCAGGCTTTATCCCTGTCAACAAACCTCGACGCTAACGCGGCCGAACCTAGCGCCGTAGCCAATGACGCTCCACCACATATTCCCGCTGACAACAGCTCCCAAGAAGTGCGGTCAACGTCCAAGCAATCCAAGAAGCAAAAGAAAAAGGACAAGAAAAAGCAAGCATTACCGGATAGTGCACCAGAGGAGACTGTTCCTGAGGCAAGCAATGTCGAAAAGGACGTTGAGAAAAGCACATTGGCGGTTCAAGACCCTCAAGACCAAACGGCGGCTACTGAAGAAATCGGCCAGGACCAGCTGGTAAATACGGGAGAAAGCGATATTCCCATAGCTACTCCTGGCCTCGTTGAAGGTCTAAAGGATCACCTCATTGATGACCCAGTTGATGAAGTGGAGGCTCCAAAAGAGGATACATTGCCACCTGGTTTTAAACTCGAAGCACCTGTCTCACTAGACGTAGATGACAAAAGTGCTGTCGAAAAAGACTCCGAAATCAAAGACGTTGAAGGAAGCGAAGCCATGCGATTCATTCCACCTGCTGAAGAACCAGAATTGCAAGCAGAAACCATTCCGTCTACTGAGGAAGCCCCCATTAAGCCTGCCAAATCCAAGAAGGATAAGAAAGGGAAGAAGGGCAAAAAGAATCGTGACGCCGTACCTTTAGAAGACGAAGCTCAAAGCGCACAACTAATTAAATCTTCCGACGAGCAGCCGTTAAAGGAGTCGGAGATCGAATCAGTTGTCAAAGAAGGCCCTCTTGCTAAAGAAAATCCCGTGGAGCCCGCCAGTGGCCTGCCGATAGGTGCTGATGACACCCCTGTGGAAACTTCTGTTGAAAAGCCGATAACAGACAAGGAAAAGAAAAAACGCAAGAAGAACCGCAGTGTATCAGCCGTCGAAGAGGAATCCCAATCTGTTCAGAAATCCTTTGTACCAGATGTTTGTGAAGCTGTTCCTGAAATTGGCCCTGAGACCCAGGAACCTGCTCCGCAGGAGATTCAAGATGATTCACGGAATACTGAGGCCTCCGAGCTTTTGGTTGAAGCACCATCAGTGGTTGATAAACTACCAGCCGAACCTGAACTTGCTGAACCCTCTAATGCAGAGGTGCCAGTCGTTGGAAGCATCCCAATGGAAACCCAGGCCTCAGAACAAGTAGTGGAGCAGCCATCAGGTGTTGATGATTTGACAATGAGACACCAACATTTGGAGCCATTGGATGAACCTGCTTCAGAGATTAATGATACATTTGAAGAGCCTCAGGCACCGGAACCTACCCGGGACGACAATTTGCAGGGAGCTGAACCCCAGCCCTTGGAATTATCAAATGAGCAACAGGCTTTGCCTATTGATTCTATACCAGTTGACTCTCAACCTTTAGTTGAGGAGCCGTCTGAAATTGTCAAGGAGCCACTGGAGTCTGCCGATGACCCCGGAGTATTAGAGCTCCCTGTTGAGAAGCCAGGTGATTCTGAAGAACCCCCAAAAGAGCCGTCTGATGAAAAGCCTCTACCGGTAAAGGGCAAAAAGAAAAAGAAGAAGAAGAAGAACCAGCCGCAGTCTTTGGACGAGGAACCCCAGGCTGTTGAATCATCATCTCAGCCCCAAGAGCTACCAATAGTAACAGAGCAAGACGAACCTCCGGAACTCAAGGAAGATATACCAGCAGAGCACAAAGACAATGAATCGCCTGAAAATTTGTGGGACAAAGCCGATGTTCAGCAGGACGTGCAGGCCGGGTCTCTAGCAGACCAACCGCTGCCAGTTGAAAATGCATCCGTGGAAGCCTTGGTCGACACTCCTCTCCCCACTAAGGAAAAACGGAAAAAGAAGAAGAAGAACGGCCATTCGATATCCATTGATGAGGAGCGTCAAGTCACAGGGATCCCAGCCTCCGTTAATGACCTATCAGCAAAACCACTCGAAGATGCTCCAACGGAGACCCCCCGGGATGTTGAGCCTCAAGAGAACCTGTCCAAAGACGAACAACCCCACATGCAGGAAGAGGAATTCACAACGCCTCAGGATGGCAGCCGCCAAGACACAGAGCCATCTGCTCCCACTGAAGAGCCACCTACGGAAACCCTCCCGGATGCACCTTCAGAGCCCCAACCTTATAAGGTCGTTGTACCTGTTGAAGCCGACCTAGTCTCCGGCTCCCCTAAGACTCTCGAAGGTGAAACTTTCGATACTATGGAGGAAAAGCAACCAGAATCTCAGCAAGCTGGAGGCTCGTTTTCGAATGAGGCCGAACCTACTGCGGTTTTAGAGGAAACGAGGCCTGAAGTCACCGAGACCATGAAAGATGAGCAGCGAATATCCATCCCATCGGAAATTCTGGAGCCAGATGTCAAGGATCTCATAGAGGAGGAACAGCCAGGGTCTCAGCAAGCTGGAGACTTATCTTCAATTGGGGCCGAGCCTTCCACAGTTTCGGAAAACAAGGAACCTGAAGTCACTGAGACTATGGAAGACGAGCAGCGAATATCCATTCCATCGGAAATTCTGGAGCCAGATGTCAAGGATCCTGTGAAGGAGAAACAACCAGAATCTCAACAAGCTGGAGACTCCTATTCAATTGGGGCTGAGCCTTCCACTGTCTCGGAAGACAAGGAACCTGAAGTCACTGAGAGTATGGAAGACGAGCAGCAAAAATTCGTTCCATCTGAGAGTTTGGGTCCTGGGCTTAAGGTTCCAATGGAGGTCAATAACCCCGAATCTCAGCACATTGAAGACTCCCCTTCCATGGAGGTTGAACCTATTTCAGTTTTAGAGGGCAAGCAACATGAAGCCACCGGGATCATGGAAGAAGAGCAGCTCAAATCCACTCCATCTGAGAATATCGATCCCGAGCTTAAGGAGATTGAGCAGCCTGAATCTCAGCATATTGGAGACTCGCCTTCCATGGAGGTTGAAACTACCACGGTTTTAGATGACAAACAGCCTGAAGTCGCTGGGACTGTGGACGAACAGCAGCTAAAGTCCAATCCACCTGAGATATTGGAGCCTATGCCCAAAGATTCCTGGGAGGAGAAGCAACCGGAGCCCAGACTTTCTGAGCCACAGGAGCCCATGCCGACCGAATCTACAGGCGAGAAGCAGCTAAGTACCCAGCACGATAACGTCCAGGGAGAGCAATACAATGCACCTGTTGCTCCTGTTGAGGAGCAGACACAATCTCGAATTGAAAATTCTGCACCACCAAAGGCTGAGTCTGTTAAACCTGAGGATGATGGCGACCTTAAACCGCAGAGTGACAGACCAGTGGAGGACTCAAAGGGCGAGGTAGCAGAACTCCCCGAACAGAAGGCAACAGACGTTTCTGACAAATTTCCTATGGGACCGCCAACCGAAGTGACTTCTGCACCTAAAGATAAAAAGAAAAAGAAGAAAAGTCAACCCAAAGCCTTGGAGGAGGAGCCTGAAGATGCAGATACACCAACACCTATTGACGGGCTCCCTGCGGACTCCATAGACCATCCTGTGCTAGAAACAGCAATCGAAAAGCCTCTTACAGCGAAGGAGAAGAAGAAGCTGAAGAAGCAACAAAAAAAACTGTCTTTGGAACAGGAACCTCAACCGGCAATATCACCTGAGGCTCCTGAAACTCTCCCTGTGGAAGCTGCAAGAGAAGCAGACTTGGAGGTAGATACGAATTCTTCTAACCTAGTGGAAGCCCCTGTTGAGCTGTCTTCATTACACAAAGGGGCACAAAAGAGCCAGGAAACACCACATTTGGAGGAGCAGCCGGAGCCCAAGGAGGTAGAACAATCCTCTGAAAATATCACCGTCGAGCCTCCAGTTGAAAAAGCCCTACCGATAAGTGCTAGCGTGACAGAAAATTCCCCTGACAAGCCTCTGTCTGCGAAGGAAAGGAAAAAGAAGAAGAAGAAAGAGAAGGCCGCAGCTTCTTTGGAAGACGACCTTGAGACTAAAGAAGAATCTGTCCCCATCGAAAATGCTTTAGACGAGACATTCGGTACTGAGCCCCTGCCGGAAGAACAAACTCCTACTGAAAAGCCTCTCTCAGTCAAGGAAAAGAAAAAGAAGAAAAAGAAGGGCAAGGAGGATCAGGAGGATCAGCTTCCTGGAGCCGAATCTTTAGCTCAGCCGGAGAAAGCCCCAGAGGCTTCAGAAAGTATGCCTGTCGATTTCTTGGCCCGGGAGACGCAAAGTATTGACAACACTCCGGCAGAAGCTCCTTTCGAACGGCCTTTGCCTGCGAAGGAAAAGAAGAAAGGAAAAAAGGGCAAGAAATCAAAACAATCGGTGGACTGGACAGATGAAGCGCCTCAACCTTCCGAGGACACTAAGGCACTGGGAGAGCACCAAACAGAGGCTCCAATCCAAGTTGAACCCACTGCCCTCGCAGAGACCGCACTGCCAGCCGATCATCCGCAGGCAAAAATTGAAGACGAACCCGAGGGTCCAACAGATAAACCCACGAATACGGCTTCAATCAAGCAAGGTACATTAGATACGGATATCGAACGAACTGATGCCACCATCACCGAGCCACAAGGAGACGGCGGTGAAGATAAGACTGGCAACCCAGACGAGGACGGTAAAGAATTTCAACTCTCTAAATCTAAGAAGAAGAGCAAAAGTAAGAAAACGGGTGAAGTTTCTTGTTGGACTGATGAAATTCCGCCTACGCAGGTTGACAATGGGCCTGCAATCCCTCCTACAGAGCTTGAGTCTCAGCAACGATCGTTACCTTTTGATGAAGGGACCCCCCAAAAATCTTTCACCACTGCCGATGCCACGGATACTCTACGAAATGACCCCTCTGACAACCTTCCTGCTTCCGACGCAGACCAGGCCGTATCGGAGCCCAAACCAACAGATACTCTGGTTCATGCAAATGCCCGGCCCGAGGATGATATAGCTATCGTTGAGGGATCTATGCAAACAGTAGTTAATCATGATAGTAGCCCTGAGATAGCGTCATTGCCGAAATCAGTGGAAGAAGCCACAGAAGAACGTCCTGCCGCTGAGACGACACAAGAAGGTACCAAAGCATCCACGGAGGTTCAGAGCACCGGACCGGGGCAATCTCTCGATGATCAAATGATAGAGAAAATCCAAGAGAATGCCACTGAGAATCCTGCCGATGAATCACTACCTGACAAGAGTAAAGGCTTATCATCAACTGGTCTAGGAGACACCCTTGCCGAACCTTCAATACCTGAACTACAAGATCCACCGACACCAACCCCTCCCCTTGCTAGCTTACCCTCAAGATCGTATGCCGAGGGCAAGCCAAAAGACTTCGCTGAGACCAGAGAACTAATGGATAAGGCATCTCCTAACCCCATCCAGCAGCAGGAAATCTGGGCTCTGGAAAATGAAGCCTCTATTCCAGAATTGGGACCGATTGATTCCACAAGTTCGGATCAGGCTCGCGGACATCAGCTCCCAGAACTGCCGGAAGCCGAAACATCTGACGCTATGCAGGAGACCCCCGCCGAGCTACTTAAATCAGAGCCCAGCCTTCCCCCTGGCTTTGCAGAAAAATCGTTAGCTGGTGGCCACAACTCTGCGGCTACCACTCTAGATCGTCACGCCCTTGAAGATGTCTCGCCCAGCATTGTCCCGGAGCTTGCAATTGTGCATGATGAAATCTCAGCGCAAAATTCCAACAAGACGTCCAAGAAGGAGAAAAGGAAGAAAAAGAAAAAGGGTGTGGTTTCTGAGGAAGAGTCTGCTGTTGCCCCTGAAGTACCAGTGATCAAAATGGAAACTTTACCTGATGAGCCTAGTATATCGGAGCCCCGTTCTGCTAACCTGGAGGAAGAGCCGCCGCGTATACTTTCAAAAAAGGAGCAAAAGGCTGCAAAAAAGAAAGCTCGCAAGTCGGCAACTGACGAAGTCGACACGGATGTCAAGGAAGTTGTTCGGGAATCAAGCCTTACCCCGGATGCCCCTGAAAATGCGGCTGAAATTGTTGGAACTGCAGATTTCAATGAATTGGTTGATGCCCCGATGACAGAAGAAGCCGCCGAAGTTGGTATCCAGCAACGTTCTGGGTTGGAAGGACCACCCGCCTCTACCCCCACGACAGTCGATACCGCTGAAAAAGATGCACCACCTCTATCTATGCCGTCTTCGCAGGAAGATAGCATGGCTGTACCGGAGATACCAGTAGCAATGACGGAAATTAGCAATGAACAAACATTGGATGAAGAGTCGGCCTCAAGGGAATTATTAAAGAAACAAAACAAGCGTGCTAAAGCTATGATTACTTCTCAAACGGAGGTGGATGTCCCTAACGATCCGAAAGAAGCTGAACCAAGGATGGAACTGGAGAAGGAACAATCTGCTCCGGAGCCAGCTTCATCGAACCAGTCTTCCAAAAAAAACAAGAAAAAGAAAAAGAAGAACAATCAAGACTTGGGAGGTGATGCTGAAGCTTTACTTTCGAAGGAAAAGGAGGCCAACAAGACACATACCGTCGAAGCTCCTGTTTATCTTGACGTTGATACACCTGTCGCTGGTGAGGTTGCAACCCCCAAAGAGGATGATGTAAATGAGGACGAGGTATGGCCAACTATTGACTGGGATCATATCCATGAAAATGTATCTAATACTGTTCCGTACGCCCAGGTTAACAATGAACGAGAGATGGACACGGCATCGTTGGATCTTCAACTTTCTGGCGACCATGAAGTCATCGACGATACCCCCGAAATCCAGCATCCAGTGCTTCCCGATTCAATGACCCCTGACATCGGAGACTTCAGTGAAGATACGGCTCCCAAAGCTGATGATGTACCGGAAGAAAATCTGGTAGAAATGACCCTTGAAGAAACTGGACAATTGCCCAAGGCAGAAAACCCGAGTGAGTTTCAGGATATCAAAAGCACTGAACCAACAGTAAATAGGGTGGATTTTGAAGGTGCGCCGAAGGAAGTGCGTGCGCCAGGCCAAGATGTCCCTTTTGGTAGTGGAGTCGACGCTAAGATCACATCAAGAAGCCATGAGATCTCTGAACCTATAGCAGGTTCGGCTATGGAGATTGACAGTAGCTTTACAGAGGCCTCACAATTGACAGCCACAGAAAATGCTGCAGCTGTGGATGACGGTATCAAAGATGTGCCAATGAAGGACTTGGACGTACAGCCTTCAGCTGAACAAACAGCAACTAGTTTTCACGACCCAAAAGACCTGACCACGCCGTTGCCACAGGAAACTCGGCACACAGAGCCCATCCTAGATGCAGAAGATATAGCCGAGGGAATTAAACCTTCCTCACTACCGACAGACGAGGGAGAAACAGCGATGCCTGCTAACATTCCAATCGGCTCACTACAGGACGAAGAGACCTGGCTGTCAAAAGATGTGAAGGGAAAGAACGGGAAGAAGGGCAAGAAGAATCCCAAGGGAAAGGACAAGGCACTTGAAGAGTACCAACCTGAGACTGAGACTCCTTTGTTTAAAACAGAGGACCTCCCAGATTTATCGAGTGGAATGTCCCAAATAATTGAATCAGCCGAGTCTGTACCCAACCTGACCGCAAGACAGCTGGAGGACGTCGCTGTACCGACAAGAGGTGAAAAAGGGAAAAGGCCTAAGGCCAAGGGTCTTGTGGTAGACGAAGTCGAACGGACTGAACCTGAAGAGGAAGAAAGTCATGATCAAAGTGTGGTTCAGCACGACCCTTGGGGAAACTTTGAGCCTTTGCCTGAATCCGTATCAGGACCCTCAACTGAGCCGCCTGGAGAAGGTGAAAGTGTCCCCTCAGGAACTGGAAGAAAGGGAAATAAGGCTAAGGACAAAAAAAAGAAAAAATCAATGGCAGTTGAAAACGTAGAGCCCAAAGACATACCACGCCGTGGACCGGTGGTTGAACCTGAAGTTCCAGCCGAAACATCTAAGGAAACTCTAGAAGCTCCAAGAGAGAGAATTCCTGAAGCAGAAGTCGAATTTCTCCCGAACGTCACTAAGAGGAAAGGAAAGAAGTCCAAAGTCAAGGGCAAAGATCCCGCAATTGTAAAATCCGTGGTTGAAACAGAAGAAAGCCTCCCGGGTGCGGCTCGTGGATTTCCAAATGAGCCAGATGAGCTCGACAAACCGGAAGAGCCTGCTTTCCTGTCCCCAAGGGTGCCTTGGAGTGGATCAGAGGGTAATTTGCCATCCTTAATGACGGGAAGGGGTTCGAGGAAGAATAGGAAAATGAGCAAAGTGCATGTTCCCGAGAATCCAGCCTTGGATATTGCAGAAGCACAGCTATTGACACCTGAACCCGAGCCTATTCCTAAACCTGCAGCAATAGAGCCCACAGAGATACCTGACTGGTCACAGAAATTTGAATCCTCTCTTAGAGGTGACAAACCAACACAGCAGGATACCAGGCCATTTGAGTTGACAACATCTCGGGCCCTTGATATTGATGTCCCTGGACGTGGTCCTTCTGGCTCTGAGCCGGAGCTTACCAACCAGCCACCTGAAAATGTCCAACTGTTGGACAGGTCAATGGATGAATCCGAAGCAATGACACTGACACCGAAGCGTATATCCAATGACGACCCTTTTTCGGTTGAATCAAGCTCGAAGGAGCGGTCCTCTACCGTTCTATTTCACTCTTCACCATCCACTCGAGACTTCAGTTACATGACTCCGTCAACCCAGACAATCTACGACCAGCCTGAGGAGCGTCCGTCCACACCTACTCCAACACATCTACACAAGTCTATCGAAACGGACAAACCCCTAGATGCCGCTGGTGACATAACCCCCCATGCACTGCTCTCTACCCCGGAGCAAGAGTCTGCAAAGCCAATCGTTGCCGAAGACACAACATCCAAGTCCCCCCAGCAAACTCGGCCATCTCTCGAGCCTCCATCCCTCTTCGGAGGACCCTACGGGCTGGCTGAACGGGGGCGGTCAGTCTCTAGATCGGTATCTCCTCCCAAAACACCGCTGGGAACGATTGAAGAGCACTCGGCCATCTCTGCGCCATACGAATCCCAGCCTCCTCCTGCCTTTCCCCAGCTAACCCCGGACGCCGTTACCACCAGCCGCGGGCCCGAGAAGATGCAACAGGCTCAACCGCCAGCCTGGACGACTCCCGACGCCAACCCTGTCGGAACCCCTGAATCGACGCCCCCAAAGCTACGTCGGGTTAAAAGCCGCCGCAGCTCCGATCTTAAAGCGGCGAGCCAACGTGACCTTCGGCGCGGAAGAACCAGAACTCCGTCTCCCAGCCTCTCACAAGACGACCAAGAATATCAGGAAGATGAAGAAGCGCGCCAACTTCCATCGTCTTCAACATATGACCCAGTCACAGACAAGGGCAAAGCGCCGCTGCGAGGCATGGCAGCCGACGTTTATGTAAGTTGACGATTTTACCCATGGCTACAAGTAGCCAGTTCTGTCACTAACGCATCTCCATAGGAAGGATGGGGCGATGTCCAGGGCGCCCCGCCGCTGTCACCTACTCGCCCGCCCAGCGTGCGTCGGCGCCGCAGTCTACAACGCCTCCAGGAGCTCGAAACTCGTCTCGACCAACTTGTATCGGAAAATCGCCTGTTAGGCTCCTCGAAAGCCGCCGCCGAAAAGGCAATTGAGAGTCAGGCCGTCGCCCAACGTCAACATGCGCGCGCATTAGAAGCACGTGACCAGGCCATCCAAAACAAGGAGCTTGAGATACAGCAGCTGCAGAAGTCCTCAGACTGGCTAAAGAAGGAGATTACTAGGCTGACGGAGGTCAATGAAGGCCTTGCTGCTGCCAATGCTGGCTACGCTGCCTCCCGTGGCCTTGACGGTGGCGACAAGTCAAACTACAAGGAGGAATGGGAAAAGTCGCAACGGGAGCTAGAGAAAGTCCGCGCGCAATACGCACAGCTATCCTCAGGCCTGGAGCAGATGGTCAAGCATGAAGTTGGCACTGCGCTCGCAGATAAGGATGCTGAGATTCAGTTGCTACGAGACAACCTGGCAGATGCCCAGGACAAGATCAAGGAGCTCCAGGCGCAAATCCAGGCCGCAGTCAAGGACGACATTCTCATCTTTCACGATGAAGACTACTTTGACAACGCTTGCCAGAAACTATGTCAACACGTCCAGCAGTGGGTCCTGAGATTCTCCAAATTTTCGGATATGCGCGTGTGCCGCACCACTAGTGTCCTCCGAGACGAGAAGATTGTTGACCGATTTGAGAATGCCATCCTTGATGGAACCGATGTCGATACCTACCTTTCCGATCGTGTTAGACGAAGAGATGTGTTTATGTCAGTTGCCATGACCATGATGTGGGAGTACATCTTTACACGATACCTCTTTGGAATGGACAGAGAGCAACGACAGAAGCTCAAGACCCTCGAAAAACACCTTTCCGAAGTCGGTCCACCAAACGCTGTTCACAAGTGGCGAGCTACTACTTTGACCCTTCTCTCCAAACGACCTTCTTTCAAAGAACTCCGCTCACAGGATACAGAAGCCGTGGTTCAAGAAATCTACCGTACCCTCTCAAAACTACTTCCACCCCCTCATGAGCTAGAGAAAACTGTTCTGGACTCCCTTCGCAACGTCATGCGGTCAGCAGTCGACCTTTCTATCAAAATGCGTACCCAACGTGCAGAGTACATCATGTTACCTCCCCTCCAGCCAGAATACGACACCAACGGTGAACTCCTCCGCAAAGTCTACTTCAACGCTGCCCTTATGAACGAGCGCAGTGGTGAAACAACGTCGAACGAAGAACTAGAGGCACAGAGAGCCGTCGTTCGCATGGTCCTGTTCCCCTTGGTTGTCAAGAAGGGCAGCGATGAGGGTGATGGTGATGAAGAGATAGTCGTCTGTCCTGCCCAGGTCCTTGTCGCAAGGCCTCCAAAGGAAAGGAAGTCGTCCAAGGGCCTGAGTGCTGATAGACAGAGCATTCGATCGACTCAAAGCTTCCCATCTATCAGTATGGCCCCGAGCAACCCCAGCAACATAATGTGAGGCGTCACACTCTCATTTATTTGTTCGCTCTGGGTATGCTTGATAACATTCCCTTGCGCACTCTCACAATTACATTGGAATACGGGAAGTTATGGCGTTTTTGTTTTGGTTTTTTGCGGGCCTTATCTTTCATAACTTCTATCTGGATAAAGTATTTGAACAGGATGAGTAGGATCAATCCCTGGCATTTGGGTATACATTAGGTACTTTACACGGCGTTCGGTTCTTTCCTGTGTTGTTCTTTCTTCCTTTTTTTTTTTTTTTTTTGGCTCATTTTTTTGATAATTATTGTTCTCTTTTGTTGCTGGGATAATGATGACGATGCTCACGACGTCTTGGAAAACAACACTTTTCTTGTACTTAATTTTGGTATCAACAGTTTTAATAGATTTTATGACCTTAGACTAAATAACTCCGTACGGTTCACCTTACACTGTCGCCGGCAAAGAGCAGATTATTCTGGTCCCGGATCAGCAATGCAGTTGCGAGCAGAAGAGATCTTTCCAAGCCGATCCCCGTGTCCGACAGACTATATGCAGTGCGACACGAAACAGAGAGGCTGCATAATTACTGGCCACCCATAGGCGCCGGCTGCATGGAAGAGGAATCCGGGCCCTACAAGTGGAACTTGATACTTGGAGTCAGCCCGGGGCTGTGATTAGGGTTTGAACCGGCACTACCAGCTAGCGAAAAACCCTTCAACCATCGACGTCATCCCTGGGGTCACTGACTGCCAGCAATCACAACTCCAACTCATCTCCCTGTTCCATGCCGAACTTCACCTCCTTTTCCACTTACCATCAACCTGCATACAGCTTCAAAGTTCCCTAAGTTCGCTAGGATCTCGGCCGGGACTCCGCAGATGATACTCAGCATCTCACTCCTCTATTTCTCCTCCTCGAACGGCCCAGCCTGAAGATGGATCCCACCAACAATGTCATGGGGGCAGAGAGGAGTGCGCCAAAGAAACGAAGACACAGAGCACCCAGGAAGAAGCGGAATAGGAGACCGTCCTTTGCTCCAGCTGGTGAAAATTCACACTACCCGTCGCCGCTCAGTCGAGTCGACACCCAACCAAATGAAGAGAATGAAGATACAAAGGATCCTTCCCTGACAGAGACTCGTCCACGCCCTTTCTACAACCTTGGAAGGTCCAGCGGAGGAAATCTCAGCGAGACAAGCCTTGAGAGTGAAGCCTTGCTAGATCATAGGTAAGCCAGTCTTCTAGCAACATACTCTTTTCAATACCCGTCATCTCCGTATTTCTGTCATTCTAACATCTTCTATATCACAGAAACCAGCCAATGATGCGCCCGCGTCGAGATAGTAGACTAGCCCAAAGCTTTCGTCCAGACCAAATGCTTGTTGAATCCCCTTCCAGCTCCCGGACCAAAGTACGGAGGCATGAAGCCTTGCCAGAGGACGACTTCGCCATCACAGATGACCGTGCACCGTTGTTAAATTCGTCGATGCAGAATGGTGGTGTTGCCCGGGGTTATGGTTCCGAGTTAAGATCACCATTTTCTATGCCACCGAATATGGGTGGTATGGGCAGCCCAACATCAAAGCGATCGCCACAGAACAGCTATACGCCCGATCCCTTCTTAGCTTCAAGGCAGGGATATGATGTCAATAACCCGCCTTCTGTGCCCGGAAGCCCCAAAATCATACCTGATATGGGCTATGATGAGACAGTAATCACAGGACCGGAATTTGTTCGGCAACAGTCCCCCGAAGCGCTGAGCTGCCATAGTCTGCCCATGGATGCAATCGTTGACGTGGATACAGAGTCTAGAAGACCAGGAGTGCAATCTAGACATGGATCAATGTCACATTCCCCACCTGACCTACAACGCCGCCGAACAGTTACTCTTCCAGTGGAAGAAGATGTATGCTTTCCTACCAGTGGCCTTTCAGATCTTGGCGAAGAGGACCTCCAGTCGCAAATACCAACAGGCGGAGATAACCGTGAGCGTAGACGCCGGTCGCGGAGGGTATGGCCTGATCTTTCAGTGTTGGATGAATGGAGCCAGCACGAGAAGGAGGCTCGCAGTGGCGGAACTCGTTCCAAGAGAATCGACGAACCAGTACTCATCGGTGGGAGGCTAAGGACTCGAAACCTGGTGTGGAAACATGACGAAGAAGAAGAAGCACCATACCGCTTCACATATTTCAATGAAGATTTCCAAAGCACCCTACACAGCCAGACGATATCAGAACTTGAACAACCCGGCCAGACTTTCCGAGACCTTTTCATCCCAGAACCACCACTACTTGAGGACGACTCTTCTGACGAAGAAGACGATTCATCCCCTTACAGTGGTGCGACATGCCGTGATAAACATCCATCTATATCCACAAATACCAATCCCACTTTAAACAATCTTCCAGATCTCCTATCAGACAATCCGGATGGCGCTTCCCCACAACCCACCAACATCAATAGCCGAAACCCTAGTCCTCAGAAAGAGCCACGATATGGACCCAGACCTACTTTCTGGCTTGACGTCCTCAGTCCTACTGACAGTGAAATGAGAGTTATTGCTAAAGCATTCGGGATACATGCCTTGACTGCTGAAGATATCATGATGCAAGAAGCACGAGAAAAGGTTGAACTGTTCAGGAATTACTACTTTATCAACTACCGCACGTTTGAACAAGATGTCAACAGCCCTGATTTCCTCGAACCTGTGAATATGTATGTGGTGGTTTTTCGAGAAGGCCTTCTCAGCTTCCACTTCTCCCGAACACCACACCCAGCAAACGTCCGTCGAAGAATTCGCCAACTCAAGGATTACCTGATTCTCAGTGCAGACTGGATATCATATGCTATCATTGACGATATAACTGACGTTTTCGGCCCACTTATCCATGCTATTGAGGATGAAGTCGACGAGATTGACGACAAAATTCTACGCTTACATTCTGATGATAAGGAAATGGGTTCTGATCAAAGTAACAATGAAAAGAGTGCAGCTTTAGAGGCAAGTGGTCCTGGAACAAATATGCTTCGTCAGGTTGGTGCGTGCCGTAAGAAAGTGATGGGGCTTTATAGGCTCCTAGGCAACAAAGCAGACGTTATCAAAGGATTTGCGAAACGTTGCAACGAGTACTGGGAGGTTGCCCCTAAGTCAGAAATTGGACTCTACTTGGGTGATATTCAGGATCACATTCTAACTATGACAAGTAATTTAACTCATTATGAAACGTATGCCTTCCCACCCATTCATTACATGGCCTGAGGCTTTTATCTAACCTTCACTCCTAGGTTACTGTCGCGTGCGCATTCAAACTATCTTGCCCAGATAAACATCCGAATGAACGAACGACAAGAGCAAACAGCCGATGTCCTAGGCAAGCTCACGGTACTTGGTACCATCGTCCTTCCGATGAATATTATCTGTGGCATGTGGGGGATGAACGTCAAGGTTCCCGGGCAAGACATTCAAAGCCTCAACTGGTTTTGGTCAAGTACGTTTCCAGGACATCCGATTCCAGTTTACCAATTCGTCATAGTTCCTGACAACTAATACTTCATTATAGTCACTGCCGGGCTGCTAATCTTCGCAATTGTCTGTTTCTACGTGGCCAAGCGCGTTTACCGCATTGTGTAAACGATATACACCGTTAGGAAAGGGAATCATATCCCTCTTCTATATATTTGGATACCATTTTTGCCCCAATTCCTTTTTGCATAGTGTACAAAATAGGAGTGCGAATGCAGTTGAGTTTTTTGAAACGTCGTGGGTGGCATGAAGTTTTGGATCAGAATCTAACTTGATAATTTCAACTCAATATGGGCCTTTCTATATAGTTTCTTTTGTCAAGGATTTACTCACTTCGTTGTTGCTTGTTTGTTTATACGAAAAGTTGAATCGGAGAAACAGATGGGCATTGCATATCTCCTACCCTAGAATTAGCGTTAGATGTTCGATATTTTCTATCAATGAGTAGCAAATGAGTATATAAATAATGTTAATTTTCGGTCTCCGAAAGTCATATCCATAATGCTAGTCCATTGCATTTGTAGGTATATTGTATGTCCCGTTCACATTCTGTTTGAATCTGTTGTAGTTATATTTGTATTCATGGCAAACTTGGTTCCAGTTAATAACATAGGAAAAAGCGAAACATTTGAGTACAAGGTAAGAGAGAGACCATCGGCTGCAGAGTTTCAACCGCATCCTCTTACACTGCCTCATTTGCTTCGGTTCTCAAAGGAATGTGCTGTTAATATGGCAGTAAAAGCCATCGGAAGAAGGCCCAAAAAGAGTTAGGACAAAAGAAATTGAAAAGAAAATTCCCGGCTTGCGCCCATAATTCCCCGATTCCCCGATCTATTTTGTTGTCATTGGTGTTGTTGTCATGATGTTTCCCCCAGCAATGTCAAAGAAACACGGATTTTCCCCATATTACGGGAGCATGTGCATAGAAACAAACGCAACGACAAAAAAATATAGAAATAGAAAAAGAAACAGAAAGCATTAAAACAGCTATGCATAGTAACAGCAAGCAAGAGGGGTATAAAGTGTTTTCTTATAAAAACCGCTTAAAAAAACATGATAAGTGAAGTAGGCTCAGAGTGATAAAGTAAAAACTCGTTAAGAATCATCATATAATAAAAGGTATAAGATGATTCTCTTTTGCAAAACGACAGATAGAAAATTCGTTAGAATATAATCCGAAACTCAAGTGTAGTCGTACAAACGACCTAGGGCTGGGAGACATTGATGTCGATTCAAGGCAATGGTGTTGATGTGGTTGAAGAAGAAGTTGAGGTCTCCGTGAACGCTTTAGCCGTGACTGTTTTCGTGGGAACTGCTGGAGTGACAGTCGATGTTGAAGATGGCTTTGTGTTGCCTTTGTCTGGTAGAACGGCAACTTTTGCACTGACGGGCGCACTCTGCACAATTGAACTGAGTGGAAGCTCGTATCTTAAAACGCCCCGAACAATCAACTCAAAGGGGTGTTGCTGGATTTTCTCCCAGCGCAAAGAACCGCCTTCCTCAGTTCTGTTTCCCGGTTTTGGAACACGGATTTGGGCGGTTGAGTTGGATGCAAGGTGTTTCCAGGGCGAGGGGGTAAACGTAAGCGGAGAATCAAGGTGGAAAACCCGACCCAATAACATAGTTTGTGGATTGGGAGCAGACGGATCGTGGATAGGGTCTGTGCCTTTGTCGACACCCCCTTCAGTTGTTTGTCGCTGCTCAGGGTTAATCTCGAGCCCTCTTGCGGCGAGAGAAAGAATAGCTCGCGATTTGCTATCGCCTGTACGAGGCAGAAGTCTCGTTTCCCCCAAATCCATTTCCTCCACCTCTAGGAACTTGCTTTTTGCAAAAATGTTCACATCTAGGTAATTAACAGTTAAGGCAAAAAGGTTTGGATTAACTGCTTGGACATCTAGATCCAACATCAGTAAAGCTTCTGAAGCAAGCACGTTCTGAATTCCACGGATTTGTACATTGGTCAACGCTTTGGTCACACCAATGACAAATACGGCAGTTCCGGCTCCAAGAATGATGACAAGTACAAGTAGGAGGGTGCAAAGTGTAACCCGGGCGAACCATCCACGGCGTCGTTCTTCCATGTACTCTAATTGTCGGAGGCTGGAACTGCCGGGTCGACGGCCATGGCGGGAGCGAATATTACGCCCATTAAAGCCATTCACCAGGGGTGTACGTTCGTCATCAGCACCCTCTGCATCAAAATCGTAGCCGTAATCGCCATCTTGCTTGGAGGAAAACCGATGGGGTGCGCTGTTGCCATTTATTGAGGAGTATCGGAAGCCCTTAGATGCCGGCGTCTGTTGTGAAGAGAAGAAACGTGCGTGGTCAAATAGCGATGCATTTGCCCCATTACGGGCATGTCGGCCAGTATGATGTCTAGTGGTATGAATATTATGGCCATTAACTCTTGAGCTACCGCGTCCGGACGACATAGTATCATCACCATCGAAGGTGCTGTAGGTATTGTTAGTAAACTTCATGCTTCGCTTGCCAGATATTCCATGAAAACCGGGCGTATCACGAAGTGCGGAACGAGTGCGGCCACCGTACTGGTCAAGTTGGCTAACGGCCGAAGCAGCAGAAGGGGTTCGAGAATGATATCTATGCTGGCGGGCTGGATGAGGGTCACGGGGATTAGATTCGTAGACAAACGTCTCGGCAGAGTCGGAAGAGTCCGCATCATCTACAGCACTAGCAACCTTGGCTTCGAAGATATCCGCCTTCGAGGACACTGAACAAAGCTTATTAGTACATAGTCTGACAATGAACGACATGTAAAGAAGTTGACTTACTCCCTCCGGGTGGCACAGTGGTTTTTCTCGACTTCTTCTTCTCCTTCTTTGGCCGGATTGTCTCATCACTTCTTCGTTCTCTCAATGTGCCAGCTCCTCCACGCTCGGTTGCTGGGCCACCTAGGGGTACCTGAGGAACAGAACTAACTGTCTCGGTCTCGACAGTCATGTTGGTCGTGGATATTTCCCCCGGCTTCCCGCGAGTGGAGCTTAACGAGGTAAATGACCGCTTTGGTAGTACATCGCCAGCGTTCGGCCGTGCTGTGACGGAAGGGTTTCTTCTATGAGGATCTGAGGGCCTTCTAGCCATTCTCCTCTTCCCACTCGAGTCCGAGCCGCTTTCACCACCAGGTTTAGATGCGATGTCATCTTTTCCGCGCTCTTTCTCATCTAGTTTAGAATCTAGAGTGATATGAGAATCGGTCGGTGTAGGAGTTCCAGCCTCTTCGACAGTTTCAAGCATAGAACCCGTCACGCTCCCGGTGCGGGAAAGGTTACGGCTCATGCTCCGCATTTGGCTATCTTCAGGGTCTTCAGCCTGCTTTTCTGATTGTTGTTGTTGCTGTTGTTGAGATTGCTGCTGCTGTTGCTGCTGACATCTGCTATCTTTCTCCTTGTTTGGCTGTCGGGTTGACTCAGGGACGCCGTCTGGCAGGCTGAAGGATGATAGATTAGATTGTGGCTGAGGTGGTTTCAGCCCTGGGGAGCGTTGGAACTGTGAATCGATTGATTTGTTTGTAAAGGACGGGGAGATTGGAGAGAGACGCCCTAGTGTGTCAACCGGCGGGGGAAGCAAGACCTTGTTAACGTCTGCAAGCTGCTTCTGGCCGTTCTGTGATTGTGATTGAGAATGAGAGGTGGCGGCAGCTCCGCTTGGAGAACGGGGGATACTAAGGTCCCTGCTGCCTTTGCGTGACCTGGAGATTGATCGAGATGTGGACGCCGATGAGTGGGCGCCTGATTGAGCAATGGCTGAGCGCGGTATGCGCGGTATGGGAGACGTCTCTCGTGAGGAAGTAACGGAATTGGGTGAGGAGGAGATATGCAGAGGTCTGCCATGATGAAGGTGGAGAGGCTTTGGACGCAATGATGGGTCTATAGATGCGGGAGGAGTCGAGGGGTGCAGTATAGTTAGGGGTAATAGGGAATTCGCCCTAGACTGGCTCTGTTGCTCGCGTGCACTCCCGGTGCCATTCCCGTTGGTGCTACTGCGGCCCTCGGGGCCAGCGGAAGTATGAGCATCTTGTTTGACAGCGTCATCATGTGATGGAACAGCTGGCGCTGGCCTAGACGGGGATGAGAGGCGGCTAGTAGAAGACGACATGACGGGGATTTAGGGAGGGGGAGGATGTCGAGAATAAAGGGTATCGTTACTGTCGAATCCGACACGGGGGAATCAGCACGAAGATGATCGGCCAGCGAGGAACGGACGAGCAGGGTAAATTATCAGAACGAGGCGTTCATAGGTCAGCAAAACCCCATAATGTTGAGATTGGCCAGCTATCAAGGGACAGGCTCGGGTGGAATTGAAAGGAGGAGATGGAAATCCAATATGGGCGCAACCAAAATGGATTTGTCAGTGCTAGAGCGATTAGAAATGAAGCATAGGCGAGGTGTGCTGGATCGGTTATACAGGGGTGACGATCATGATCCAGCTCTAGTAGCAGCAGCCTTTCCCTCCCGGGGCAATAGTGAATGCGTAAAGTGATTTGATGCCAGGCTGTTTGGGCAGTTCCGCAGGGCACGCTTGACAAGAAGGGCGGACCGATCCAGGCTCCTCCCGCTCAGCTGTCCAACGATCAAGCTGCACGAATTGAGCAGCAAGGGGCCGAGAGAAAGGAAGAACAAAAAAAATAATAGATATATCTGTTTCGTCTGCGGCAAGGAAGAGAGAAAAATTATAGGGCCCAATAAGGACGGCCCACGTCAACGGGCGAGGCGAGGAAATCTGGATCCCGGCGAGGGCCAGTAGGAGACAGACGGCGAGGCAGCGATCGCAGCAGGTCTAGGGAGCCAGCAAAGTGAAGCTGGACATGGAGGAGGCCCAGTCTGTCAGTCTGCTGGCCTGTCGAGACGAGGAGGTCGTCTGTTTTGGCGGTTGGGAAGATGTCGATGCCGGAAGCTTGTTTATTGGGCTACTGCGAGTGTGAAGCGGATGCAGGTGTCGTAGCTTGGGCAGCAAGCCGCAGAGAGAGCGAGCAGCCAGTTGAACGCAGCCAGCGAGGCGAAGCGGACGAGAAAGGCGAGAAAGGCGACGGTGTCGACCTGGATGAGCGTGTGCCTTTTGCATATAAAAAGAAGAAACGAAGTTGAAGTTTTTGAAGTCGACGTCGAAAGTTGAAGAAGTTCGAGGCCTCGTCTTGCGGTGACAGTACGATACAGAGCAAATCTGCTGACTAAGGTGGTTTGCTCGCACTTTTTACGCTGAAGTTTACTTTCCTTGTGGGACAACTTAACGCCGGTAATCACATTACAGGGCTGGTACAAAGCGGTGAGGGAAAAGTGCGTCACTTGTATTTTTGATACATACAAAAAGGGATGAAAGGGGGAAGAAGACGAAGAAGACGGAGACGATGACGATGACGGCGATGGAGCCGTGGAAAGCTGAGGATGGAGAGCCGATGGAGTCATAGAAAAAGCGGTAGAGACATGTTTCATGTTTGGGGATATATGATGTAACGGAGGGAAAAAGCAGGAAAGACGCCCTTGATCATGCAAGGACGGGAAGAAGACGAAGAATGACAGCGAAGAAGACGGAGAAGAAGAAGAGGATTTCCCTCCTCTCTGTCGACCCTTGACCCTGTCCTTGCGTTGCCTTGCGTTGCCTTGCTGCTGATATCAGGTCTAGCCCATCGAAGCCAAGGAAGACTGGAGAAGTTGCTGGACTCGATAGCCAAAGTATGTATAGCTAGCGTAACGTAGTTACGTGCTGACTGGCTCAGCAGAGATGGCGATAGACGGCCGACCCAACTGTCGACAAGGCCAGAGGCCAGAGATCAAGCATGATAGGATCTCCCGTTGGCACATTCCGTGTTGCTAGTTACCCTTCTCACGATCACTACACCGCAGAAACAGCTGGCCATGCCCGCCCAGAAAGTGCTGTTGGCACTTTGGCCTATGGGCTCCTATTGTCAGGAAACTGAGTCCCCAGCCAGCCGTACACTGGCTCCCTGATGAGGACGGGCTGGATATTTAACTAGTTAGCGGACAGCGCATGCTGAGCAAGTCAGGCGTCTTCGTCACTTGGTTCTGGGACATCGGCTCAACCGTTTCGGCAGAGGGGATCTTGTTTGCCCGTCATCGGCGAGATGCCACCATTCAACATTGCCACAAGGATTCCTTGAAGTAAAAAGACGAAAAAAGGCATATCAGAAGTCAGCTCGAGCTGTTCACTCGGGGTAGTTACAGCATAGGGGTTCAAATCATATTACGTACGGAGCAGACTCTGATCGTGCCAAAGAGATCGCCGCCGCTGCTGTAAAACAGAGTCTCGCCATTCTTCTGTCTCGGCTCCCAGGACTTGCCGCCTGGGATATATGTGTTACCGCGCTTGGACTCCCGTCTATACCTCGTCCATGCAGTGTAGTCAGATGGGGTGGAATATGCCTGATTCCCTGTAGATCGGGGTGTTCTTATGAGCGTATACGGCCATTCGCATCACCTTTGTTCTCTCGACTATAATGCCGGCCCAGTCGATGCCACCTAGGTATCAAACACCGTGAACGAGATGGTACGGCAATCCAACCTTGAATGGACCATTCCATGCCAGGCTGGGTAAATAATGGCCGCATGAATTGTTCTATCATAGATACCCCCTTTGATATTGTTAGCTTCTTCTTCAGACTCGAATATCTAAACTCCGGCGCACCCGTCAATGGACATCAACGTCAACACAAACAACTGATATTGGACCCGTGTCGTGAGTGCAATTCACCGGTATGAAAGAGAAGCATGCCAGGGGCGATATTTTTGTTCTTTGGAACAAATGTGCCATAAATTTGAAGGATTTCCACCTTTCAGCCTCTTCCGTAGCGCGACGTCGTCCAGAGAGAAATGATCCTGTTCAATCAGCTACATACATGCGATTCCAGTGACCATATAAGTACCGGGTGCCAAGTAGCACACTGAATCAAGCGTTAGCGGCGCCTCCAAAACCGCCCATCCTTGCCTCCCAGTTGTATCGTTGAGCAGTTCTCCTTGTTGACCACTGTCGTCACATATGGATGATGCCCACTTATCGATCGGCACAGTTCTCGTCGACTGCCTACGAATGGCAATGTTGACTCCCGACAGGGTTTCCAGCCCTAGTATCAACTTGGATAGTTTATTTAATATTCAGGTAGAGCAGCCAAGTGGGACGATATACATTAGTGCTTTATGAGTTTTGAAGTGAAAGCCTGCCGGGGGCTAGCTCAGGACTGCTTTGTTTATATGACCATTTAGCTAGCTAGGCAGCAAAATCGGTGTCCTTCGGTACGTATATTCTTAAGGCATTAAAGCCATGGGCTCATCAGGCCATGAAACTGCCATGAAACTGATGAGATACCCTTGAACAAACAGAAAGATTATTGGCAATAGGTTTCAAGCTGTTCTATATTAGACTCCACCATACTGCGTGTTGCTGCCTGGTTTCAACTGGGGGCGCTGTATCCTTAGGGAGGCTTTCTTTTTCAAAAGATGAGACTCCGCTAGGCCGAACGGTGCTATGGCTTGGAGGTTGATCTTCTCACATCGAGAGATATTTGGTTCTCGTATACACCTCTGATTCAAAGATACACACTAGAGATTCAATCTATACATAGAGAAGAAGCCTAAGAGAGCAAAGGGTTTCCCCGATTGATACCATTTTTGAGCCTCCTGTTCAGGGGTTAAATGTAAACAGTATCAGAGTCCACATAAGCCTGATCCTGTTAGGCACCACTTAGCCAAGTCCATGTGGCTAGCATTTAATCCAGTGGCGAAGAGGACCGTGATGTTCGGAGTTCATATACATCATCAATGTACCGCCAGCCAGGCTGCAGGCAAGGTATACAGATTGTTGACGAATACACCATATGTGCACACGCCATTTCGCCTCTCCTTTTTCTTCATCTTCCTCGTCTTGGGTATCACCCAGCGGATAAGGCCAGCGGCATATCCTTCAAATAGGTAGCGGATTGGTAATCAAACGTCATCCGCAGTGCTATCCTTCGCCTCGGATGTTTTCTCTGTGCGATGTTGTGGTTTTGCCATCGGCGTCTCCCGATGCTTCGAGATGTATCCGCGGATTGGGAACTCCGCGGCTCAATTAAAGTTGTTCCGTATAACCGTCTTCTAGAGACACGTTGAAAAGTGTATTGAATTATTCATGTATAGGCATCGTATCGTTGTGGCTGTAGCGGCAGCGGTAGCAGTAACTGTACCTGATGTTGACTTTGATATTGGCAAGAAGAGGGAAAAAGGCGGTTTCTGGTTCTGCCGCGGCCCGCCGCCTCCCCTTTGGGCAAACCAGACTTCGCCTCTTCGACCTCAAAATTTCAACCTCAACCTCAACTTCAACTCCGATATCAGAGGATTCACCAGCTTCGCGAGCCTCAACTTCAGCTTCTCCAGATCAGCGCTACTAGCTGCAAATAGAAAGGTCTTCATTGGCCTGAGGAAGGTCAGCAAGGCGCCATGCATCAATCTCTGGCGTCAAGGAGCCCCGATATGTCTGGGGGCAACGCCCAGCAGGGCTGACAGGGTGCACAAGTCGCCGACGTATCCATGGATGCTGGCCTGCCCATAGCAAAATGGGCCATGGAGGAATCAAAGAACCGTCTTCCGTCATCTCCGTGGGCCCGAAGCAGCGCTGATTTGGCCCCTAGTGTCGCCTCATACCCCAGCTGAGCAAGCAACACGTTTGTGTGTGTGCACTATTTTCCTGGATCGACCAGCATTTGCACCCCAGGAATCTTGGAATGATGTCATGCTGAGAGTGCTCGTATCACTACGTATGAGTATGTATGGGCTTACTTTACACAGCGCAAAGATACCTGCATTACCCAGTCAAAAGCCTGTATTCCGTTGTATCCCGCTGTATCCGGTTGTCAAGGATACAACCCTGGGATCAGCCAAGTCGAACTTGGGCATTAACAGCCCCGCCCCAACTCAACTCCCTTTCATCCTTTCTCCAGAGAGTTCAGTTCTTTCTCATCTGCTCCCTCGTCTCTATTCCCCTCTTCCAGAGCACTATTGCTCAGGGTTCTAGCCGAGGAATACCGCGTATGTTTCCCTGACTCGAGGGAAAAGAGATTTCCGGTTATCAACCAATATCCGCCAATTCCGGGGCCCATTTTTCCCAGAATGAGTCTCCGAGGAAGGGAGTACCGTTATTACTACGAGGACGACGAAGACGAAGAGTTAGATACAATTTCACGGGTATCTGAACCCCGATCTTCAAACGGTGGAAGCTATTCTATTATTAAACGCTACGTCATTGCGCCCGACTCCCGTTCCCACCGAGACGATTCTGGAAGCGAGATCTTGCCCCGCCGCATTAGCACAATGGACCGCCGCCAGGAGTATGAATATATTGATATCGACCGCGAATGTAGGTTTTTATATATTTATTTTTCCTTCATCCCCCCCCTTCCAACTCCTTCATTCTTTCACCTACCCATATGGCCAGCAACAAAACCCTTAAAGTCCCTATTATGGCCCCAGCTGAGGAATACCACACAGCCTACAGGGGGTCAACGTACTCCCCCCAAGAGGATGAATATCAGATTGTCCGCCATCATTCTGATGGCATAGAGGATCGCACTGTTTTCCATCGGTCACCCCACGACTCGGATTACTGGTATGAGCGTCGCATTCGAGAGTACGATGAGGATCCCCGCGAGTACGACGACCGCTATTCGGACCGCTATTCAGATCGTTATTCCGATAGTCGATCGAGCTTAGGGCATCAACGTCGACATCATCGTCATGACCGTGATTATGATAGCGACGACGAGCATGACCATCATCGTAGACACCTAGCCGAAGGTGCCCTCGCCGGTGTCGGTGCTGCAGAGTTATGGCGCCGCAATAGCAGAAAGGACCAAGGAAAAGAGCATTCTGGCACCCTTTCACGCCTGACCAAGGACCTTGGTGCTGGAGCAGTGGGCGCATATGCTGTGGATGCTATATCTAGACATCGAAGCAAATCGCGCCGCCGCGCTGACTCTCTTGACCGTGGTCGCGATCGTGAGCATTACCGCCACAGACATCGCCATCATAGCAAACATCATCGCAGCCGGTCTCGCCGTCGCTCTCGTTCTTCGTCACATTCACGTACCAAGACGCTTGCTGGCCTTGGACTTGGCGCAGCTGCCATTGCGAGCGCTGTAGCTATCGCACATAAACATGCTGAAAGCAAAGCGGAGAAAGCAAATGCCCCTAAAGCCGACAAGCACCGTGGCCGAAAAGGACACTCTCGTCACCGACGCCGCCGCCGGGATTCACAGTCTACCCAGTCTTACTCCTCCGACACAGACGATTTGGAGCAGCGACGTAAAAAGTCTGCTGAGCATCGCAATCAGCGCATGGCCGAAGCCGGTCTTGCTGGCGCTACAGTAGCGGGGATTGTTGAACATGCCCGCAGCAAGTCACGCTCTCGCAAGGGTGACCGTTCCCGATCTCGTTCTCATAGCCGAATAAGGCAGGGTATACCCATTGCTGCTGCGGGGCTAGGCAGTGCAGCAATCGCTGCAATGTATGAAAACAACAAGCAGAAGAAAGCTGAAAAGAAGCATGAGATGGAGAAAGAAGAACGTCGCCACTCTCGTTCGCGCTCTCGACATCGACGATCTCGGTCAACTTCATCGTACTCTGATGCTTCACGAAACATGGCTGGCCTTGACCTCAACGAAAGATCCCAGCCTCCGGGACTAATCCAGTACGGCGATGATCCCGTTTATGGTCGAATCCCGGCGGCAGATTATTATGGCCGCCCCGAACATCCTCGCTTAGAGGAGCCATCACGCAGACGCAAGAGTCGCAACCGCTCAAGACACGACTCTTATAGTGATTCAACCGAATACGCTGGATCTGACAGTGAAGAGCGACGCCGAAGAAAATCTGATAGAAAGGACAGACGTCGCAGCCCTTCACGTAGCCGTCACGGAAACGGAAACCTTGCTGCAGGGCTGGCTGCCGCTGGCCTTGCTGCTGGTGCAGGATATGCAGGACACGAATATGCAAAGCGTAAGTAGCCACATCTCGTCCACGACGAACCCATTGAGTTAACCAATCATTTTAGACCACCGTGATCAGAAGCATAGCAATGGCCGTGCTGAGCATGACAGGGACTACCGTGACCCTTATGAAGATGAATATCCGTCCCCTCCTGGCCCACCTCCGGGACCATCTTCATATCAGCCTCCAGCAGCGCAGGAGTACTACGGTGTTCCTCCTCCTCACCCCGGGCCACCTGGAGGACGAGGATATCCTCCTCCGCCCGGCCCTCCACCCGGGCCAGGTTACTTTGCTGGGCCAGGACCAGGACCAGGAGGGCCTCCGGTATACAGGGGGGATGAGAATGTATGCCTCCGCAAACCCTTACTTCACACTATGTAGTACACAACTAATAGGAGCAGGTGTAAAGGTTCCACAGCCATCTCACCAAAACCAGAATGGGTCCAGAGAAAAAGGCGTCAAGGGGAACTGGGCCTCGGAGACGTCTTTATTTGAATCGCCTCCATTAAGCCCAGTTCGCAATTGCAATAGTCCTTTATCCGAGCCTTTATCGTCACTGTCTCCGCCGCACTCTCACAAATCCAAGAACGACAAGGTGCATGCCCGTCGGAAATCCGTCCAATTTAACCTTCCATCGCATTGTGACGGGTATGAAAGTGACGACAACGACTCTTTTTCTGATTCCGATGCAACCATTGACCACGACAGACGGCGCTATTCTAAAGATCGCCGTCATTCCAATTCTCGTTCTTCTCCCCACCATTCTGGTGACCGTTGGTATGACAGTGATAACAACAGCGTCTCATCAGCTTCTTCCCTTACTACCTCTGATTCCTCTTCCTATGCACCTTCCCGTCGCGCTGGAGGATACCATGATTTATATACTAAGTATCACAAACCAACACATGTTCAGCGCGAAACCGAACCTGACTCGGACTCTACCATTGAGCTTCCTCCGAGATTTGATGAACATGGTCGATTACTTGAAAGGTCACCCCCACGCCAGCCACCATTTCTCGGAGAGAGGTATGTTTTTATGACACGATGATGAAACTTATAATATTAATAAACTTGGAAAAAAAAGATAGAGACGCTGGTTCGAGTCTGTGTGTTTGTGTCTGTCGTTATGGGTGGCTCTCGTTGATTACTCGTTGCTGTCATTTTCCTAATTATGCTATGATGTTTATTGATATACCTGGTTTTATATTACGTGACAATGTTTATATGACTTATATCCCCCGTCCCTTTTTTACAATCTTCAGTATCTGATAATTACCTCAAGCTACGAAGTTTATATCACTAGTAATTACAATGTCTATATTCCGTGTTTTCGACCTACAACCTTGCACTTTACTCGATCATCTACATACCGAAATTCACATCCTCAAGCAACACAACAAACGGTAAATCATGATAACGTCCCAAAATACATCACCGAAATTCAATAATCAATCGCCAACTGACTAGTCATGACATGCCACTTGGCCCGTAAGTCATAAAAATCTTCCAGGAACCTATATGGCCTGGGGTTGAGCATACAGCTTCAATATTGCTTCTGCATACTCTTCTTGACCTCCGGGAATTCCTCATGGTGGCCATTCCCTCCATCCGCTACATCGTTCCGAGGGTCATTTGTATTGCTGTTACTCTCAGAATCGGTACTGATGATTACCCTACCACCGCCATCCTTTCTTCCAATCTTATGCACTCGCCCGTTGATGATAATGACATCTAGCTTTGCATGATCCTGGAGTATAGTGATATCCTCAAGAGGGTTTCCGTCGACTAGGATGCAATCTGCGTAATAACCTGGGAGGATCTTACCTAGTTCATGTTCGCGCATGAATAGTTTTGCTACACCAGCGGTGGCAGCGATGACGCTTTCATGGGCCGTGAAACCTATAAGTTCCTGAAAGTGCATAAGGTCTCTAGCGTAGGTACCATGAGGAGTCCAGGCAAAGCCATAATCACTGTTGAAGGATAGCGTTAGATGGTTCTTTTTAACTGGTGTACAGTAGGGGTGGGCCTACCCTCCTGGCAATATGACGATACCACGCCTGTGCATCTCCCGCAGAGCTAAGACTGCAGTGTCTTTTTCTTTCTTATATCCAACTTCTTCTGCCTTTTCAGGTGTATATCCGAATTTCGCAGCCTCGGTAAATATATTAACCAACCAATTTATAGCTGGTGCAACAATGTGTTTTGTCTTATTTTTTTCAAGCATGTCCATTCCTGCCGGGAAGTTAGTTAAATAGTCAGTCATTTCACGCTCCACTGGTGGCCGGTAAATGGCTCACCTTCGTCGTCAATATACGAGGCGTGATATATCACGTCAACTCCATGTTTCACGCACATCTTTACCGAGTCCCGAGCTCGTGCATGTGCACAAAGGCGTAGACCACGTCTATGAGCCTCGTCAACGCAAGCAGCAGTCTCTTCGTCTGTGAAGTAACAATCCTGTGCACTTCTCGTCTCTGTTATCTGTGATGAGATATTAACAAAACTTCAATACAAGGATCGTGCAGCATTACGCATGATACTACTTACTTCCTCGCCAGACATACTAAGTTTTATCTGATCAACTCCGAGCTCAGCATGATGTTTTATCTTTTCCCTCATTTCTTCTGGGCCATCGGCAAATGCAGTGATTCCAGCCACTAGCTCTCCATCGCGCCGGGCAATTTCCATCCCATTGGCCAGGCATCTTGGGCCGGGTATATCGCCGTCATTGATGGAATCACGAATCACCACATCCAATCGATCTTTAGCTGCCGCCGCTCCAAAACACCTTTGTTGCAAAAACTAGTCAGTAAGTTAATTCCCGAGGGGGGTTGGATAGGTTAGAATCAGAGAGGGAGAGGGATATATTAGGGATATCAAGATGAAGTAAGATACGGAGACTTAGTGCGTACATTGTGTAACCAGAGTCAGCGTAGCACTGGGCACTCCTGGCAGTGAGCAAAGTATGTTCTTCAATGGCAAGTTCACCAAGCCGCTCAAGATTGCCTCCATTCCAGGAGAGATGAGTATGGGCATCCCCTAGGCCAGACATTAAGGTACGGCCACGACCGAAGATCTTCCGTACCCGGGGGTTTTTCTTGAGTTCTTCTTTCCCAGGAATGTTTCCGACAGCGGTTATCCTCTCTCCTATACCAACTGTCAATCGCCGCCCATGCCTATACTTATCATACAGCAGCCGTGCCACTAAAATGGGCTAAATTTGACTTACCTTCAATGAGGACATCACCACGGTAGGGCAGCTTCCCCGTAGAGTCCAAGATTTCAACATCCAGGAACATGACCTTGGAGTCTGGATGGGTTCCTTCCATCGCATACTTTCGGGGGGTTAAATGGGCCCCGAAATCCAGGGCATCGATACTAGCAATATTCCTTGGCGGACCATCGTAAGGGGGTATCTTGCTCGCCGTTGAGCTCCAAGAGACTGGGGGCTCTTCCACCTTTTCTGACGCCATGGCTTCTCTTTTCAACAAAGTGATATGCTATTCAGATGGATCTCTCTTTGCTCGAGGCCCAAATACATTTGAATCGGGGCCTCCCGCTGCTCTTTTAAAAGAAAATAGCTTCTCCTCTGTAGCACAATGCTGATATCAATTTAGAGTTCTGCTATACAGACGATCCACCTGTGTGCAAGCAGAAAGAGTGACTATTTCTCTGCGGAAATTTATCCTTTTCATAAGAACTTGAATTTTGCACTACCGTGAACTGTTTGACGTGTGCAATACGTACTCGTTGGCTGTGGGTGCCTGCCTCATCAAGGGTTGTCCTGCGAACGACTGGATATGTTGAGGGAGGAAGAACGAAGGTACTGTCTGACCACCCTCTCCCTGGTATGAGCAGAACTAGTTATGCTTTCTCCCGTGGATGTCGGTTGGGAACGCAACTGGTTCAGGTCTTCAGGCAGCCTGACTTCCTTCAAACACAGGGAGGAAGAGAATTCCGCCTTCAACATCCTGGGTTCCACAGCGATACAACGGCGCTGCAGGTGGACAGATCGACATCAAACAGCCCTCTGTAGTTAACTATCCTTTCTGCATGGTTGCAGTCGCAGTGCGCCACAGGGAGAGCGACTGGGGAGAAATCAAAAGAAAAACGCCATCCGAGCTCCCACTGCACACACCAAAGAGTGGCAGGCAGGTTATTTAGTTATTTATGGCCCTTGTTTCCCGTCTCTCTCGCGAACTAGCTGGCTAACTAGCTAGCGAGGCAGCGAGGTAACCGTCCCCTTTTTGATAGGGAGGAGTATGCCACCGCAGCAGGAAGAATAACCGGGAGGTGGCCAACCAAGGGGACTGTGAACTCAACTTGTCATCCAGGTGAGGAAGACAATACGGTTTGCCCTGAATAATATAATTTGCAGGTTATTTTTATACATGTCTCTCTTAGCCTCCAGCGGGACGAACTTGGCCGTTTTCCTTGTAGTTTCACTCTGGGGTCCCATACGGCACATCCAAGAACGTATTTCTTGATTGACTTCCGAGCTGAACTCTGCATAGTTGAGGAGTTAAATGGCTTTATAACTATCTGCAGCGTAACTAGCCAGACATTCCTCAGCATGTATGTGCAGCATGTACGGGGTAGTAGCAGAAAACTTACACATTTTGATTGATGCCTTTCGCCGAGCGTCAACAGGCATCAAACACACCGATGCCGCTTGTGCTATTCAGCCAGGAAGCCGTGCATGGCCATGGCCAGCTGGCTATCCCTTAAGCAGTACAGCTATCATCTTGTGTAGTGACCTCCGCATGGGATCTATACCCAGAGTGTCAGCGTAGGCCACGACCAAACACAGCCCCCCTTTTTCTTCGTAAAAAAGCGATCAGGCGGACAGACAGGCTTGAAGCTTCTTGCGCTGGGGGGCCGATAAGTAGAAGCAGCCAAAGATGAAATTCGAGCAGACTCTGGCTCAGCGTTTGGGCGTAGATAGCAGGGCCGCCGGGCTTCCTGTGCAACTGAGGACTGCTTGCTGTGACATAGAGCGTTCCACCAGTCGCCGTTCAATCACTTTTTGACGGCCTCTTCGCGTTTCTTCTTGCCTTTGGCTTAGTTATGCCTTTGAAAATGCCGTCATCCGTTGATTGATATCTTCGTCCGTCCAGCATTTGAATAACTACTCCGTAGTTAAATATTGCGTTAACTAGCCAGCTATAATAACTGACTTGGTTTGCCGGTCAAGGATGTTGACGTTCAAATTGGCCCACGACACGCTCTTCAGACGCAGGCAACAAGCAACAAGCAACGATGAACTTGAACAGAGAAGAGACAGAATAAACTAGCTGGTTGGTTCACCATGCTGGACACTGAAGATGGCCTTCCAGCAGCCGCAGTGGTGAGAGGACAAGCTGCCAGTCGAATCGTTGCGGAGACAGCATGACGTCGAGAGTTGACTGCCGGCAGCGAACCAGACAGAGCAGTGCAGGACTGGGATCTCGATACTCCTGCATGATATACATCTGCAGACAGGCTGACAGTGGGCATTTATTCAGAGACTACGGTTATTTAGCTACCATTTTTCACTGGCCACGGCCGTTGGATACGAGACGAGGACTCCCACGGAGAGCAGCAAAGGAAGCACCGTCCTGCTCTCTGGCTAACTGACTGGTTGCCTAAATAAGTTACCTATCTCTGCCCCTGCTCCGCCGGCGAACGAAGACCACAGAGCGAAACAAGTCAGTTTCTTCCTCCTTAACATCAGGTCCGGGATAACTTGGGGATGCAGCTGGAGAAAGACTCCCGACAGCAGCGGGCACGCCCAAGTATAACGCTGGCGGAGATGACGGAGAAGGCGGAGGGGAGGAGAAGAACTGGGGAAGAGCTCGATCAGCGGGCCATTCTAGAAGAAACTCCTCCTTGCCGATACTCCGTACTGATCTGGCATTCGGGCGTGGAGACCGCATGGAAGTCCGTCTTCATTGTGGAGAGAGGGTGGGCGCTACAAGGGAGACAGCGGACGGCTGGGTCTGGAGCAGCAGCAGCAGCAGCAGCCTGGTGTCACTTTTTGTCCATCTCCACGGCCATTCCCGCAGTCGTGGACGCCCGTACCGAAGAGCTTGCCATCCGAGTGGCCATCCGGAGGTCCAACTGCGTCTCCTTGACGTCCGCTCTTCTCCCACCCGGCCCCAGTCTTAATTGACCGTGCTTCAGTCTCAGGGGCTGTCGAATTGACAATGGAAGCGGAAGTCCGCATATTTGGCATGAAGAGAGCGGGAGAGAGAGAGGGAGAGAGCTATCTTTTTTCTTATAAAAAGACATTGATAGCCCGCTCTCCGTCTGGGAAGATAAACAAACAAACCGACAGCAGAAACCAAGGGAATCAACAGTCTTGTCCAATTCGCAGCTATGATTGAAAATAACGCCTTGTTGACCAAGGTCAACCACCATGGCAAACAGCTATACTATAAGAAACATGGCAACCCATCCGGTCCTCCGATCGTTTTTGTTCACGGCCTTGGAGGAAGGTCAGAATACTACGACCCCCTGATTTCCTCCCTCGCACTGTCAGGGAACTACTCAATTCACCAATTCGATCTCGAAGGCCATGGACAATCACCTCTATCCGCACTGCCAGCGTTGACTATCTCCTCTCTTGCAGACGATGTCAAGAGTATATTCTCATTGGCTGGCATATCAAGCGCCTCACCCGCAATATTAGTTGGGTGGTCAATGGGCAGCATAATAGCCACATTATTCACCATAAACAACCCAGGACTGGTCCGTAAACTAATCCTCCTCGGCCCTCCTCCATGTCCTCTCCCTACGGCAGGGCAGAACGCAACTCTCGCTCGAGCTGCGGTAGTAAGAGGCAGAGGAATGTCCGCGGTTGCAGACACAGTTGCTACGGCTGCCACATCATCGCTCACCAAAAGCAAAAAACCAGCCGTCTATACAGCAGCACGGTCTACGCTGTTAAGCCAGGACCCAGAAGGCTACGCAAGGGCCTGCATTGCACTGGCCAACGAATCTAAGCCTCTAGGCCTTGAGAAGCTCACCTGCGAGACATTGATCATCACCGGTGACGAGGATAGAGTCAGCCCACCAGCTATTTGCAGTGATATTGCCTCATCAATACCTAACTGTAGACCTCCGGTAATACTGAAGGATGTGGGCCACTGGCATGTTTTCGAGGACATAGATGGGGTGTCGAGATCAATTCGGGCCTTTCTTTAACCCTAGAGACATCCGACTTGGTGTGTTGGAAGTTTTGGGGATTTTCTGGGAATTGATTTTTCTTCTTTTGAGATGGACGGGAATTTGGTTATATCAGGTATGGGTCCATGTCTATAGACATGCTGCTGCACCAGCACTCAGCATCATGAGGATTAGGGATTGGAATTTCGGATGGCTTGATTTGGACTTTTTATCTATACCCATGGCTGGACAAGACCACCATCCAGCGCTGGTTTCTACGGGATAACATATGTTTGGAGTTATATATATAATATTTTAATACTGATATCATTGGAATTTGGTTAATAATGCTTATAATGCTTAATTTAGAGTATTACCGAGTCATTCTACTGTATTGATGCCAGCGAGGGCAACAATCCAATTCCGATCTGTTTTAATTGCATCTTCACCATATCCTGCCATTATGGCTACTGGAAGGAGTTTTGTATGAAGCAACTCACCCGGCAGCACTTCTCTACTCTCTACTCTGTCCTGTGGTAAGTTGGCCGTGCAGCTGATCCATCAAGTTATGAATTAACTGACAGAATATATAGGCTGAATCTGCCAGTCTTAAATCAGTTGAAGGCTAATATGCCTACACGCCCGGTTTACTGATATATTTATGACCTTCGAAATGCCGGTTGACGCTGCGACCTCTACCAACGACACCTTCAACACGAGTATGAATTTAGCCATGTAACAGAATTGGCTTCAAACAGAAGAATTGAATCAATAGGGGAGGCAAGACATCCTTCTACCACTTGCTACTGGCCGGACCGGGAGCCTTCAACGGGTGACGCGCCCTGGAACAGCAACAGCAAGCAGTGCAACGATGGCAGTCCATCCACCGACACAGATGCATCCCGGTGGTGCATATGGACTCTGTGCGAGACTGCTGGCAACAAGCACCCGCGGCTCGGCCTCTCTTTCAAACAGCTTTTGCGCTCTGGTGACCCTGCATGGTCACTGCCATCATTGCCCGGAGACAAGGGAGTAGTTTGCTGCCGGGGCTCTGTATATACAGCCTTGTCTCCCCTAACATCGATGCCACGGTTCCAGTCGACACTGCAGCGGGTATCAAATATATATCTTCGCATGATATACCCAGGCAAACACACAAACCAAGTGACTACCTCGAGGGTGTACGGCGCAATCTTTCCCCCGATATAACGCCGTACGATACACGCAGGCCGCCGACCCGTAACGTCGCCGTTGCACTACGTATCAGCAACTCGCCTCGTCTTTCCCACAGGCCTGGTCAGGCTGATATCGGTCTGCCGTTTTTCTTTTTCGTCTCCCCCGGAGGCAAGGTACCTCCCTCCCTCTGGTTAATAATCGGCAGGTTTATTAGTTATATATAATAACTAGCAGTTGGGTGCTTGAAAACAAAAAATAAAGCCGGCCAAAAAGCAATATGTATACGCTCTATATAAACGCAAAAAAGCCAGAACCGACGGCGACGTCTGACAACCAGTGCCCATAAGCCTCCTCTTCGTTCAGTCATCGCGTCTCTGTGATGGCGTAGAAAGAGCGAGCTACCAAAAACAATCGAAGAAGCAAGTAAGCCCGACTGGCAGCAACCGTCCGGTGGCCCTCCTTGCCGCTCCTCTGCCTGCTCCTCCGCGATCACCGGCCTTGCCCTCCGCCATGAGCAGCACAACCCACACGAACAAGCGGCTGCCAGTCAGTTGCGAGCCCTGCCGCAAGCGTAAGATCCGTTGTCCGCGCAATGGTCCGCCGTGCGACACCTGTATACGCCGCGGCCTGGGGATGGCGGACTGTTTCTTCCTGGGCCAGTCGCGCAACCAGCTGAACGCAAGCTCTGCGGAGTCGTCGAAGATAGTGCAGCAGGAGCTCCTGCAGCGCATACGGAACCTCGAAGATCTACTCAAGAAGCACGTTGGGGCTCATGCCATCGTCGGCGGCCAGGCGGGCCAGGGAAGCCAGGATGAACCCGTATCGCCGCCAACGACCAACATCTCGGCCAGCACGGAGGCAGACAGCAGAAGCAACAGGAGCTTTGGCAACAGCAATAAAAACAACAATGGCAACAGCAACAGCTCGGATCTCCCGCAGAGTCTGCTGCAGAATGTCGGCTCGCTCTCTATCTCGCCGCAGGGCCACGTTCGGTTCGAGCCGCAGTCGTCGAAGCTGGACTTCCATCTCGCTCAGATCTCGGCCAGCGAGTACCGCAACCAGGTGAACAGCGTCAACGAGGAGAAGCCCAGCGGATTCCCCTTTGGCTGCGATGATCCGGCCTCCAGAGATAGGCTGCTGGCCCGTCTACCGCCGAGCAGATACTGCGATGCCCTGAAGGACACGTACTTTCGGGTGTTTTCTCCAGTTTGTTCTTCCCGCCATTAAAATCTTAACTAGGCTGTGGAGATCTTTGGCTAACGACTGTCTACTATATAGCTGTTTCATATATTGCACGATCCTACCTTTGCTGAAGAGTATGAACGCTTCAGACAGGATCCCGCTTCGGTGTCTCTATCATGGCTGGCGCTGCTCTTTGTCGTCCTGGCCATCGGCGTCACGAGTCTGGGCGACGATGACCCCTTACTCCCCGACCTGGGACGAGAGGCCACCCCCAGCGCCAATATCAGGGTCATATCAGAACAGTACCGGTCTGCGGCCATGCAGTGCCTTGCTGCAGACCAGGTGTTGTCTCGACATTCCATGAAAACCCTGCAAGCCCTGGTGCTCCTTATCTATGCCCTCACCCATAGTTCACAGCCTTCGTGGGTGCTCATCGGAATGACCCACCATGTAGCCATTGCAATGGGCTGTCATCTCGACCCGGACAACTTCAATCTCGGCCTTGTCGAGGCGGAAGAGCGTCGGCGATGCTGGGCCGGGCTGATCATGTTGCATATGATCCAGAAGATCTCCTTCCGCAACCTCGACCGCCAGCGTCTGAGTCGAGATGTTCGCCTACCATTAGATGCAAACGACCTCGATTTGATGAAGAACAGCGGCCTCACTATGGACCAGCTTCGTCGCCCTACCGGTCCTACGCAGATGACCTATCTGCTCTTCAAGTTCCGTCTCTATGATATTGCGTTGGCTATATGCAACGAGATATTTTCCTCAGAAGCATCCCCTACCGTCATAGCTAAGCTGGACAATGACATAACCAGTCAGCAGGAACTCTGGACCGCCCGCTACCACTCTGATACCAGCGTTGAACCATTACCCAGCCAGCACTTTGCTCATATCAACATCCTCTTCGGTTACTCCCATCAACTGCGTTTGTTGCTACATCGTCCGGCCTTGAACCGCTATCTCACTGGAGATATCAATGATCGCACTCATAGCTCCCGCAACCGCTGTCTGGATGCTGCAAAGGGCCTGCTATCTATCCAAAAGACGCTCGCTGAATCGCCCCAGTACGCTCCTTATAGATGGTACACGGCTGGGTTGGCTAGTTTCCATGCTTTCCATGCTGCAATCGTGCTCACTGTGATCATGATGAACCCTGAAAGCCAAGCAGAATATGATGAGATCCATGCCCTGCTAGTAGATACTATACAGGTCTTCCATCTGCTTGCAAGCAGAAGCAGCCTATGTGAGAAGGGAATCCCAATTCTCAGTCAACTGCTGTAAGTCATCACCGCTACTCCTCATATACAGGTCATACACCAATTCTAACCATACGCAGTGAGATGGCATCTCCCCAGCCTCAGCACCTGTCCATACCGCAACAACAGCAACAACAACAGCCGTCTCAATCTGATCTGATGTCTCCTGCTGTTCCTTCACCACAAGATCCTCCCCACCCTCTCCTTAGTCACGCAGGCTCAATTTCAGAACCAACGTTCGACTTTGCGAACACTCATTTCGAAACAATTCAGTCCCAGCTCCAAGCTCAGTACTGGGTCACTGCTAGCAGCATCCCATGGAATAACTGGGGTTTCCTGATCCACCAAGTATAGTTTTCTGTTCTTCATTATCAAATTTTCTGGAGTTCTAGGTATGATTTTTTTAGGGAAGCTTTTCGATGCAAAATGGCCAACGTTATATGTTTTGTGGACATTTGGATGCAGGTATGTTGGGTGATGATCAGTGATCCTCAGCAATGAAGTCTAGGGACACCGTATGACAATTTTAAAGAGTTTATCAAAAAAAAAAACCTAGGATAGTAATATATTGTGTGACTGGCATCACCCACCATCATCCTACTCGAGTATGGACCAAATAAGGCTTCATTAAAGTTGTGTCATTTCCCTTGAACCAGTTCATCATTCTTGCTTCTGCCGTCTAATTTACACGGAAAGTGAAATATTTAATGATTTTTAATTATTTCTTTATCATTCCGAGTTGCCCACCCCCCCGTACGATTTCCCATTCCAGAAGTGATGTATAGATAAGATATCGGAAAGGCAGTAAAGGGGGTGTCTTTAAGAGAAGTACGGCATCATAGTAGGAGAAGAAAAAAAGATGCGAAGAAGAATGCCATCGAGAGGGATAGATGTGGTTGAAGGTATTTCATTCGTTTTAAATTTTATTTCCTTTTGTCGTTTAGAAAACAAGAGCAGCACCCTTGGTCTTCTTGTCACCACTATAGAGTTGAAAATACGAGTTAGTATAGACTCTAGCCATTATCCGTCAGCCTAGGAATTAAAGGGACGTACCCAAGCTCGAAGTGCTTGCATCGCTTCAGAGCGAGCTGTGCCTTGGTCTTGCAGACTGTGCATTCCATTCGGAGAACGACCTTCTTGGTGGTCTTGGCCTTCTTTCTGAAGACGGGCTTGGTCTGACCACCATAACCACTCTGTTTGCGATCGTAACGGCGCTTACCCTGGGCGAATAGCGAAGCCTATGGTTTCAAACGGAGGCCGTTCAGTATTCTTGTACATGCATTGGGGGAGCATCATATGTGAATGACCGCGGGACTGCTGACCTTGCCTGCCTTGTACTGGGTGACTCTGTGCTGGGTGTGCTTCTTGCAGTCCTTGCCCTTGCAGTAGGTCCGGCGGGTTTTTGGAATGTTGACCTAATTGAGTCAAAATGGTCAGTGGCATGTTCGTGATTAGTTTGCTGCGCGTGTGTACGTGTGCATTGCTATCTCAGAGCTTGGGGGGCCCCTTATCCGGTCTCTTGAGCAAGTACGGTGTCTCCGGAGTGTTGTGGGCGTCTGCTCTCGAATTTATTCCCTATCCGTCGTGTAAAAGTTGCTGCCAATTAAGAGGTTTTTGCCATCTCCATATTCGAAGATTACCGGTCACAATACCGCACGTCCATTTCCGCTTCCTGAATAGAGGGTGATTTTCGCAAATATCCCATCTCGATGTTATCTCCGAGAAATCCGTCGTCGTGGTTGACTTATTCAATTTTGTCGAGCGTCCTTCGCAATGCGATTGCTGGCTTCAGAGTCTCGATTGCTCGCCGGATAGAGTCCCCCACGCCCTGGTATAAAATCGACACGGCTAATGCGAAGAAGGAAGATCATATTCTTACCATGGTGACTGATTTTTGCCGGATCACAGACTGTGGTAGTGGTGTCGCTGGTCGTTGGTCGCTGAGTCTGATATCAAAGTCGAAGTCGATGCGACTTTTGTGTGTTGTGAATTTCACGCTCGCTTACGTTTGGAGCCAAGAAGCTAGGCGAGTTTACGTAAGCATAGTAATGTAACAAAACATCCGTACGGCGGCAGCATGGCATATTTCGCATTTGATATAAGGAGTAGATCAGAGCAGGGCAACGATAGATGACAATGAGAATGAGGGTGTCTGATGCTGTATAACTAATAGTGAGGATGTACGCCGTATATATTAATGTTATCGACTGCCTATAGTTTGATGATGAATGCTATGCTGCATGGGTTGTTGGCTTGTAGTTAGCGGTTTTACGCCATATTTTTTATCCCACCTGCACCGTGTTATATATGTCCAGCCTCTGCCGTCTATGCATAACTACATAATCATCTTCTATGCATCAGTTCTTGTCTTCAAACGTCGTCGTCGCCTGCCTCTACACGCGCCATTTGATGTTCACGTGGTGATAAGCGTTATCGCGTCTTGGCGCGGCTTCTTCCTTCTTGGGCGCCGTTTTGTATATTTATAAGTCGAAAGATGACAAGACGAAGTAGAAGATCGAATAAAGGAAGATAGCGTTTGGTGTTTCTGTCTACAGCATTCCTCTTAGCCTCGATCCCTCTTCTTACACTGTCCGACGGTCGCTGTAGCCTTCCCTTTTGTCACTCTACACGCCACCTTCACCATGCTGATCAAGTGCGTCTCTACCCCTCGTACATTCATACGCTCCCCTCGCTCACCAGCTAACCTGCCTCTCAATAGAGTTAGAACACTCACAGGCAAGGAAATTGAACTGGATATCGAACCAGACTATAAGGTACGAGTATCTTAGCTTTTGCTGCTGTTAAGGCAGCTGAACTAACAATTTTGTCTGCCTAGGTATCCCGTATCAAGGAGCGTGTAGAGGAGAAGGTCGGCATCCCTCCAGTGCAGCAAAGACTGATTTTTGGTGGAAAGCAGATGTAATATCCTCTTGCCACACTTGAGTTCTCCGCTTGCTAACTATTTGATTAACCAGGGCCGATGATAAGGCTGCATCGGAGTATAACCTTGAGGGAGGAGCCACACTACATCTGGTATTGGCCCTACGAGGAGGGCAGTAATGCCCAAATGCCCTATGAAAGATGAAAGAAGCAGCTAGAGTGAAAATGAGAGAGATATGAAGAGAAAGACAGACGAAGGAAGCCAATATCCGCCTCTCACCAACCCACCTGCTAGCCCTACCAAGGGAACAGCGAATTATCACAAACCCCTAAGGACATCTCTTGATACCTTTCTTTGACCCGGTCAAACTGGGTCCAGTCACAAAACGACACCCAGAACTTCAGTGATTGATATTATTTCTGCCCCTTATCTTAATTACTAGATCCGTTACCTGCATATTCGATATTAGCGAGACAATCAAACTACTCTACAATGCGTTGTCTTGGACCAACAGATTCAAACCGGAAGATGATAACTCCTCCCTTCTCTTCTTTCTACCTAGGTACCATTGGATACAATAGCTTGCCAAAAAAAAAAAATACTATTACTAAATGCTCCCATGTTTGGCAAGGCCAGCGATTCAATGGTAGGGAGCGTCACGATGACGCAACTAAAGCTTCCACCTGGTTCAAATAGAGCTTTATCAATACATTACAGTTTGCGAATCCTATTTTTCCCACAATATATGCGTTGAAAAATGGTAGAATAATTATCTGTAGTCAACTCGAGCAGAACACCAGGCAGTTTTATTTTCGGTAGAGCGGTGTTGTTTTGCATATACCCAAGTATCTCAAGTAGCAACAACAAGAGCCAAAAGGGGAAAAATGCGGTCATTTACATACATTGCCTACCTGTTGATATGGCTAGTGAGCGATTGCAGCTTCCGGGTAGCAGCCCAGAGCAGCTCGCCTGCATCAGCTGCTGCACCGCCGGTTCGAAGTCATCAGTCTGTGGCCAGCCATGGCCCATACAGTGGAACGCCCACAGTTACTGGAGCATTGAAGAACACTCCATTGGGTACAGAGATACCTGCAGGACCTCCAGCAGCAACAGCTACGACATACCCAAGTGATGGGCAGCTTCACGGCCCCCAACCTGCTCCGTATGTTCCAGCCGGAGGTCGAGGGACGAATGGGACTCAACCGGTGTATAACGTCAAAAGCGATTTTGATTATGAATCGTTGGTATGATTTTATGTGAACCTCCCAGTGGTGGATTGTTCAACATTGCTAACAATGAGCTAGGCTCTGGCATTGTATCAGGAATGGATCGAACTGGATCTCTTCCGGTACGGCCTTCAAAACTTCTCGGAACAAGAATTTGCTGCTGCCGGACTCACTTCAGAAGACAGGTATCTGATCGAGTTCATGGCTGAGCAGGAGATTGGTCATGCAACTATGCTCAGTAATATCTTGGGTGCTGAGGCTCCTATGCAGTGCTCGTACAACTACCCTTTCACTAATGTCCGTGAGTTTGTAGACTTTTGTCAGAAACTCACTCGCTTTGGTGAATCGGGAGTGTATGGGTTCCTGGGTCATCTCAACTCAGGCGAAGCAGCCACGCTTCTCCTCCAGTCAATCACCACCGAGGCCAGGCAGCAGATGATATTCCGCCAGTTTAACGGCATGTTCCCTATGCCCGTCTGGTTTGAAGTTGGTATCCCGCAGTCATGGGCGTGGACCTTACTCGCCCCTTATATCAGCTCATGTCCACCGGACCAGACCAAACTTGCCTGGCAAAACTTCCCAGCTCTGCGCATAATCAACCAACCTAGCCCAGCACGCATCAACGGCTCTGCAGGAACAAACGAGACGTTAGGCCCCGGCATGAATACATTGCGTAGTTCGAACCTCACCTCCTCTCAAAGCTGTCTCAACGCAACCGATTCGTCTACCGACTGTGGCCCAGCAATCACCCAAAACCGTACAAATCCTCTCTCTTATCCCGGCCGTGTCGTCAATCTCTCGTGGGATAGCCCCGGAAAAGCTGTCGGCCCAAATAACAGCTATATCACCTCTTCTCAAGCGAAAGCCCCCAAATTTGTCGTCTGGGTATCGCAGCTCAATGTCACATATTCTACTTTGAATATGCAAGGGAACAGCTCAGGTACCACCGTGCAGCCGAATATGGAGACCTTCCAGGGGGATCCAGCAATCAACGGAACCATGTTCATCGCTGTCACAGACTCAGACACGCCGTATACGTCGTTCAATCTGTCAATGATCAACCCGCACATCGTTGCCGGTCCAGCATTGTATCAGGCTGGCTGAGAAAGGGTATAAATCGGCTATCATAACGTATTCGTGTACCAATTTGGTCTTGGGATGCTTGTAAAAATAACATGGATAAATCGATAATGTTTAATATATAATCAAAAGTTGGACGTAATTCTTCATACCTCCGTCAAAGACGTAACAATTGGTAGCCCCCTGCACATGGTAGAGAGAAGATCAGTATCAAATAGCACCGACCAGCGCGTTTCTTCCCTTGTCGTTGATGTCAACTTGGCTGATTTGATTGGCGTGACTCTCAAATTTGAGGCAAAAGTCCATCACGCGCAAGTTCACGTCATAGTTTCACAGTCCAAAAGCCAACAACACCAAACCTCGTTATACGAACAACGACGAGCAAACAACACCAGAGGGATTAGGCAGTAACTGCACCAAAAGGCTTCTTCCCGGCACCTTCGCTCTTCATGTGAAACTGCAGGATCCCGTCATTTTCTGCAATGGTATAGCACGGCATCTTGCCTGGCGTGTTTCCCCCACGACTCTGCGATGCGCACCGTACTTCCAGGCAGACCTGCGCCGAAGCTTCAAGCTGTCAGCACAGCTCTGTGGGAGAGCATCCGCGTTGTTGTAAGTGATACAAGATCTTTAGATCACTCCGAAATGCTTCTTCTACCCAATACATGCTGGAGCTGAGAGAGGACTGGGCTTATTTATCTTTTCTCATCTGTCGCTAGGCGTATATATCAGGCAACGCAGTTATCATCCTTGGAGGTCCGCAGAAGCTGTTGCAGACAATCTACCTCGACGATATCGAATGGCTTTCCGCAGTCAATATAGATGAAGCTTCTGGGAGAATTGCTGTATGTGGAGGACAGACAATATTGGTTTACAACCCGTCGAAAATCCGCAACAACGTTGAGGTACGATCGCAGCCTGGGTACTTTGCAGCCATGGCATAACGCCTACTAATGTGGCTATAGTGGAAGCTACATCATACATTCAAACGTGAAGATACTGATTCCGGTGACGATGATGACAATGACGGAGATGGGGAGATCAGGACACTGTCATGGGGTGGCCCCGGAGAACTTCTAGCAGGCAGCAGGAGCCTTGTTCTTTGGCACATTGACGACCATACTCCGCATGCTATATGGACGAACAGGCTGGCAAATCGGGCCAAAATTGCGCAGTTTTCATACGATGCAGGGCTTATTGCGTCCGCAGGAGATTACGATCAGTTTGTGAAAGTATGGAGGCGACTGTCTTTCGGTGCGGACGAAGCTCGGTTCGACGTTACGTATCTACGACATCCAAGTACCGTGACAGGCATACATTGGCGCCGACCACATCATGTAGAGCAGACAATAGACAATGTCTTATACACGATATGCTCAGACAACAAGATTAGGGTGTGGGCACCGATGGACCGCCATGCCTTACAGGCACTTCAACTTTGGAATGTGATTGACATGGAATCTTCAATTCAGCCAAGATACCCGCCTAAATCACCCACCGCCAGCAATAGATATGGATTCATCGTTGACAGTCGTGATTTCTCTCTTGCTACTGAACGTGCGGTGCAGCTTGGACCCGCAACGGAAAAGGACAAATTCGCCCTCGACCACCTTATCGAAGCTGCCACCAAGAGTCCTGAGGTCTGTGTCATCCTTGACGAGAGCGGCCACATGTGTGTATGGGGACTCGAGAATGCTGGCTGTAAAGCGCAGTCCGAAGCCAATATATTCAACATAGCTCACGTTGAAGGACTAGATCTTTCTACTACTCTGGGTAACCGTCAGATAGGCAATTATGCCCAATTTTATCCTTTTGCTGGAGGTATTTCTGATGCATCCTTTACCATCCTTGCTCATTATTACGATGGCCGGATTGAATGGTTTGACTCACGGGTTGATATTTTATTCGACCCTACTCCTCGAAAACGCCGATTAGTGTCACAAGCTACCTGGTCAGGACACACGGAGTCGGTGAAAAAGATAGTACGTACGCCGAGTGGAAAGGTTCTGAGCTCTCGAACCAATGACAATAATGCCGTTATATGGCGTCAGAGGTCAAATACTAGCACTGGCTCCGTACTAGTCCAGCAAAGTGCACTCAATTGTGACATGCATATCCATCGAACATGTTTGTTGGAAGATGGGAATTTTCTAGTCAACCTCCACCATAATGGCATATCCATGTGGGATATTCGCTCATTCGAAGCTCAGATGATTGCGAAAAGTGATTTGCGTCTCAGCAGTAAACCTCTATGCGTTTTGCTCATACCCACATCCGAAACTTGTACTTCATACATTGCAGCAATAGGGGCTGATATGACGGGCGTAGCATGGGAAGTCACCCTTCCTACCGGGAAGGCTTATCGAGGACAGCAGAAAAGGGATGATACCCCCGTTTTGCGAGAGTTCTCAACGTTCAGCCTCGGGTCGGATGAGGAGGTTTCTTACATCCTCCCGGTTGATCCGGCAGGATCAAAACTCCAGGCATCTCATTCTTTAGATTTGTTTGCCACTGATATTGCCCTATCTTACTCTCATAATGGGACTATCAAGACTTGGACTGCTAAAGTCGATAGATCAAAACGCAGGGTTGAGTGGCTACTGACTGCTACTGTTGAGACGGGAATTCTGAACCCTTCCCTGGGAAGCGCTGGCTCAGTCCGAAAGGCCGCCCTTGTAGATCAAAATCGAACACATTTGACTATTTGGGATACGAACAGCGCTCAATTGGAGCTAGAGGAAAGCTTCGAAGAGCATGATATCATCCAGGATCTGGACTGGACATCAACCCCTGACATCCAATCGATCTTGGCTGTCGGCTTCCCACATAAAGTCATTCTACTTTCACAATTACGATACGACTACCTCGACGCTGGCCCCTCATGGGCACAAATTCGAGAGATAAAGATTGGATGCCACACACCTCACCCTATCGGCGATTCGTGCTGGCTCGGTAACGGAAACCTTGTTGTTGGTGCTGGTAACCAACTCTTCGTATATGATAAGTATATCGAAGCTAGCAACAGATGGGTTACCAATCTGCGTCTACCTTATCATGACGAGACACAGTTCGATCTATTCGATGCTGTTAGCAGGCTCAACGGACCTCTCCCTGTTTTCCATCCACAATTTCTGGCCCAATGCATCCTGAGTGGTAAAATAAGTCTCGTCCACCTAATATTGACAAGACTGCATAAGAAATTGAAGTATGCTACCGATGGTGACGAAGTGGACGCTTTTCTCGAAATTCCGCTGGAGGATATATATAATGAGATCTCTGTACGTGAGCTTTCCTGTCTCAAACGTTAATATTCTATCAGAACTAACGATTTGTCATAAGCCTATACAACAGATAACGTACAAGGAGATGAACTCTGCCTATGCAAATTTCACCATAGATCATGAACCTCATGTCCTTGATGAGAGTATTGCTACATCACTCAACGAATACCTAAAGAAAATAACCCTTCCGCAGCTATCATCTAAAGAACAGTTCCGTCTCGTTGATACCGTTGAATGTGTTGCTACGGTAGAGAAACACCAACGTTCAATGGATGTGAATGCTGCGAGGTATATACTCTTCTTCCGTCAATATATGCTCCGGAAGAGTCAAGGTTTTCTTGAAGAATATATGGTCCCATGGCGAGAGATCGTCTGGGCGTTTCATAGTGGTAGCCATGAAATCCTTACCGACCTCGTTGGGAGACAATTCCATGGCAAGATGCTTTGGGAAAATGCTAGGGAAAGTGGAATTTTCATGTGGATTACTGACACGAACGCTCTGGTATGGCATCTCTCTACCCTTTTTCTCCATACGAACCGTTTCCTAACGAGATTTGCTTAGCGTGCTCTCCTGGAAGTTATTGCCCGAAATGAATATACCAAGTCCGATGACAAGAACCCTATTGATTGCAGCATTTTCTATCTTGCCCTAAAGAAAAAGAAAGTTCTGCAAGGTCTCTGGAGGATGGCAACATGGCACAAGGAGCAGCCAAACACGCACCGATTTTTATCAAATAATTTTAAGGAGGAACGATGGCAGACTGCTGCGTTGAAGAACGCTTTTGCATTACTTGGAAAGCGAAGGTTTGGTGAGGCTTACCCCCAAGGCCCAATAATGAGTGGAACTGTAGAGTGCTAATATGCGTTATCAGAGTACGCTGCCGCCTTTTTTTTGTTAGCAGATCATCTGCGTGATGCGGTAAACGTCTGCATCAATCAGCTCAGGGACATACAGCTTGCAGTCACAATCGCTCGTGCCTACGAAGGAGATGATGGTCCGGTTTTAAAAGAAATCTTGGAAGACCGAGTACTCATCACGGCTGCCACGGAGGGTAACCGATGGATGGCCACTTGGGCATTTTGGATGCTGAACAGACGTGATATGGCCGTTCGAGCCTTAGTCGTAAGTGTTTTTCACCGTTCCCTTACCATTGCTCTGTAGTAACAACCCCACTTGTATAGACACCGATAGAAGGCCTTCTTCCGCCCACTCCGGGCTCGCCAACGAGCCCAGGCCAAGTTGCTTTACAAGCGAAGTCGTACTTGTCTAATGACCCAGCATTAGTCGTTTTGTATCAACAGCTGCGTGAGAAGACCCTCCAGACTCTCAAAGGTGCATCTCGGATTGGCGCTCGGGAGGAGTGGGAGTTCGTCTTGCGTAATGCACGACTATACAGCCGCATGGGTTGTGATCTCCTCGCTCTCAACTTAGTACGGGAATGGGAGTTCCTCACTCCGTCTCATCCCACAGACACCGTCTCTAAGAGGCTGTCATTCAGTTTCATGGAAGATTCGCGAGATCCACTCAGGCTACTCAAGCGAAGAGGGAGTCTTGTTGTTGCTGATATGCATATCACCCATGACAAGAAAGACGACACCAGAGATACTGAACCTAATAAGGGCGGTCCTCAGCAGTCAAAGAATCCCACACAATTCCAAGAACCGGAGTCGAGCTCTTTACTTGATTCCTTCGGCTTCTAACCGTTTTTCTTTCACCTTTTCAACCATATGTTATTGTTTACTGCTACTTTTTTATTATTATTTTGTTTTTCATTTCACTTTATTTCTATTTCTTTTTTGGATGCATATGGGCTACGCGTGTATTTCAATTTCGGTATGGAGTACTGAGTGTTTATTCTACTTTTTGGGGGAGAGGCTGTGATGTCTACTATTTAGTTATCTATCAATCGATGTACAACAGGAATATTTGGCGAGTTCAGCATCAACTTTCCATCATCGTTCTCTAATATGGTCAGCATCCCCATTGTATCCAAGGTGTGTCACTGGATGTCAGCCAGCGCTGTTGACTTGATAGACCAGGCTGGTTCTGAATGTCAAAACACCAGCCTCGCCTCCCAATGTGATAATTATTAATGCCATGCATGACAAGCATCTTATCATCGTCTTTTATTGGTAAGGAAGTTGATAAAACCGAACGATCGACATTACGTCAAAAAGGCGCCGGCAAAGCATCACCATTAGTCAGCCCGTGATGGCTTCATTCTTGGGTCTTTTTAGGCCATTATTGGGGTCAACGACGGCGAGAGGGATGAGCATCCTCTCAGCCGAGAGAAAGCAGCCTGTCTAACTATATATATATATATATATATCCGAGGGGGATGTAATATGGGATCTCGCAAGGCACTCTCCCCACGTACTCCAACCATACGGCCTCGATAAAGACCGTTGCCCTGTCACACGATACACAGCTCGAGGTCCCTGTGGCTCGCCGGTCGAACGAGAGACTCATCACCATGGAGGCCAGTAGCAATAACACACCTAGGGACGAGGATATACTGGAAACCAGCGAAAGACCAGTAGAAGAGGATGATGCCTCGCCCAAAACGTACGCGCAGAGCTTCACGCCACGGTCGTTGCTTGTTGGTCTCGCCATAGGAGCGTTGATAACATTCTCAAACACCTACTTTGGCCTGCAGACAGGATGGATCAGTGTCATGACGATGCCCTCGTCCCTGATTGGATTTGCAGTTTTCAGATCTCTCTCCCGCCATCTTTCGTTCCCTTTCACACCAGTCGAGAATGTTCTGATACAGACGGTTGCCGGTGCCGTTGGGACGATGCCCCTAGGATGCGGCTTCGTGGGTGTCATTCCAGCTCTGGAGTATCTACTCCGGCCAGGAGCCGATGGTCCTATGGACGGGAGTGACGGTGGTGACGGTGAAGGCGGGCCCTTGAAGTTGGCATCATGGAAGCTGGTTATCTGGAGCTTGGGCGTTTGCCTGTTCGGCGTCATCTTCGCTGTGCCTCTGAGAAAGGAGGTTATAGTACGGGAAAAGCTCAAGTTCCCCAGTGGTACAGCGACGGCCCTCATGATAAATGTGCTACATGGAGCCAGCAAGCCGGACGAGAAAGGCAAAGGGGTTGCAAGGAGACTGAACCATTCCGCAAACAGTCTTGCAGAGACCGAACGGCTATTGGTAGCCAACGACACTGCGAATGTCACACTGGAATATCTCGAAGTAGACAGAAGAAGAAGACATGCATGGAAGGCCAAAATTAGAATGCTGCTTCTTGCATTCGGCGTGTCTGCAATCTATGTAAGGTCACACACTATCATCTATAACTCCCCCTGTGATGCTGACCTAAATCGGGGTTAGACGCTTCTTTCGTACTTTGCACCAGTTCTCCGTGACCTGCCAGTGTTTGGTCTGCCTCTGGCACATCAATGGCTATGGACCCTGAATCCGTCGCCAGCCTACATCGGACAGGGCATCATCATGGGTCCTTCAACCTCCCTCCATATGCTGCTTGGTGCCATAATCGGATGGGCCTTACTCTCCCCGCTGGCAAAGCATAACGGCTGGGCTCCAGGACCTGTAGACAACTGGGAAACGGGTAGCAAAGGATGGATTGTTTGGGTCTCCCTGGCAATCATGCTTGCTGATTCGATCATCAACTTGGCCTGGTTGGCGATTCGGCCACTTGTCAACCATGGCCCTGGCTTTGTGGTTCGTCTTCAGTACAACCTAAGACAGAAACAGTTCTGGACTAGCCTGTTTAGCGGAAGCTCTTCGTCTAGTCATGGCTATACTGCCATACGTGCACGAGAAGGTCATGACCTAAAGGCAGAGGACTATGATGCTCCTCCATCTGAACTTATATCTAACCGCACAGTCATGATATTGCTTCCACTTGCGCTAATACTAAACGTCGTATGCATGCGCATAGCGTTTGGTGACATAATCTCTCCTTTTCTTTCAATCGCAGCCACACTCCTCGCCCTTCTTCTCTCCATAATGGGCGTTCGTGCATTGGGAGAAACAGACCTCAACCCCGTATCCGGCATTAGCAAACTCACTCAGCTCATCTTTGCTGTAGTCACTCCTGCAAGCCGCCATACACGCCGCAGCGCAATTGTTGCTAACCTACTTGCGGGTGCTGTGTCTGAGTCAGGAGCTCTGCAGGCGGGTGACATGATGCAGGATCTGAAGACGGGGCATTTACTTGGTGCCAGTCCCAAGGCACAGTTCTATGGCCAAGCCATTGGAAGTATCGTCGGCGCTATCATCTCAGTTGGCGTGTACAAGCTCTACATCAACGTTTATCCAGTTCCCGGGCCAATGTTCCAAGTCCCAACGGCACATGTCTGGATATTCACTGCACGGCTTGTCACCGGCCAAGGCCTCCCAGAAATGGCATGGCCAGCTGCCGGTATTGCTTGTGTAATATTCACAATCACGACCATTCTGAGGATTGTCGGAACCGTGTCTGGTCCGGCTGGTAGTAATGGGACAACATTTGCACCGTGGCGTGCTTGGGTACCTGGTGGCATTGCCGTCGCAGTTGGAATGTACAACGTTCCCTCATTTACCTTAGCGAGGGCAATTGGAGGTATAATTGCTCTTGTATGGCAGTATCGCTCCAAGCTTATGCGAGATCGCCTTGCATTGTCAAAAGCACAAGATACGGATTCACCAGATGACCAGGAAGCATCCAAGGCGCTGGATGACGAAGGAGATTCAACTTCATCCACGATAGTTATCTTAGCGTCTGGTCTTATTCTTGGTGAAGGTATCGTCAGCATTCTTAACCTGATACTAGCAAGTGCAAAAGTTCCGCACCTTTAGCCCTTGAGGTTCGTTCATGAATAATACTTGTGATTCAAAGAAAGTTATATACTTGATAAGTTTTATGTTGTTTTGGGATAGATTTATCTTAGAAGGCTCGGTTTGTCTATAACAATGGAATGTCTCTTATAAAAACGGCTCAACAGCACAGCTAATACAGAGGGCAAAGTATCATGAAATTCAAATATAAGGAATTAATTGGCTCTCCTATCTTCTTCGGCTCGTATGGATATTTGATATAGGGGCTGGACACGCGTTGATAGCCTTGTTGAGAGACTTATAGCTCTTTAAATGATTGGCCACGGTTTATATTCGTAACTACTACTCATGAACTTATATCTAACATAGTACGTCTTGACAGGCACGACGTATCTCAAACAATCATGTCAAATAAGCAACCGGGCATGTGTGAAAAATGAGTAAAGCAATATATACACACTAGAGAGTGGAGCTAAAAGCCACAAAGGAAAAAAAAATTTAAGATGTAAATACAACACCGTTAAACTTGACTTGATACCGTCAGCGCGAGCATCTTCACGGGTTTCAAAAGGAAGAAAAGAACCGAAGAAGGAAACAAAAGTAAAACATATAGGGATATCACCACCTTGGCATCACCAATGAAAGCACGTATGCATGCATGATCATGGCTAAAGCCCACATAGATATAGCTAAATCGGTATGCAGGGTCTCATCTCATGTACACCCGTTAGCTCAAAGAAGAGAAAGAAAAAATAGACATTAGAAGCATTCAAACCATGAAGCAAAAAAAAGGAAGGAAGGGATTGAGGGAATATGAGAATCAGCCTTGTTCCCAAAGAGCTACGACTCCTGACCTGGAACGGGTTTGCGGTTCACAGGTCCAAGTGCTGGTGGAGGACTGCGGGTTGGCTCTGGTTTCTCCGCAGGTTCCGTTGAGGTTGCTGCCAGAGCTGATGCAGGAGTTGAGGGTGCGGCGGCATCACTAGCACTGTTGCTCCTTGGTCTTTGGGCTGCAGGCATAACCGGCTTCTGCATTCCACCTGGCCCGTATGGTCCTGGGCTCATTGATCGGGGTTGTGGAATTCTTGGGCTACCAGCACCGGGGCCCGGAGACAACGAGCGGGGAATTTCGTTGAACTTATTTTGAGGCGGAGGGTAAGGGCGATATCCTGCATTGGGTGAAGCTGGTCGGCTGTTGACAGGAGGATTGAAGCGGGGACTATTGGCGTTTGGCCCAGGAGAGTTACGGCCGCCCGCTGGGGGCATGGGGCCTGGGCCAGGGGCTCGCTGACCTGGGCCTTGGGGTGGTCCACGCGGACGAGGGCGAACAGGGCGGGAAGAGAGACATGTTCGTGGTGCGACACCCTGCTGAGGCTGGTCAAGGCGGACACAAAGAGCCTAAAAGTCATGTTAGCATGATAAATTCGATACCTGTGGATGGAATAGACTACATACCCAGCCGTCATCATATTCATGAAGCATGCGGACAAGTTGGCCGGCCCGAAGGGCTAATTCATCGTCCATAGAAGGGTTGAAATCAAGCTGAACACGGTAAACATTGTTTGGTCCAGGGGGTGGCCCGGCAGGCGCTCCAGCTGGTGCCACATTAATGACAGAGGCTGTACTCGTGGCAGGGCTTGATGGAGCGGGAGTGGCAGCCGGAATCTGTGGAGGAGCGGGCTTCTGCTGCTGCTCTTTACGAGCATCCTCACTGGATGCAACAGAAGCAACAGCGGTGGTAGCAGTGGTAACAGCAGCCAAGGCGCTAGCAGATGCAACGACACCAGTGCTGACAGTGGCTTCAGAGATGGGAGACACAGGGCGGCCAATATCTGAACCAACACTGGGGGTGCGGACCTGGAGGGCTTCTGGAAGCGTTCGGTTAGGGGGTGATGAAGGAGCTGAGCTTGGGTTGTCGAAGGGGTTGACCGGGTCATTGAATGGATCAGAGTTTGTGGCAGTATGTGACTTGACTGGTGCAGATGGTCCCGGGCCATCTGTCAAGCTGCGCGAGCCACTAGCGGATGCTGGAGGGGTGGGCAGAGCACCAGAGACATTGAGCATGCCAGGAGATTTGGCTGCCCCGGGGAGTGGACCTCCAAAATCCGGAGAAAACTGAGTCACAGGCCGAATGTTGAGCTTTGGTGCAATGGGGGAAGTAGTGGATGTAGTTGGTCTAGAAGTAGGAGGTGGTGGGAAACTCGAGGCCGCATTGCTGAAGGATTTCTCGTTGTCGATTTCCTCCAATTCCTCCTGCTCTCTTTTCCTTTTGCGAAGGAAGAAGAATATAGCACCACCGATAATAGCAACAAGTGCAATGAGGCCAATTGCTAGACCAGCCTTCGCGCCCGCACTCATTCCTCCAGCACTTGGGACAGCAGTGGCAGAGCTAGAACCTGAGCTTGTCTCCATAGCTGCATCATTTGAGTTGCTGGCGATCGTCCGTGTTGGGGCCAACGTAGAGGTAGTGAAGTCATCACTGCTTGTCGTTGGCGCAGGAGTCGAACGGGAAGATGACCGCGAGGAGGACGACGAGGACGACGGGCGAGGACGGCGGGTGGAAGTTGTCGGTTCTGTTGTCGGTTCCGGGGTCGGCGTCTCCTCTTCGTCGCTGGTTTCTGTTGGTCTGGGTCTCCTCGTTGACCGCGTAGGAGTCTCCAACGGTGGGAACGGTGTGAGCTTTGGGCGGTCGCCGTCATCCGTTGCTGTTGTATATCCGCCAATAGGCCCAGAGAACGTCGGTTTTGCGGTCACATAGATGATGGACGTAATAGTAGAGGGGGACTTCCTGTCATTGCCCTGGAAGATGTCGTCGATGTTGTCGATAATATCTTCAATAGAAGGGTGCTTTCGAGCCTGATGGCGGTGGCCGTGTCGCGCCATGATGGTGGATATCTCAAAACAATACCGTTGTACTAGTTAGAGACGGGATGCAGCAACCAGTGCACTTTTCAAGTCCCAATATATGGATAGTTAATGAAGACTTTGAGCACTCGTCTTAGATATCACAGAGCCATCTGTCCCTGTCGAAAGTAGTGATGGTATTATTATTATTATGGTGCAAGGCGTTCGAGTTTGCGACTCGAGGGAGCGACTGGACAGAGCCCTGCTTCGGCGGAGTGGTCTCTTGAAAAGAATGAATGAACAAAAAGAATGACTTTGAGGCAGCAAACAAAGAGAGAACGTCGATTGTCGACAAGTAAAGAGCGAGGCAGCGTCAAACCGTGAATGTGTCAGTAAAAGGGCGAAAAGAACCAAAAGAGCGAGGAAGCCGTCACTCGGAGCCTGGGGGAGGAGGAGACTTTCATGCCAGGGCAGCAAAGCCCACCCAAGTGTATTTTTGGGACACTAGGAAATTAGTGGCTGTTTAGTCGAACCAGCTGAAGCCGAGCCGGGCGAATCCATGGCGCTCCCCATGCGATGCAAGTGATATCTCCACGGCCCCTGCTCAAACTAATCGCGCAAGAGAGACAACATCTTTGCGATCGAAGATTTCTAATCGAACGGGGGTCGTGGGTTCATGCACACAAGACGTTCGAGCATTGCTGGTGTGAAGAAGGACCGTCAGTACTCCATCGTTTCTGGTCGTCTTTCGCCAGCCTACACCATTTTCCAGGCTGCCGTCCCCAGCCAGGTTCCTCGGTTGACCGTACTTTAGCTCGTTTCCCTTAATTAAACATCGGTACGAGGCCGCCAGGGGCTCGCACTTTCCCCTGGCCGGAACCCGGACTTCTGTTGGTGGCTTGGGCTTGGAGCGAGGATGAGGCTGCTCGTACCTGGCGCCTTTCCCTGATAGTCATAGGAGGAATCATCCACACGGCTGACGGAACAAACAGCATGGCCGCCATCCTGCGAGACACTACGATGATAGATCCATCGACCAAGTAAACCATATCTAACCACTGTACGGAGTATGGAGTAACTATCACTCTTCCATGTATACTCCTTAGGCTGCAATTCTTCTTCATATTGATTGGGAAACATTCTGGCGCCGGTTCTTCCACTCCTTGTCTGCCGTGTTTTGTCGCCATGTCGATCAATACGAGTCTGTCGAGATGGAAACCAGTCCAACCAACATCGTCACAGCCAAAAGAAAAGGGGAACCAGTGCTGCCCGGCTATTGGTCAGAATTTGTTCCCGCTAGTGTTGGGTTCTTTTCTCTTCCTCAACCGGCCAGGACTGCTCAGAGATGACAATTTGTACGTTTAACAGCTCCTACCACCGGTTTGGGCCGTTACTGCTAAACGCTCTTTGATGCTGGAATATTCCGGACATCGTACGGAGTAGTCATACTCCGTACTCCGTAGTTGCTGCATAAAAGTCGTTGGGATCTTACCCAAAGCCGGCTCTCACCTAACCACTCCGGTCTGTATTAAGTGCCCACAAATATGCAAAACCCACTTCAAGGCAAAAATCATCTAGAAGAAATTCGGCCATAGAAACCCAAACCAGAGGCTCAGTTAGCCGTCTCAGGTCATACCCCAAGACACAGACAATAGCCAAGCACATACATATATGCCCTTGGGTCCAAAGCTCGTCAAGCGTTTCATGTTATTGCTGTGAACGCGCTAGGCACTCCGGGGCAGTTTCGCTAACACCTCGCTGGCTTTGCATGCGGAGAAGGAAAAAGGAGGCGACTCCTGACTACAGCATCATGGTCCCAAGTCTCTGAGATATGGCAAGAGTGTTCCTTTGGATGTGCTTGGCCGAAATAAGCTTGGTTTCTAGCAGCGCCTTAATAATACTTGGAGCTCTGTGGTCAGCATACTCCTAGAGAAACCCACCACGGAGTACTTCCTTCAGCTTCTCCCGGGTAGAGAGAGACGCCACCGTCAAGCAATAATTAATTGCCTTCTCATCAGTTACTGTGTCCATGCGTTAGCCCGTTTGGTTTATATTTTGTTTGACAAGAAAGCTAGCTTTATACCCGAAGAGTTGGCCATATCTAAGATCAGATAAGACATATTTCTCTCTTCGCACCGCTGAAAAAAGCTGTTCTGCAGGCTCTGGAGCCCTACCGAGCTGCCCTAGGGCAATGGTTATCTTACATCACAGACACGCGGTTGGCCATTAGCCATTCCGGATTCACTGGCTGGACGCATAATATCATGCATAACGAAGAAAAGGAGATACACTGTGAACCCCCGAAAGAATTATAGCCTGCACGAAATGCTGGAGGTAAAATGCTGTAGATGTTATGGATTCTTCGACGTTGTTAAGTTGAGTTCATGAATTTCTACATTGGGAATGGGGAACCTTGCCGACCTGAACCTGTATCACGTGATTGAGCATTCGCGGGCGGCTGGGCGCCTAGAAGTCGGAGGATATGAAAGAAGGTTCCTTTAATGCATAAAAATTGTTTAAAGACGATGAACGATCCTGTGGACAGAGTTGAGATGCAACAGATGAAGAGCAGCTAACTGAAGAACGGATGTTTCAATGCCTAATACCGACATTATTAGCAATCTAGTCAAGGAACATGCCAGAGTACATGCACCATGTAATTATGCGCATATTTATGAATCACGAACCTCACAAGGGGCAATGCGATCCTTGCTCTCGTAACGAACGAGCTGCCGCACCAAGTCTCGGCCGGTTTGTGGCACAGCCTTCAATATCTCCTCCCAAGGCCTCGCGGAATATTGTTTAAATTCAATTTTACCCCAGTCAGGCAGCCCTTTGGCAGACTACATCATGAGCATGTTAATTAGACATGGCAATTTCCAGGCATATAAAAGGGAGGACCTATTCGTCAAAACAAGCCCGCAGCAGGGAAGGGGGACTTTGCTGGGAGTGGAGTTTGAATCCTTACGCTCCATACTCTGTGTACATACCGGCCAAGTGTCCAGGTTTGGTGTTCCCAGGGTCGTAAAAATGGAATGTATTAACGCCAGTTCGCTGCCGATATCACCAGCATTAAAAAGCGTCTGATGAGCTGGCATATCGATAGTCTCAGCAACAACACACCCAGCGGCCCATAGATCTAGACTAGGACCATAATCTTTCCCGCCAAACAGTATTTCCGGTGGTCGATAACATGTTGTTCCAACGTCGGTTATCTTTGCATCTGCCGGTTCAGAGGCAGCATCTGTCGGGTCCCACGCAATGCCAAAGTCAGCCAGATACGCTGGGCCCGATGGTGAGCGTAGGAGGATATTAGATGGCTTAATGTCACGATGTACGATGCCCAGTGAGTGTATGTGATCCAATGCACGAAACAGGTCTCGCAAATGCGACTGGATTTCTTGTGCGGAAAGTACATTCCGGCTCAGGAGTGTATCCAACTGATAACACATGTACGGGAATATGAGGACGAATCTTTGGCCTGGTTCGTGCAAAGTGTCCAATAATGGAATGACATTAGTGCTTTCAGCCCGGCGTGTTATTCTTGCTTCACGCATCGAATCATGCGGTGGTTCCATCATGTGCGGAACTGTGACCTTCAAAGCCACAAGCAACCCGTCTGCATTCTTGGACTTGTAAATGGTAGAGAAGAGTCCATCATTGTCAGGCAGTGCCTTTCTGTACGGCCCTATCTGCTTTCCTGGGCGAGGATCAAGATCGTAAGCTCGGTTGACTTCTGATATCTTAGGGTCCTCATGTTTGGTCTGTTGCATTTTCAGTACATCTATATGTTTCTGGCATGCATCTTGGTACTGAGCCTGTGTAGTTGGGAAAGTTATATGTCATAGTTCATCATAGTTCTGGGATATTAGAAACGGGCTTTCTTTCCCTTACCTTTGAGGAAGCACTGTTAAACGCCTCGGCCTCAAGTTTGGTCCCTTCTGCACGCCCATCAGTGGCACTATCGGAGACTGGATGACTGTCACTGTACGCTGAACTCCTATTATAGACCAGTCAGACTTTCAAAGCACATAGTCGTATACAGAGACGTATTGTGCAACTTGCAGTGCTATAATATTGGCTAGGCGATCAGAGAACCCAACTTCTGACCTCCAAGCCTTATTGGCGGCCATCACCAGTTTAGGGTATATACACAATCCTGCCCTTAATTTGTTTGATGACCGCGATGGATATACTCCGTATATCTGTACCCAACGTCTTTCTTATGGTACTCTGGCGTATATTTAACTAGCTTCCGGCGGTTAGAAAATGGTGGGCGGGTATTTGCTTTCATGCATTCAGATTCGATTGAAGGAGATAGCATCTATACCCCAGCATCTAACAGCACTATATCCCGCTCTATACGGAGTACTCCGTACCTCTTTCTGCTTCTACTACGTCATATAATGGGCACCCCATTTCTTCTTCGGTTCTTCTGTCTTTTATCCTGTTTATCTTTTGTTTCTTTCTTCTTCCCCAGACTCGTTTCTTTTTCTGACAGTGGCGAAAACAATTAACCGACACGTGACAGTATTTGTCAGCAGCCTCTCTCCGCTATCCGGAACATCGCAAATCATGTACAGAATGTCCTGACAACCATTATTCGCAGTTGCAAAGAGGCAGAGAAAGAGCAGTCATTCATTTAATAGTCACTCTTACCTTCATACTGGGAATACACCCCTACATTCTCTGGTTCTTATCTCTCTATTGCTGAGAAACTATGCTGTAGCTCCCTTGTCTGAATCCAGGCTATGAAACGCGTTTGAAATGGAACTGTCGCGACAGGAATACCCTGCCCTAGCGGTGAGTTGGACTATTCTATAGTCTTTACTGGTGATGTGTCTACCTTATTACTGCAAGTTTGTATACTAATTCTTTTATTATATGGGAATAGGGCATCTTGCAACCCGGCCAAGCTATTGCCGTTGTTACTGAGCGGTTGCGGACGGTTAACAAGCTTAACACTGATGTTGCTGATTGGCTCGCTGTACGTCCTGCTACCCGATCATAGACATCGCTTAATGGAAGCTCAATGGCAGGAATATAGGTTGCTAATGAGAAGAGTAGGAACGACGCCGACTAGAGGAAGCGTACTATCTCGGACTCCGGAAACTTGCGCGGAGACCACAACCAGAAGGGGGACAGGCATTGGGGTCAGATACAGCCCTCAACAGCCTTTATTTCTCGAATTAGCTACTAATTATTACTATTTCTGTGTGATAGGGTCTTTGAGATACCATGGCAGCGTATACTTTCTGCTACGGAGTCCATGGCTCAATCGCATGAAGCCTTAGCTAACGGAATTGAGACGGATGCTGAAAGGCCCCTCAGAGAATATGAAACCAAAAATGCAAATATGAAGTCAATGGCATCAATCCAGAATGATCTTGCATCATTAGCCAAGACTTTGGAGGCTGCCCAAAAGAAGCTTGATAAGATTAAAGATAAAGGCCCTAAGCATGCTTCAAAGGTGCCCAGTGCACAGGCTGCTGTGGACGATGCCAAATCTTTCCGTGGTGAGGCGCAGAGATGACCATTTCCTAAAACTGCAAGCTGTTGATGAACACCGTGTCAACAATCTGCGAGATATTCTTACTCAATACCAGACCCATGAGACAGACCATGTTGAACGCAGTCGTCAGGCTGTAGAGAGCTCTCTCAACTCCTTACTAAACATAGAAGCGGGCGAAGAAGTCCGCACATATGTTAGCAAGAAGAGCGGAGGACGATTGCCCTCTGAAGTTGCCCCGTCTACTCCCGCTACAGCTTCACCTCGACAGGAGACACCAACAAGCCCTAAACCAACACCCCCAGTTACGGAGCCACTGCCATCTCCTCCTCCAATTCATGACGACAATGCAAGTCAGCGCTCTGGTACATCTGCCCAACGTCGTCCCAGTCTCCAACAAGGTGAGTTTATGTCTATCTTCTCTATCACCAGTGTACCTTTTTTCTAATGAACATATCTAAATCTACCTTCAGCGCCTGAACCTCGCCATACTGCCTTTGGCGGTCTAAAGCGACTTGGGACAGTTATGGGGAGACGTAAGAGTATGATAGTTCCTTCTACCGGGCCACCTGAGAAGAAGTTTCGATCTCCCTTCACAACATTCCGCCGCACCGATCCATCCCGCAATTTTCAACAGATGGACGAATCAGAAGGGCACAACGGTTTAGAGGCGGTTACTTCAATGGAATCTCAAAGGCCATCGTCGTCTGCCCTAAACGAATCGGTATTCATCGACTCACCCCCTCTACCAGTGTCGAATGATATCCCCGAGGAGCCAGCAGCAGAAGAATCCGCCACAATGAACGGGCAGTCAACCGAAGCACCCGGACAAACACCGCAAGTTGACGCCGATGGCTACTCTCAGAGGCCGGATATTGAGGATGAAATCACACGAATCCAGCGAGAAGCCGCTGCGTAAGTTACCTCGCACTCGCAATACGTATTTATATGCGCACTTCTAATGTTAATTTAGTGTTGATGATTCGGGTATAAACTTAACTATTCGAGATCAGCCTATCCCAGAGGATGAAAGTGAGGCTAAACAAGCATTGAATCAAGTGGCAAACACGTTACGACTTGTATGTGCTCACCGTTTTACGCTCCACTCATTTTATCCCTTTAACTAACTCTGCTCAATATAGAAAGCAAAACAATCCGGCGCTGCTCGCGGTCCCGGGACAGTTAGAGGTCGCCGTGATGTACGAAATACCGTTTTCTTTCCTCAAGCCCCTCTCCCAGGCGCTGGCCATAATGATGAGAACCCTCTCCCTGCCTTGAATCTCGCGACATCGATAAATTCAGAGACGCCCGAGATGCCAAGGAACGAGGCATTACCAGGAAAAGCTATACAGGAGGACCATATGCCGGATAATACCTCTATTCATTCCTCACAGACTCTACACAGCTTATCGGGGCCAATCACACATCCTGAACTATCTGAACCGGGTCTTAATGTTTCCATTGTGGAAAAACTAACCGTCATGTTATCAGAGGGGATGGTTACCAAATCACTTGTTGTTGGAGAGCTTGCCCTTGCATACAATAACAATACATCTGAAGAAGATATCCCGGACTCGCAGGTTATCCGCTTAAACAACTTTGACATCCTAGAACGAGTTGCTGCGAATCCAAAATTTGTTACGGAGAAGACCTCTACAACATCCGAGGCGGACGTGCCACATGATCACTCAAAAAAGGGCCAATATCAAGTACGTCTAGCACAAATCACAGGTCCTACGCCAACAGTTGCCTTCAAATATCAGATCCATCTGGATACTTCGAACTTATCTTCATACTGTCCTGTTATCTTCACACCCGTCTGGAACGAAGAAGAATTCCAGGCAAGTGTTATTGTACAGTATTCGCTGAACCCCGAATTTATATCATCCGACTCTAGTGCATCTGTTGTTCTTCACAACCTGGTGCTATCCGTGGGCCTGGACATATCTCAATTTGACGAAATGACCATGCGTCCTCGAGAAGTTGCTAAAGCAGTGGGTGCAGCTATGCATCCAAGCACCGGGGCTGTTTTTCGGCGCAAGAACTCATCCGTCACATGGAAGATTCCCGAACTAGAGATTAAACCTGGCCAGGATGGGAAATTCCTTGCTAGATTTACAACATCGACTAGCTGGCCGAAGCGGGGTAAGATTGAAGCCAAATTTGAAGCCACATGCAGCGACAATGCTTCAAGGCTTGGTATGAGTGTGCTTACCTCTCAATCGATTGCACAACCGGAAAACAAGGACAAAGAAGATGACCCGTTCGCGGATGACGACCTCAATCCTGCTAAAGGAGACTCCTCCGTAGAATCCTGGACAGAGCCTTTGATTGAACGCAAACTCGCTATAGCGAAGTACGTTTCGACATAGTCAACTAACATTGCTAGCCACTGGAACCTGCCTGTCTATTTGATTATCAGCACCCTAATCACAAATCAGTTTCACCACTCTCTCTTTCCTCCTATGTACTTGGTTGAATCTCGTTTCTTACCTGTTATCATATACCCTTGAAGACAGGTTCAGGCGTAGACAGGCATTATTTCTTTACCTCTTGTGTATTACTTTCTTGATCATACCATGTATTCTTCTGCTATGTATTCCATTATATATATTTACTAGTAGAATACTTATAGTTAAGCCGTAAACGATTATACTAATTGGTGGACATTCATTACCTAGGCTTGCTCCGTGGTTCGTGTAGATAGATATGGCGTTATACAATACTTACTGCTACTTGACTCCATATATCCTACCCCTTCAGGTCGTATAAAAAGCATAAGAGCAAGCGCCTAAAACCGGCTTTTATCCAAGTGTAGAACATGACCCCCCCTCCCCCCAGACTAGTAGCTCGGCTTTGGCTTGGGCAGGTTGGCGCTCCAGCAGAACGTGGAATTCCGACTATCAAATAGGAAGCCATATCGTCACCTACGACATCTAGAAACGATACACATTCCATATTAAACATATTCCCCTGAGCCGTTAAAACAATAAACGCTGTCCCTAATAGCGCATCTGACGATTACCCAAACGTTGATTGAATTTTCCGCCAACATGGAAGAGGAACAAGCAAAGTTAAGGACTCAACTACGGCTTCAAATAACACAACGACGGCAAGATATCGTACAGGCTGCGCAGAGACTAGTGGCTGCTCCATCGCCATGCCCGCCAGGAAATACCACACTGACAGCTAAAGCTGCTATACAGCTGCTCACAGAAGCTATCCCAGACATTCAGGTAACCCGCCATGAACCCGAGGAGGGAATTGTGAATGTAGTTGCATGCATCTCGAGCGGCCGTCCTGGTAAACGACTTATTTTCAACGGACATCTAGATACGTTCCCACTTGGTGAAGATCTAAATTGGACTGTGCCACCAACTGGTGGTGTGGTAAAGAATGATCGCCTTTATGGACGAGGTGTCTCTGATATGAAAGGTGGCATTGCAGCATCCATCATCGCGGCAACAATCCTGTCGGAGAACCGAAATATCTGGTCTGGTGAAATCGTGATTACTCTTGCTGGGGATGAAGAGTCAATGGGCAAACAAGGCACTAAGTGGCTTCTGGATAATGTTGAAAAGGCGACGGGCGATGCCATGATATGTGGTGATGCCGGCTCTCCAAGGGTTATCCGCTTTGGAGAAAAAGGGTTTGTCTGGGTTGATATCGAAGCTACTGGTACCCCTGCCCACGGAGCACATGTTCATCGAGGTGTGAATGCCATTGATCGTCTCCGAAAGGCACTGGATGCCGTTTATGAGCTTGAAAAGATCTCGATTAATGCACCACAGGAGGTGTTAGATGCTATTGATGCAGCAAGAGGCATATCCGAAGAGCTCTCGGGGGTAGGAGAATCAAATACACTACAGTGTATTACCGTCAACACAGGCACAATCAAGGGCGGTGTGTCACCAAATCTAGTCCCGAGCTCTGCAGTGGCCCAATGTGATATCCGTATACCTGTGGGCGTATCAACGGACTTTATATCACAGAGATTGAAGGACATGCTTGGGTCGATGGAGGGAGTATCCTGGCGTATTCTACGGACATCTGAACCCAACTATACGTCTCCGAACCATGAGATATGCAGATTAGCTGAGATGGTATCGACTGAAGTCTTGGGCCAGCATGCCATTTGCAATATGCGGGTTGGAGCATCCGATTCGCGCTGGTATCGTGCCGCTAATGTGCCGACTGTGGTTGTTGGATGCACGCCAAACAATATGGGTGCAGCAGATGAGTATGTTGAAATAGATGAGTTGGTTAGCATCTCGCAAATTCATACTATTGTCGCATACGAATTCCTGAAGGATAGCACAAAATAAAACTGCTGCGTCCAGGCGTTTGACTATGAGATATTCTATGTTAGCTAGCCGAATAATGGCTTTGATTAGATTCGGCTTGAGAAGTTCTATTATGTATATAGTTATTCAGTCAGCCCTCTTGAATCCTTGGCTTAGAAATATAAAGAAATCAGGTATAAAAGTAAAGTGGCTTTGATAGGCCATGCATCTAGGAATAACGGATAACCAACAATAATAAAACGAAAAGTAAACACCAGGGCTATATAGCTCGAAACATGTTCAAGCAAAATTGAAATTGCCAATTATACAAACTCCTACAACCGCAAAGCTCTCGTCGTCTTATCGTAAAATTCTAGGGTCATCGCAGCTAGGAAACAAGGGATATCTTTCCTCTCCTCAACCCAGAATTTAATCAGATCGCGGATCTCCAATGCAAACAAACTATTTGGGCCACCAGATATCTTCATAGTTCCATTTTCACCATCGAAGATGATTGAGTTCTCCTCACCGTCTCCCATACTTCCAGGTCCGTCGGCGGAGCCACCTGCATCGCCGTGTCTGTAAGCTGGAGAGAGATGGAACATGGACGTCACTCGTACTCGGCCGTTAGGCATGAAGTCAAGCTTATACCCTAGTATGGACGCAACGGCTTCTCGGAACTCAGAGGATTTAGCGGTCCATATCTCCTTGAGTCGGCGGATACGTTTCTCTTTCTCCGCAACCGCCTTTCCAGCCTCTTGGAGCTCGAGTTTCATACTCTCAAGCACAGTAGCTGGGACAGACTTGATATTTGCGCGAGCACCACGTATTTGGTTGAGAAGGTCAACATTCTCTGCCTTGAGGGTCTTCAGGGTAATCATTTTAATCTTCTCTGCTTGTGCAGTTGGGTTATCACGGAACTCTAGTATTCGCGTGCGAGATTGCGCTTGGAGAGAAGAGAGATGAGACTTAGTAGCTTCAAGTTCCTTTGTGAGCAATTTGACCGATTGCTCCGATTTAGAAAAGGACTCTTGGGCGGCACGGTATTTGCGGGTAAGAACTGCAATTCTTTCACTTTCTGCATCGCTATCCGCAGGAGAAAGTGGCCGTTTAACTCCTCGAGCTGCAGCAGTCGGTGCCACCGAATCGGCAGCAGGTGTTGCCTCTGCTTCCCTCTTTGATAGCTGCTCATGTAACTCATGAAGTTCCTGGCGGTGTTGATTTAGAAGGTCTTCTAAATGTGCAATATGCTCTGCTTTCTGAGAATCAAAGCGATTCTCCTCAACGTTCATAGTCGTCTCCTCATCATCGAACGCCTTTAGCTGAGCTCGTAGATATTCCACCTCTTTTAATGCTAGTGTTCGCTGGCGCTCAATCCGTAATCTAGCTCGGCTCTCGGAACCTGATGAAGTAGACGCAGAAGATGCATTAGCTGCACTGCTTGCGCGTGCCTTTTCAAGCTCCTTTTGGAGAGAAAGCTTCTCATCTTCCAAGCGAGCAGCTAATTCCGACTTCTCTGTAGCTTCGGATTGAATGTGTCCAATTTTTTCTACTAAGGAGGTATTCTCAATCCTGGTCTGCACAAGAGCTCTGACAATAGCCTCGGGTGACTCAAACTCCGCTTCCTGGCCCGTTCCTTGCAACAACGAATCCCAGGAGCGTTTCTCATCTTCTAGCACTTGATTCCGAATTTGCGCATTATGTAACTCTGCCTCAACACTCTTCATCATCTGAAGCTGACTCTCGAGCGCGATTTTCTGCTCCTCGACAACCTCAACTCTCTTCTGAGACTTCTGGAGTGGCCTCAGCTCATTCTCAAACTTTTTCACTTGCGCCAGCTGCTCCGATAACTCCCTTTTCAAAACATTGAGCGCTTCGGGGTCCGTCCCCTCGGCCTTTAGCCGGATATTTTCTGTTTCCAGCGCCTCAACTTCTGATTCCCGTTCCTCGAGCTTTCCCTGCGCCGTTTGCAGAGTACTAGTGACTTCTTCAAGCTCATTCCGTAGTTCATCCAGGGTCTTTTGTAGGGCGGATCTGATGGCTTCTAGCTCGTCGATCTGGTGCTTATACTGACGTTGCTGATCCGCCAGTTGTGACTGGTAGTCACCTGATTCCTCACGTAGTGTTTCGTTTTCATCCTGTAAAGACCTAAGTCTCCTTTCCCAAGACGACTTTTCGCTAATCGCTGCTTCTTGTGTACTTTTCAGCTCCTCAGCGAGTGATTCGATCTTATGCTGCGTTTTATTATTGCTGGTCTCAGCAGCTTGTGCTCTCCGAAAATCTGCATCAGCCCTGGCATGTAGCTCCCTTAGCTCTTTCTCATGTTGTAGGGCAGTAAGATCTTTTTCCTGCTTGATGTTTTCAAGGTCATATTTTAGGGTGCTTATTTGTACGCGTAGCTCCTCATTTCCAACATCTATTGACCTTAATATGTCAGCAACGGAATCTGGTGCAAGTCGCACTTCGGGGGTGCGAGGTGACTAACCTGGCTTAACCACCGAATCACTGACTCGAGTACTTCGCCGTAATGGGGTTCTAGGCATCTGGGGCGGGGAGTTTCCTGCGAGAAAGTCGTATGTTGGCTGTGTTTGGGCCTGTCTGCTCCTGTTCATCTTGCAACTGTTAAATCTGTTAGCGTGAGATATTCAGTGAATGTGGTTGTTGGCTGAAGCTCACGTGGTTTCTGGGAAGGCCAATGAGTTTAGTTGATATCTCGGTTAATGCAGTAGACGGCCTGCTATGTCCCGTCGAAACATTGAATGATAAACTAAGGCGTGTAGTTGCGAAATCACTTTGCGTATTTACACTGAAGCAAAGTTTAAACGCGCAAAGCCGCCAGATCACATGATATAGATGATTATATAATATTAGCTTATATAATATATTTTTACTTTTTAAGTTCTGATTACATGATTTAACCTAAACTTCGACGCTTTGACCAACCTTATTGATACTAGCATGAGGAACGTCCTGACCTCGGCCTGGGGATGAATTCACATGAGTATATTCATTATTATTTCATTGCATTTTCTCGTTAATTAAAAGTTTAAAGTATCGCTCCACGGACTGGTTTATAGACCCAGAGTACATGCAGTTTCCTTCTATCCTTCCGTGCATTTTTGTTTTGCCCAAACTAGAGAGAAAAAGAAAAAGGAAAAGAACAATAGCGGCTAGCTAGCTCGCTGGGCTTTTGATGGCGGTGGGGTGGTGATATAGTGGTAGCAACGGTAGTGATATGGTGGAATCCTGGCAGCGCGATATTTATCCCCGACAGAAGAAACTTCTGGATAGATAAAGTTGCACCAAACTTGAGGTGCAAGTTTTGTACTTAATCTATGCCTTGGTGAGGTCGACACCGGCAGCCTTCTCGGCCTTACCGTAGGCCTTGAGTCTGATGGCCTGTGTGGCAATGAAGCCGGTAGTGTCGGTAGGAGCAAAGTCGTCAATGGAGTCCATGCTGCTCAGTTCTGGGTCGTACAGCTTGCTGGTCTCGGAGCTGCGGCCGAGAACGGAGACGGCGCCCTTGAAGCATCGGATGCGGACCTGGCCGTTAACGTCGTCTTGACTGGCGGTGATGGACTGCTCGATGAACTTGCGCTCTGGGGAGAAGTATAGGCCGTTGTAGAGGATGCGGGACCAGGTGATAGTGACGAACTGGTCACGGAGAAGACGGACTTCACGGTCAAGGACGAGACCCTCAAGGTCAAGATGGGCGAGGCGGAGAATAGTCATGGCGGGGGAGTCACTGGGAGAGAATATGTTAGAGCTCTGACAGGGGTGGTGGGAGACCTGCTGTTGGAAAGAAGAAGCTTACTAGCAACCACGCTGTGCAGGGAAGATGTCAGCATGCATACGCCAAGGGTAGCTGGAACAGGGGGAAAGTAAAACTTACGGACTTAAGACCGATGTATCGGTTCTCAACGATATCAATGCGACCAATGCCTTGACATACGTTAGTTTGTGCCAATGCGGTGTTAATGTAAACGCCGAGGGAAGTATAACATACCGTGGATACGGCCGATCTCGTTGAGAGCAGTGAAGATGGCGAGAGAGCCAGTGGTCTTGTTGCCGGTCTTGGGGTCAATGAGAGCAACTGGCAGACCCTTCTCGAAGACAATGTTGAGATCAGCTGGGGTATCAGGGGCCTTGCGAGGGTCGTCGGTCAACTTCCACATGTCCTCTGGTGGAGTGTGGTCGGCATCCTCGAGGATACCAGCTTCGTAGGAGCAGTGAGCCAAGCTATTTACCAGATGTTAATGATGAGCTTTTCTAAATTATGCCGTAAAAAGTGAAGGAGAGGTCATACTTCTCGTCCATAGACCATGGCTTGGCCTTGGTGGAAGTAACTGGAATGTTGAACTTCTGGGCGTATTCAATGAGGTCGTTGCGGCCAGCGAAACGGTTGTAGAACTCTGGCATTCTCCATGGTGCAATGACGTTGATGCTTGGCTGTTGAATAGGATTTTTTTAGCAATTTGAACGAGTTAATCCCTACAACGGAAGAGGGGTAAAAAAAATTACCTGGATGGCATAGAAGGCGAGCTCGAAGCGGACCTGGTCGTTTCTGCAGAACGGTGAGCATGGGCCACAAAAAGGGCATACAGGGATTAGACAGGGAAGAGGTACCCTTTGCCGGTGCATCCTAGTTAAAGAAAAAGAAAACCGAGTTAGCCCGAGGTTCAACAACAAAACAAAAGAAAAAGATTAAAAGGCGGTGGGTTCTATATACCGTGGCTGACGGCGGTGCATCCTTCTTGTTGGGCAACGCGCATCATAGCTCTGGCAATGACTGGACGGGCACTGGGGACAAGTAAGTATCATTGAATGCTGGTACGAGGAGGCCAGTCCGGGCACCTACAGACTAGTTCTACTCAACAGTTAGTTTCCCAATCCCAGCAGAAAATAAAAGAAAAAAAATTGAGTAATAGAATGTAAACTTACCCGAGGAGGTATCGGTCTTCCCAGATGGCCTGAAGCAGTTTTGTGTCCTGTTAGCTTTTTTCCTGTTCAATTGCAGGGAACGCGGGTCAAGGGAAGGAGGACGAACGTTGCACTGGATGGCCTTGAAGCAAAGATCCTCGACGAACTCCTTCTTGAGGTCCTCGACAACCAGCTTCTTCGCACCGACGGCGAGGGCCTTGCGCTCTGCCTCCTTGAAGTCCTCTGCCTGGCCGACATCGGCGAGGAAGCAGACGACCTCATGGCCCTGCTCGAGGAGCCAGGCGAGGATGCAGCTGGTGTCGAGGCCACCAGAGTAGGCGAGGAGGACTTTCTCGTTCTGTGCCATTGTAATTGTAGCTGACGCGGAGAGGAGGAAGGGGTGTGTCTGTCAATGGTAGGTGGTGTACGGAAGTATAAGAGTGTTCAACTGAGCAGAGCAGCAGAGATGAGAGATGATGGGTCAAAGGCAGACCAAGAAAGGAGGGGGAAAGAGACCAGCTTTATATCTCCTGTGCGCCGTAGCTAATGCGACTATGACGATAGCTGATAAGCAGTCAAGCAGCTGCTCCGTAGTTGTCAGTCCGCGCGCGCCCTTCTCAAGACAAGCTCAACAAGTTTTGCTGCACTCGGAGCCACAGCCTTTTATTTTGCTTTTGGAGCACGAACACGACCCTGGCCCTCCCCCCTTGCCTCTTTGGGAAGCGCCCTGCGGAAGTCAAGTCGCCGGGGGGAAAACCCCGCAGCACGTGACATCACATGATATAATTAGGGCTTAATTAGAGTTAACCCTAACCCTGGCTCGCCTTAGCTTCCTGCTGATGTCATCAAGGCCTTGGCACTAGCTCTTTTCTTTTTCTTTTCTTTCCTTTCTCCTTCTTTGCTTTTTCTCCGCTTCTCCAGCTTCATCCAAACAACAACAACAACAACAACAACAACAACAAGAAACGCAACCAGAAAACGCGCCGCGATGCTGCCAGGTTCTCGCGACGGTCGAGCAAAAGCAGGCCAGCCAGGCTCAGGGGCTACAGGTTTTTTGTCTGCCCACCTGCCCACCACCTGACCGGTCCCTGCTCCCAGCAAACAACTACTTCAGGCTGCCTGCGCGCTCCTCGTCGCCGTCGCTCTTCTCCCCTTTTTCCCTTTTTCCCCCGCTTGCGCGACGTCTTTTTAAGCTTCTCCGGATGTAGTTGATTACTTAATCGAGAGAGTTTCTCCTATTGGCCAGAAACATCCGCGTCGCGCTTATCTAAGAAAGTGGCCTCAGCTTTAGAGTTACGTAAGCATGCGTGATTCTTCCCTACGGCGGTTTCCCTTCGTTTTTTTTCTTTTCTTCTTCCGACTCTTCCTTTTGCCTTGCTTGTTCTTGTTGCGCTTTCGTCTTGCTCGTTTGCTTTGCTTTTTCACGTCTCCAAGGCTTCGCCTCGCCTTGTCTGGTCGTCTGGTAACTCAGTGCTGATCGGTATCTAGGCAAGCGCTCCTTGTTCTCGCCAGCTTGACCGCTCTCCAGCGACGCCAACCCGGGAAAACTCTCTTTCCTCCGCTACCGCTACCACCATCACATTCGCATCTACCTCGACGGGAGTCGGCTCTCTCTCGCTCTTCCACGCCTACGCCGTCTTTCTCCTTCGTCCCATCACCATCCTTTGTCCGCTACTTCGTCCTGGGCGTATCGCACTTCTACGAGAGACGCAACACGCGACACCGACGTCCGGGAGGCGTAGATCGATCGGCAGTTTCCTGCTTCAACGACGGCCGATATTTAGATAGTTTTCCTGCCTTCCTTCCCCTCTTCCTCCTGCTCCTCCGTTTGTGATATACTTCAGCAATGAGCCTGCTTCCCTTCTGACAGCTCCGGCCGAATATGCAGCCACAATCCCCGGGGAGTCCATCACGGAGAGTGCAATAATAATGAACGCCAATAGCTCTAGCTACTCTGTTCTTGGCCCGCGAAGACACTCTGTCGCGAAGAGCCAGAATATCCATAGCCAGGGCCCCGGCCTGCGGGAGGTAAAGAGCAGCGATGAAGTACTTGCCCAGTGTCGCAGAGGTCCCTCCCACGGTCGTCAGTTTACTGTCGCCAACGTTGGTAACAATGGACGGTTATATCTACGGTATGTTGACCTCAGCCTCAGCCCAGTCGACGAATTATCCGGCTTTGGTTTTAACTACTTGCTCTAACATCATCGACGCATATATCAGGCCAATCACCAACAGGTCCTACACACCGCATACCTTGAACCCAGCACCGAGCATACCGGAAGCAACAGCCGCTGGCCACCGGGCCAGTGTTTGGTCGAACTCACAGTTCTCATACCTCGTTGATCCGCCGGATACTACCTCGCGTGGACCTGCACAGACCTACCATCACCTCCGCCGATGGAAATCCTTACCTACCATAGACGATGTTCCGCCAAGTCCCACTCGCGGAGCGCTTAAAGTGGTCATTGAGGGGTCAGAGCCTGCCGAAAAAACACCGCCCAAGCTGCCAGGACCAGCTCGTAAGCTAGAAGACTTCAGATTCCCGGAAAGACATGTCTCCGCCTATCGACCAACCCCTAGGCCCCCGAGGCTATCCTCGCCGATATCTATCGGCAAGATGGGCGGCTCCTCTGTCAACAAGTCCGTCGACAAGGGAATAGGTCAATCCGTCTTTTACAAGCTACAGGAACCTATAGAGCCTTCCATATTTGATGACCTGCTGCCCATAATGCACGATGCTTCGGTGGCTCGGTATTCAAAACAGACCAAACAGCTATCCGCCGCTACTCCTGCTCGCATTGTCGCCCAAATATCATCTGAATCGTTTATGGACTACGAACTCGTCTCGGATTTCTTTCTTACCTTCCGCTCCTACCTCTCGCCGAGTAATCTACTCTCCCTCCTCCTCGCCCGTCTGGAGTGGGCTATCAACCGCCGTGAGGATGATGGACGTATTATCCGCATCCGAGTCTTTGCTGCTCTACGTCACTGGATTCTGAACTACTTCGTAGATGACTTTGTTGCCAGTGATAGCCTGCGTGCACAGTTTTGTTTCCGTATCAATTCTATGTACGAGGATCTCAAGTACCGCAGCTCTCGTGACGTCAGTGATACCAAAATTATCCTGGACCTGAAACGATGCTGGAATGGTCGCTGTGCGCAGTACTGGGATGATCCGGAGTTTGTCAGTGATGCTCGACCAGAGGATCCCATTGTTCCTGGCTCCAGTAAACCGGGCTCTAGGTCTAACGGTGATGGATTGTGCTTCTCATACTCAGAACTCGTTGCGCAGGATACACCTGTTGGCCACACCCGTAAGGGCTCTTCTGCCTCCGTGAATGACTTCCCCAAAAGCCCGCCACCTATACAAGCCGCTTTCAACCCGACGAGCTTCAATACCCCTTCTTCACGTCTCTCAATGCGTGGCAACAGCGTTTCCAATCAAGGCCGAGGAACGCATATTCTCCCAGACCCCATCCCTGAACTAAACGACCCCTCCCGCCTTCCAGCCCCCCCTAGCCCACGCTCTCCAATCTGGCGTTGGCCCCTCCACTCTCACACCCAATCTTCACACTCTCATAAACGCAGCGGAAGCTTTTCAGATTCATTCAGAGATGACCGTGCTCCTTTACCGCATTCACAGTCGAATCTTAGTGTTGACGGTGGTGGATCGGCAGCTGGATTGGGCTCACTAGGCCAAATTCCTATTGAAACTCCCAATTCCCCCAGAGGTTTCAATTTCAGTATCATTCGTGGCAGTATGCTCACTCCTCTAGAGCCCGATGTACCAATCACACGCCCACCTTCACCGCCACCAGACCCTTCTATGCCTCGCATACGGCCGCCGAGCTCTTCTTCATTTACACCACCGGCCTCGGCGGCGGCTTCGTTTTCTCGTGCTGAGTCTCCAGCCAAGGCTCCTGCACCGGGAGTGAAAACATTCATTAGCTCTCTACGCCGCGTTCTTTATAATAATACCTCTGGTTCTAATATTTCCTCTAGCGGCGCTGTGTTAAACAAACCAGAGCCGCGTCCGATTGTTTCAGCCCATGGGAAAACATCTCTCCTCCCACCGAATGTTGTCTTCGGATCAGATAGGTATCGTGAAAAGAGACCCGGTATAAAGAGCGCCTCACGAATCGACGTGCTATGCGATAGGGCTTATCAATCTTATACCGTGCTAGCAAACCAAACACCCTTAGCTATCTCCACTGCTCCCCGTAGTCCGAGCCCCAAGTCCCAACCACGGGCAGATATACCCGCTTCAATGCCTGTTCCTAATTTCTCCCGTGGAGTTTCTAGCCAGATCACGACAGGCAGCCAGTCCATAGTCATTGTTGATGATACCGGCGCCAGGGTTGGTACAAGTGGTGGCCTTTCTTTACTTCCTGAGGAATTCCAGATGTATTACCCTGGCTCTGGTGATGCTGATCCCGAACCCGAGATTGATCCACTTACTCCCATTCCATTGCATATGCCTGAGAAAGACAAATTAGGGGTCACACCCATGCCAGCCCAGCATGAAAATGCTTCAACCAGTAAGCCGGCCTCCAGGCTACGCAAATACGCATCCTATCAAAGTGTGCTAGGCGGCCATGGCGGCCAACGGCCGGCTTCTGACATGCCCAGGACCACTAAGGCTGACATGGGGGCGTGCAGAGGCTCCTTCTTACCTGCACACACGCCTGTGGCTAGGGGCATGCAGCTTCCAGAGAAGAGGCTTCGAAGACGCCCAGGCGGCGACTTACGCAAAATGCAAACCACCGTGGGCTCTGAAGAACAGGGATTGAACGTTGGCCCTGAACGTAGTCTTAATACGTTCAGGTTTGCCTCCGGTACGACTGCAACGGACTCAACATCCTCCGCACTGTACATAACTCGTGCATCCCATATGGATTCTATCTCGCACAGCGAGGACGATGACGATGATTATGATGAAGATGACATCGATTATTCGACTTCCTCTAGTGCATTGGATTCACTTAGCCGTAGTGGTACGCGTTCTCATTCTTCGCCACAACCGCCTCATGCTAGGCATATCTTTGAGGATGCGGTTGCCGGCTTTCGGAAAATACCTGACCTGCCAGATGGAGGTATTGAGTCTGCTCTCCTCAAACTCGAAGGAAAATGGAAAGAGGGCAAGGGCTCCAGGGCAAACAACGGTTCTCCTCAAGTTGACTTCCCTAGTACTGGTAGGCGGAGGTCTCGTCAAGGGAATCCTGATGGGTCCGCAAACAACCAATACGTGAACATTGATTCAGATGCCACTGCGTACGCTGAACCCCCAGCAGTGGGTATCCCCAATGGTACGGAGTCATATCTTGGGTCAGATTATTCGTACTCCTCTATTCCGCTGTTGGAGCGTGGCTTGGGAGACGAATCAATGAGGACTCCCACCGTTGCGAAATTCGACAATCCTTCCCCCCTAGCGCAAAATGCAACCTCTAACCATCCGTCTATTGAGGTTGTCGAGAAGACAGACAGCATAAATAGGATTGCTCATGGTGCAACGGCGCCAGAGCCCGTGGATGATATGCAGATACGCGACAATGTCTCCGAGCTTTCGTCTGAACTCTCTATAGATGACGGACCTAGTAGGAAGGCTTCAGATCCTACCCACCCACTCCGCGAACCGGCCGTCATAGCCTCTTCTTTTCACCAGCCAACCTCACTACCGCCGTACCATCAATATCTTGACCCGTCGTACGCAAACCAGTATCCAGATATCCAACCAAACTTTCCTCGGCCTCGCAATAACTCTCATCCATCCATACCTCCCACTACCCCAACCCACTCAAGCCACTCTCTCCCTAGCTCTGGTCACATTGCCTTTATTCTAGCCCACGATTCGCAGACGCTTGCTAAACAATTCACCATTGTCGAACAAGCTGCTCTTAGTGAAGTCGACTGGAAAGACCTTGTTGACATGCGCTGGACGCATTCCTGTCCATCTCCGCTTAACTGGGTCGACTATCTCTCCGCCGGCATCGATCGTAAGGGCATAGACATGGTCGTCGCACGCTTTAACTTGATGGTCAAATGGGCTGTTTCGGAAATAGTGCTGACCAAAAATATCGCAGAGCGTGCTCTGGTGATCACGAAGCTGATTCACATTGCTGTGAATGCAAGAAAGCTGCGCAATTATGCTACCATGTTGCAGGTCGTTATTGCCCTATCATCTGTCGACTGTACGAGACTGGTGAAAACATGGGAACGTGTGCCAGAGACCGAAAAGGAGATACTGGCGGAAATGGAGTCGCTGATCCAACCAATTCGCAACTTTCATAAACTAAGGTCTGAAATGGAATCTTCCGTTCAAGACGGCTGTATTCCTTTTGTTGGTAAGCATGCTCATGTGTCCTGTGGTCCCTGTTTTGACTTGATTGGCGATACTAACTGTTGAACCAGGCCTTTACGTCCAAGACCTGACATATAACGCTCAAAAGCCAGCACAGATCGCCAGCACTCGCGATGGCGAACCGCTGGTCAATTTCGAGCGCTATCACACCGCCGCAGCCATTGTGAAGAGCCTTCTTCGTCTTATTGATGCAAGCACGAAATATGTCTTTGAGCCCGTTCCTGGAGTCTTAGAGCGTTGCCTTTGGATTGCTGCCCTAGCAGACGACGACATCAAAGCGTTCAGCAAAGCGATTGAATAAACTGATCTTCGGCAAGCGACTGATTTTGAAAACCAAGCGAGCGAGAAAGCTGATATACAATATATGAAACCCAGATGTTTCACATCACTAATTACTACCAATCTCCCATCATTGGCATTTTCTCTCTAATCTAACTCCCCATCATCTTTATTTCATTTGGCTTCAAGTTTATCTACTTAGTCTCTTTTTTCCCCTCCTGCGCATTCTGGGGTCTGGGCCTTGGTAAACGTCTTATTTCTGGAGCATTGGTGTGGACTTTTGTCTTCATTTCTTGGTCTATGTTTGTCTACTTTTCTATTTACTTTTTATATTTTATTGTCTTTTGGTCAGGGGCTGGCACGGCGAGGCAGTAATTTGAGCGTGTTAGCATTAAACATGGGTTTTTATTCCCTTGATGTCTTGTCAGATAAACGATTTTGGAGATTTAACATCAATGCTCCTTGGTGGCGGATGGAGTTTGCTAGCTTTCATCATCGACTCGAAACGACCTAATATTTTGAATATATCAAAGACAGAGTATGAATATTCCGCTCCATTTCTTCAACTATCGCTCCGACTCCTTGCTTTCATCCGTATCATCCCAGGGGGTAGACAAGCAGCTTCGGCGGGCTTTAAGCCATCTTGGCCATATATACCACGGCTGTCTGTCCTAAACTCCACCAAAGAAAAACATCCATCTACTCCGTATCTCTTTCGTTACCCACAAAGCACTAACTTATCCGAACCACCAAACACACCAGCAATCCAGCATCAGCTATAGCTCGCGAATCCGATAGTCCAGCTTCGCCCTCCTTGCTGCCATTTACGGCGCCTGTCCGCGTGCTCATTCGCCCTAATGGACTCAGATGCTAGTTTCCCCCGCAGTCTAGGATAGCTTTTTTTTTTTTGCGAACTTGTAGTTTAACTACTTGAGCACGGCCGCGTCGCCCACGAACATCCCCGACAGGCTGGAAGAGGGCATACAACCCATCTAAATGCGATGGACCCTGAGAGCCGGGACGATGACAAGGCTTGGGGCCCTTCGGTCAACGTCACTGCTGCTGAGCACGAGAACAGTGGTGACGAAGGTATCGAGAAGCCCAGAACGCTACCCCCCGACTTGCCAACTTCGCTAGACGACCGGCGCTCATTTCCGAGCTATAATTCTGAGACCGAGATATACGATGGATGGCAGGGTGAGTTCCCCTATCACTCGTCTATATACACTTGTTCCTTGGGTTTCCGAGATGAGCTAACGGTTATTGGATGTCTCCCTGAGCAGGCCAGTCGCAATTTCTCACCACTCCGGTACCTACAAAGCCTTTATCATTCAACTTAGCTCTCGATGACAATAACTCCGAAGAAGATTTTTACAACCCTCGACTCCCGTCTCAGAGCCTGACGGGCGGTTCTCGACTACGAGGCGGGCCAAGCGAGTCAAATGATGCCCGGTTAATGGAGATGTTGGCTGCCCAGGCAGCACACCGGGATGGAGACAATGTCGAAGCGGATGAGGATGATATTGCGTCTGACGAGAAGCTATCTGAGCAAGAGAAGAAGGAAATCTTACAAAGGACACTGAATATGGCGGCGAGTAATGGAGATGTTACGCGGGTCAGAAAGCTGGTCACTGGCAAGGCTATGAAATATATCAATATCAATGCGCCAGATGATGAGGGTACTGCACCGCTGATATATGCTAGCTGTTTTGTAAGTGGGATTTGTTTTACCTATTTGGTGGAACCGCTTCTAATGAATATTCCCGCTAACAATTTGAGCCGTGTTAGGGTCATCATGAAGTTGTATCTGCTCTGCTTGACGCAGGCGCATTTGTCGACCAGCAAGACCGTAATCAATGGAGCGCTCTAATGTGGGCTATGACAAATCGACACAAAACCATTGCAAAGAACCTACTGGACCATGGCGCGTCACCAGACATCCGATCGTCTTCTGGCGGGACAGCTTTCGACTTCGTTCAGCCTGGGACGGATATCTCCAAATACCTCCATGAAAATGGCTACAATGTTGCATCTACAGTTGGCGGAGCTGACTTTTACGACTCGGGATTCGCCCACAACAGATTTGAAGAGGAAATGGCCGAAAACGAGATGAAAAGAAGGATGATGATGGAAGAGAGCGCTATCAACCTGGAAGTTGACTTATCGAGCCTGGGTCTTAATGAGAAACATGACGACGTATGACTTCTATTCTCTTAATCAGGTGGTATGATATCTACTAACATTTCGCTAATATAGTCGCCCTATGAATATGAGGAGCAACCTGAGTTTGTTTGGGATCGTTGCCTGAATGACCAAATGTTTGTGTTTCAGGAGAACGAGTTGGAGAGAATATTGGATATTATTATCACCAATATGACACCCCAACGGTCTCCATCCCAAAAGCCTGTTCCGGCAAATTTACTCTTCCTTTGCGCGCGATATGCGCATTATCACGCCAGCCCTGACCTCCTGCAGATACTTCTCCATTCCGCAACGGATCGTATCAACCGTGTGGTAGAAAAACACCAGTGGGATATGACCATACTGGCATTTTGGATATCAAACGCCACTTTATTATTACATTATCTAAAAAAAGATGCCGGACTGGTTGAAGCTACAGTGGAGTTCCAGCTTCACCTCGCAGAGCTGATTAACGAAATATTTATCCTTATAATCCGTGACGCTGAGCGTCGCATAGATAAGATTTTGGACACAGCAATGCTTGACCATGAGACAATCCCCGGCTTTGAGGATGTTCAATTCCAGAACGAATGGAAGCTTTTCAGAACTAAATCAAAAGTAAAGCCAGAGCCCATGGAGAAACGATACCGACCACCATCACCCAAGAGGCGAGCAGAGATTGCACCTCGGAATGTGACCTCTTTACTGTCGTCTACACTCTTTGTGCTGGATTTATATGATGTTCACTCGATCATCACGACCCAAATCATAGCACAACTATTTTACTGGCTTGGATCAGAGCTTTTCAACCGGATTATGACTACAAAACACTACCTTGCTCGCACCAAGGCTATGCAGATCAGGATGAACGTATCTGCTTTGGAGGACTGGGCACGAACAAACAACCGACAGCCCGAACATTATGAAAGCGGATCTGCGACCTGCACTGGCGAAAACACGGTTGACTCTGCTCGTAGACACCTTCAACCGCTTATCGAATTATTACAGTGGCTACAATGCTTCTCATCCTTGGGCGAAGATATGGATTCACTTATAGAGACGCTCGAGCAACTTCAGCGGCTCACACCGAACCAGCTTCTCCACGCCGTTAAGCTCTACCGTTCGGAGGTAGGAGAAAAGGGCCTCTCTAAGAGCGCAATGAAACTCCTCATCTCCCTACAAAAAGACCCATCTCAGTTGCTGCAGATCCTCGACCAACATCGACAGCACTCTAGGCCCGCTGAGTCTCCATCTACTGACAAAGGGAAGGACGAAACAAGGCCAATCGAAGAGCCGCAAACCCCCAGGACACCTAAAGCATTACAACCTCCACCCTCACCAGGTGGTTCAATTTCGCCCTCCCGGCCCCAATCTTCACAAATAAACATTCCCAAGAACGCCCCACTCCTTCTCGATCCTTCGCTCACATTACCTTTCCAGCTCCCGACCAGCACCGACATGCTAGTTAGTTACGGGGCTGGATTTGGTGGGGTAAACCGCGAGCGTGCAAGGAAATATATACCTACCGTGCCGACGGAGTTTCTCGTCAAATTTGATCGCGAGTAATTAGTCGCAGAGTAGTTATTATATAGCCTGTGTAGCTAAATGAAACGAATATATCTCACAAATATAAACAAAGCATGAACAAACGGGAGCTGCGATTGTTACATGTTACTCATACACCGCACGCATCCAACTTCTCTAGTTATTGTCAATATCAAGAATAAGTGCATGGTTCCAATGAGATGCTAAAGATAAACCACATCTGGGCTGAGTCGAGACCTTGCATCACTTCTATTTTTAGATCTGCCGCAAGAGGCTCTGTTCTAGAGTTTCGAAACATCTGCATAGAATCGGTAGAACTTGCATGGATGCGCTGCCTGATGTTTCCGGGAACAGCGTGAGAATAGCGAGTGGCTTATCTTCTGACATATTGTATGCATCCTGCGCAGCAATAACTGGTTAACTGGTTAAGCTGAACCGAATCGGCGATTTGGCCCTGGTCTCGATCGTAAGTTCTGGCTCCGATTACAATCTTCATGCATGAGAGGGCCCTAAACCTGTCCTCACTTCGTACAGGAAAGCACACGCTCTAGTATTACTTGCTGGGACTGAAGCAGGTTCCTATTAATAGCTCTATCCTGTAGTGGTTGATTTTACTGTTGTTTCTTGATTATGTCTAGAAGTTATCGAGTCTCAGGTGTCATTGACGAGAATGGCTGTGCTCGAAACAAATGTTATATTATCTTATTTATAGTTATCTGGTCCAGAAATTAGTTACTTATATGCCACGCTTGAGGTATATGCTGCGCTCCCGCCGTGGGTGAGTAATTGTAAAGGACGGCTACTTGTAATTATAGGTAGAGTGGTGTTAGGGTTGATTGGTATAAGTTAAGTATTAAGTATTGCTATATACAGGCTTAAGAAGATGTTGTTAATGAGACGATTAATAATGTGTAGTAACCCAGTAATATCCATTCCATCCATATCCGTTTAGGTACCGTGTATCACCGTCCCGATATTAATGTGTCATTAAAAGCCAGGGAATGCCCTAAATTCGTAACTCGTAATGGTAATTAAGTATATATTGATGTATCGTAGCGTCATCGATCGAGTGGCAGTCACGCCGTCGCATAGTTGAAAGAGAGAATGTGATAACTCCGCTTAACGGTTGGCGAAGTAAGAACCACGAGCCTCGGAGCCCGATTTCTTTGCAATTGCCTTGCTCATTTTCTGGCGATAAGCTGAGGCAGGGGAAGAAGATCGAGATGAAGATGGTGAAGAGGAGGCCGAGCGGCTGTAACGCTCAAGGGCCCTCAAGTTGCGGCGGGAAGCCTCATTTGCATCCATCACCATTGGGTGGTAGTGCAAGGTGAAGTCGGTCAAGTTGGCGGCCATTTTTGATATGTTTTATTGGGTTTTCGGTTTTCTGAAGTAATAAGTTAACCCTTATAGTGGAGTTGTCGAGGGTGTGGCTATTGGAGCTTGTGGGTCGATATAACTGGATCTGAGGATCGATTGAAGGATTTGTTGATTTTGTTGTAGTGTTTGTTGTAGTATTTGTTGTTTTGCTTCTTATGTTGTTGCTGTTGATGATAAGAACAACTTTCTGGCAGGACTCGAGGCCATATTTATATCCGCCAAACCTCGAATTGAGGCCGTACTGAAAAAGTATTGATGTTGCATCGTACTGCCTCGCGACATGGATCTTTTCACGGTCTTGAAGCCACAAGAAACATCGAGATCAATATTCTGGCTGCTTTGTCAGTTTGGCTTACGTTTTATGACGTCACTATCGCTTAAGTAAGCGCAGAATCTTCCCTGCCCGGCTGAAAAGCCAATGATGATAGGGCTTGGCAGCGGCTGAACGGCAGCGGATGTTAGTCAGCAGGGCGTTTGGACCATGATCCGCGGAGTCAGATCTTGATTTCTCGATATCTTTTTCTTCCTTTGACTAGGGGCCCCTGGCGATGACGATATAGAACCAAGATGTTGGTGGCCTCATATCCCAACACCAACAGTTTCACACGATTTGCGATTCATATGTCTACTCGAAGCCACATAATTCAGAGATAGTCAGCTGCCCAGTTGTGCGTACTCATGAACCTCTGTGATCCCGACCTATCCGACACTCGTTCTTACCTAAAATTTAAGGAGGGATAGGAGTATTCTGTCAATATCCTATTACTCTTGAAGTATCATTATATCCATTGGACGTAGGTATATCCCCCTCTTATTCTGAGAACTTCAGCGGTTGCATCTAGGTCCGCTGGCCTAGTTTTTCTCATGAGTTATCCTCTATATTGATATCAGGTATGGTCTATTCCATATCATGTGGAGATGAATAATTGTGAACCATTTATGAGATATTTAAATGACTGCTTTCACATCTAATGATAATAAGAGACCCATTAATTTTACTATATGTTAAGTATTGATACCTCCAGTTTAAACCTGGGTCGCAGCACGATAGGGGATCCTGATGCCTTAAAATTTGTTATCTTATGAGCCTAGATTTTGACTAGAGTCTTTGGCGGGCCTTCAGGGTTTAAACCCATTCTGGGTGAAATTTGACGTCCGTGAAGGCGGTACTAGGTTGATTTTTCTTGATTTTCAATTAATGCATCTTCAGGCTATCGCCATCGATCGAATCCGTAAACAAGCGGCTCAGCAGTATACAGTGCTAGCATGTTACTAGGTACGAACAGGGTAGAGAGAGGTGGTATTTCTCCTTCCCGATTAACAACAAGATTGGAAGTATGCGCTTGAGCGAGGCGAGTATAGGTGACTGGTATCGGAGTCATCATTAAGTATCAACAGTCGCAGAATATCTGTGTTGCATCCTCCTTGAAGTTACACCTCCCCCCCAATTACCCCAAATCCAAGACAGCATAGTCGTATATGCGGAGCTAAGCTCTTTAGCCCCTAGAGGCGAGCCCTGGCGGTAATTCCATGTCGCTCAAACGAGTAACACCAACGATTGGACATCCAACGTCTGCTGGAATGGTTTAAATGGAAATCTGAGGGTGAGGGGTACCGCCTCTAGGAGAATGCAGGGCGAGGGAGTAGATCAGAAGGCAATAGAAGGGAGGAGAGCGATGGCACTAGGGCTTAATTGGCTATGGCGTGGCCCCTTCTGCCGCCTTATTCAGCGTGTTGCGTGCAGGAGGCGATCATCGTAGTTATACAAAAGTGTGATGGAGGGAGTTAAGCGCCGGCCCTTACATACGGCCTGCTGGCTGGCCGGGCTGGACAACGAGCCAAGCTCAATTATCGACGAAACCTAGCCAACCAACTGGTCTTGTATCTCCGTGTAATAATGGCCGAGTGGAGGTGGAAAAGGACCCTTTTTCTATCTCGCGTAGTGGTTGGCTTCCAGCTGCGGCCCGGGTCGATTAGCGGCCCAACCTTGTCTCGTCACATCATCACCTACATATTCCCGAGGCCGGCGGTTAACTACGAACAGGCCTGTCTTCTTTTTCTTCCATTGTCTCTTCTATATTTTTTCGTATACGTTGGCACCAATCATAAGCCGGGCTGCGCAGCTCGTTAAAGTGAGGTAGCATTTCTTACGAACTGCTAGGGATTTACGGTCGAACGGCCCCTGCCGCCCCCATCTGTCCACCGGTACGTGCATTCGGGCTGGGGAAAAAGGCCAGGACGTTGGTGTGTTTGTCAACTACAAACCGGGTCTCCGCAAGCGTAGACTTAGGTTACAACGGAAGGGATGTAAATATGGTAACTCTGGATGTGTGTTTGTGTTCGAAGTCGAGATAGAGCCAGACAGCGGAGGCTGAGTCAGCTTCTAAATATAGGCGGGGAGATCTGGAGATCAGGGCCTTTATTTTTTTTTTTGGCCCCAGGCCAACGGTCTACAATCATATGTGAGGCGGGTGCGGAAGAAGGAGAGTACCTGCATCTGGGCCGTTCGGCCGTTCTGAGTATCTGGTCTTCTCTGCAGTGAACGACGTCCGGGCTTGTGTGCTTCGTATGTACTTCTCGCTATATTTAGACGAAGCTCCTCTTCCAGGTCTCCTGCGCGCGCTCTTATTATTATTATTGTCGCTATTTTGCTGTTGTTTGCTACTCTGGCTCTCGATCTTTTTTGTGTTATTATTATTCCTGCATGGTGGCTGTGAGAAGACTTCCTAAAGCGGCAAGTGGGAAGGGCTGAGCAGCCTCGGCTGTACCTTCCATCGCCGAAAAAGGAAAGGTGGCTGCCAAGAGTGGCCCGGTCCGCCTTCCGCTTTGGGACAAAGATATGCCCTTGCCAAAGCCCGAGCGCTTGGCCCGATTAGGAAAGTTCGCGCGGTCGCCAAAGACAACGGCGGCATTTACTTCACCCTCATTGTGTCTTTTTACCTCCTTACTATCTGCCATTACTCTATAGCTTCGTCTAATACTTGTGCCGGCTGAGTGAAGTTAGCAGCTAGTGAGGCTACGGTCTGATTTTTTCTACGTTTTGTTGTAGCTCGGTTGGTATATCACTCTGTGGGCGATGAGGTAGTCCAACTATCATCGCGCTTGTGGTTTAACTAGTAAAGTAGGTAAAACAAAAGAAGGAGGTCGGTTCAAGGTTATCCCAAAGAGGAAGTGGAGCCCCGCCAGCCAATAGGGTGGCGTCCAGGACTGCCCCGTGCTGTACCGCCGCCTCGGTGCGTATTCCAAATACGGCGACGCTTTATGAGTTTTTTGCTCCTTGTGGGCGGAAAAACATACGAGCTGGAGCCAAAAAGAAAGCAAAAGAAAAAAGAAGGAAAAGGAAAAAAAAAAGAAAAAGAAAAGAGATAGACGGAGAGCAAAAAAGAAAAGAGGGAGAGACAGAAGACGAGAAGATGAGGTAAAAAAAGGTGGACTGAAGAAAGGAAGACGAGGGCAGAAGGCAAAACGGCCTGGGATGATGCGCTGCGACTTGCGGATTATATGGGCAGGGTTCTTTCTGCCCGGCGCAACATTGGGTTCTCCCATTCCTCCTTGCTATAATTACACCAAGGGTCCATCACACGCACGAACTGCGGCAAGTCGAATGTTTACCTAGTTAAACAGCCGTGACGGGCCTCCTTGTCCTGGGATAGATAACACGACGTCCGCCTCAGACGTTAGAGCAAAAAATTCTAAGATCCAGCCATCCGCAAAAAGTACTCCGTACATTCACTGGGAGGGAAACAGGGGCACGAAGATAGACCAGACAACACACACACCCACTCTCACGCACACTGGGGCCAACACGGGCACAGAGAGGCAGGATAAAAAAGCTACAGGAGACGCAGATAGAGAGAATTGACCGATGACTAGAGCTCTCCATGCTGCTCACCCTCAAGACCTCCTCTCGCAACGGCGCCCTGGCTCTAGACGAGTGCACGCGCACAAAGCCAGCATACGCATACCAGAAGCACCCTCACCCGTCTCCCTCACCGTCGCCGTCGCCGTCACCGTCACCGCTGTCATCAGCTCCAGCTCGCCGTCCGATGGACTCGCACCGGAGCCTGCCTCCTCCAGTCGCCATGGGCCTTACAGTCACAGATATGACATCCACAGCCTCTCATGGCAGCTCCAGCGGCTCTAACGGCGGAGCTAGCAGCATGCCTCTGCCTCCTCCTCCTCCAACGCACTCACAGCATGTTTCTGGTGGTAACCACAACCGTGACGGATGGAGTCGAGACGGCCAGGACGACGCAATGCGCCAATGGCTACAGGCAAAGGTCGAAGAGGATAAGCGCAAACAGGAAGAGGAACGCACCCGGCAAGAAGCTCTCAAGCTTGATCAGCGCAAGATCGAGCAGAAGATGCTGCAGGATACGCTCAGCTCCAACGTTCCGCCGCATATGGTACCTCTAGTGTTTATAGGACTAGCCGGGCCTCAGGCTCAATGGGCTCAGCAATATATTCTACAGACGACTCAGAATAATGGATACAACCCAAACCCAAACTCATACCCGCCCCAGCAGCAAAGGCACGAACAGTATACCCAGCAGTACAGGCCACCGGCACCGGCACCGGCACCACCGCCTCCTCCTCCTCATCCTGCTGCAGCATTCCAGCAACCACCGCTGCCACCACAGCAGCAGCAGCAGCAGCTAAACCACGTTTCCCAGTTCCCCGAGTTTGCAGCCCGTTCCAAACAG